GGTTCATTGCAAGCACGCGATACTTCGTTTTCCTACGCGGCCCACAAGCAGCGCGATTTGAGACGAAAACACGTAGTACCTGATTTCTAGCCAGATATATTGACTATTTAATCACTGGACGCTCAAGGACATTTAGGTCTTCGCCAAAATCAGAAGCAGGTGGTTGGTCCTCAGAGCAATCAGTCTTCCTTCAAGAAGCATTCTTGGCCCATTCATCCGCCGAGTGCTAAAGCAATACGTGTATCCCCTGGAATTAGCTTGCGTGACCTGGTCCACTTGTCCAACAACCAAGCAGGCAGGCAATCACGACTTGGGGTTAGCGCTTATGGGTGCTCTGCTAGTCTAGGCACAACCAGGAACGGCGCTATGCCGTTTAAGGCACCATTCTGCGCCTAACATTCGGAGCATCGAACTTATTGTTGCGATAGTTGGAATACGGAGCCGTGTGGCACTTCCAGCCACACGCCCGCCAGGCTGAGAGGCCCAAGCCTCCCAGACCCACGTGACAGGCCAAGGGGGAATATCCCCACCTTCTAGTCAACAACACCACTTTCAACTATAATCATGAACCATCGATTAGAACCAATTTACTGTTATTTGTTATTGACGAACGGAATTCCGTTTCACCCCCTGTTTCACCCCCTGTGAAACCTACACTGATCAGTGGTAAACCTCACAGTTGCCATTAATTTGGTTAACTTCACAATTACCACTCTGCTACGGACAAACCGCAGATCAGCAAGGTCAACACCAGAAGAGACGACTTCTTGAACTGGATACCCAAGCCCAGGTAAAAGTAGGGATTTCGTGCTAACGAGAGAAGAAGCGAGAGTAACTGGGATCTACGGAAACCAGCAGAAGAAAGCTTCTTTTCCTCGAATCTACCAGCAATCCGATTATTCGAGTAACCTAGGGACTGCTACGCTCACCCTAGGCGGGATAAGGTTAATCGCAGCCAATTATCGCTGGCAAGAGCGTTCCATCACGCGTTTTCAATCACCAGAAGAAGAGACCTACCGAATCGACGGTCTTCCAACCTCTTCACGCCACAAGGGCGAAGATTCACGAATCCCACAAGGGACAACAACTTCCCCAACTACAACTATCCCCCACGCGCGGTGCCAATCACGAGGCGCCCGCTAGTTTCTCAATAAATCCCCAGACGAGGTGCCAACCGCGAGGCGCCTGCCACAAGAGACCTCCCTACCAGAAGAAGAACACGCCGAAAGGCGAGCGGAGACTACCGGCGGTAATCCGCCTATACAGCTATACGTATACGCCTCCGAGGCTGCGGCTTAGGAGAAACGCACGTGGTTGTGGGCGTCATAAGGCCAACTGTCCGCTAGATTCTAAACTTCCCAACAGTGAGGAGCGAAGCCCGAAGCGAGAAAGAGAGATTCACGAGAGAATCTACGGTAGAACTCTCTCCCTACCAATTCGAGACCTGTGTATACCCTCACACCCCTCGAGAACATCAGCGAGAACGGCGCCGACGGAAACAAACGACGAACCGACGAAAATCCCCGATTTCACGATTCTTTCCCCTTAGAATCGTAATATCCCGAATCGTCTTTTGACTCCCACTTCCAGGCCTGCATCTTGCACCAATCGCAGCTGACGCTGTTGAGGATTAGAATTCAAGATTCTAAACAGAAGTAATCCTTTTATACTGTCAGAATGGAGCGAAATTCACGAGAAGGATCGCCCGCGAGCGGCGTCACTGCCAAAAGCCAATCAACAGTCCCCATCCCACAGAGAATCGAAAGTATGATCGATCCAGCAGTATGGGGCAACTGGGCAATCGACCTTACAAACGCTAGCCCACAGCAACTGGGTTCCTATATGGGTTTCCTACTTGAGACCTATGAGAAGAGGAATCTCACGGGCCTCGAGCTATGGAACGAAGTTTCTCCCGATTTCGCCGACTGGTCAGAAGAAGACTTCCAGAACGTACCTCCCCCAATCCTACGATTCTTCAGAGACTATTTAATCGGTAACGGCGTCTACGTCGAAATGGATGGCAAGAAAATCTCGAAAAACGTGGCATTAGCCCTCAAAAAGGAAGAATTCCACTACTGGTCACCCCAAGAACTCGAACAAGGCGTCAAGAGATATCGCAACCTGAAGGCTCTGATAAAAGACCCCGAATTCCACGAAGAGATCACGAGACCGGCAACAGTAGCCAACAGCACAGGAGGAAGAGTCGAACCAACCCTACAGCCACCTCCTCCACAAGAACAACAACAGTGGCAACTACCGTACCGACCGCCACATCCCACGGTCTCTCCGTTAACAGACTTCCAACCATACGAGTCAACAGACCGTATCGGAAAGCAATTAACAGAATTCGCGAAACTATACCCCGACGATATGAAATACAGCGGCGATATGTACGATGTACGCGAAAAGAAGGGCTGGACCGGACCGTTTACTTTAGCAGCCATAAACGGCGAAACCTGTACTGTCGATACGCCACGTGGTCCGAAGACCTTCCGGTCTACCGTAGTCAAACCATACTACGAAGATCCCGATCAACCACCTAATTCCATCGCCGCGCCAGAAGAAGAAGAACCCGAAGCTGAGATACCGCAGCAGGAAGTAGTACGCGACGAAATTATCGTCGCCGGCGGAGGCAGTGAACCGGACGAACCGCAAGAGGCACCGGAGCCACCGAGAAGACGCCCGGGCAGACCCCGGAAGAGACCACTGCCAATCGCCCACTTCACAGAGGAATTCAACGATGACCCGGATTATCAACAAATATTCCTATCGATTAAGGAGCAAGCAGACGAAGAATTGGCAATCAAACTACGACGAGAAGGTGTTATTACTACACCAGGCGAACCGTTCGAACAGTCAACTAAACAAGAGATCAACAGCCTCATCGCTAGAGGAGTGTTCAAATTCACCCAGTTCAATAAGAGAAGGCACCAGAACGTACGAATCTTCCGATCTCGTATCGTCAACGAAGTCAAGGGTAAAACAACCGAACCCTACGAGAAATCGAGACTTGTAATACAGGGTTACGCCGACGATGGCAAGAAGGCTATATTGACCCAATCGCCAACGATTCAGCGGGCGAGTCAACGGCTAATTCTGTCAATTACCCCGTCACTCCTACGAGAAGGGAAACAACTATGGCTTCGAGATATCACACAAGCCTACGTTCAATCCTCCACAAGGCTCAATCGTACTATTCTCGCCTACCCACCGAAGCAAATTCAAGACCAGTACCCAAAAGGGACCATTATGGAGGTTGTGAAGCCTCTGTACGGAATCGCAGAAGCTGGAACCCACTGGTGGGCAACGTATCACAAGCATCACAGAGAGAATCTCCAGATGGTTACTTCTTCGTACGATCCATGCCTATTGATCTCATCTACCGAAAATCCACACTTTGGCTGTATCGGCATGCAAACCGACGATACCCTCGGTTTGTCAGACAAGGCGTTCTCACAATTAGAAGACGAACAGTTAGAAAAAGCGGCTTTTACGGCAAAAGCGAAGAATATCCTCACAATTGACGAACCCCTCCAATTCAACGGAGGGATAATCGCGCTGTCAACCGACAATTCGATCAATTTGAGGCAAAAGGGACAAGCTAAGAAGTTACGATGTATTGAGACTACTAAACCCAACCCAAAACAGCAATATGTCGAACAACGCGCCAGAGGGGCGTACATCGCGTCAATTTGCCAACCCGAGGCCTGTTTCGATTTATCCACTGCTGCCCAACACCAAGACCCCTCGCCAGAAGCGATAAAAGCACTGAATCAACGGATTCGATGGCAAATAGAATCGCCTAACCGAGGAATAACGTTTATCCCACTCGACCTTACAACAGCCAAGCTATTCGTTTTCGTTGACGGGTCGTTCGCTAATAACCACGACCTCTCCTCCCAATTAGGGTTTCTGATCATCCTAGCCAACGACACTTCCTCTGACAGCAACAACGGAGAATTCACGATTCACGGTAACCTCGTTCATTACAGCTCTACGAAGAGTAAACGAGTCACCCGCAGCGTATTAGCGTCAGAGATCTACGGGATGGTCGCTGGCGTCGATATGGCCTACGCCCTCGCCACAACCCTGGCGACAATCACTGACCACCTCAACCTACCAACGATTCAGACAGTTGTCTGTACCGATTCTTATTCGCTGTACGAGTGTCTCGTGAAGCTGGGCACTACCAAAGAAAAGCGACTCATGATCGATATCATGGCGTTGAGACAATCGTACGAAAGACGAGAACTACAAGAAATTCGTTGGATTAACGGCGAAGACAACCCTGCTGATGCCCTCACGAAGAGCAAACCAAATCGAGCCCTCGAGAGATTCGTTGATAGCAACACGATAACGATACGTATGGAGGGATGGGTAACAAGACCGTAACTACGGGAGAAAGTAGGGATAGGAGGCCGAATTGACGAGGAGACGGAACTGTATAGGGACAACGTATTCCAACCGCTTCAACACCATAAAAAGAGAGTTTCCAGTGTTGCGATAGTTGGAATACGGAGCCGTGTGGCACTTCCAGCCACACGCCCGCCAGGCTGAGAGGCCCAAGCCTCCCAGACCCACGTGACAGGCCAAGGGGGAATATCCCCACCTTCTAGTCAACAACACCACTTTCAACTATCATCATGAACCATCGATTAGAACCAATTTACTGTTATTTGTTATTGACGAACGGAATTCCGTTTCACCCCCTGTTTCACCCCCTGTGAAACCTACACTTATAGATTCACCATCGTGTTAAAAGACTAAACAACTACGATCGTCTCAAACATTTTCGGTATTGTAAATCGCCCATTATGAGGCAAACCTCAGGACACCCCAGTAGTTTAACTCTGATCAGCTGGTTCAAATGTGCTCTTCTGAATATTTAAATGGTGATGGATTCCCCAGCTTAGACCAAATCCGCTCGTCTTACCTATCCATCAGCCATCCAAATCCTAAGTTTGTTTCTTAAAAAACCACGAGCATTTCTATTTCACAAAATGATTTCCAATAAAGCAGCCTGGCTTACGGCTAAAAAAGCGAAGCCACTAGAAGTCAGGCCAGCTCCCTACACACCTGCTGGAGAGAATGAACTCGTCATTCGCACCCGGGCCGTCGCCGTCAACCCAGTCGACTGCTTCAAACAAGAGGCAGGCGATATTCTTTATGGATGGGTCAAGTACCCGGCAATTCTAGGCAATGATGCGGCCGGCGAGGTCGTTGAAGTCGGCTCTGGCGTGGATTCTAAGCGATTCCAAGTCGGCGACCGCGTCCTAGCACATGCTGTTGGCCTTGATAAGCGGAGCAACAAATCCTCAGAGTGCGCCTTCCAGGAATATGTTGTTGTAAGATCCAACCTCACAACACCGATTCCGGACACGATGTCTTTCGAAGAGGCGTGCGTTATTCCACTAGGAGCATCGACCGCTGCCTGCGGAATGTTCATGAAGGACTATCTCGGATTACAATACCCCAACATCAACTCAGAACCAAACGGCCAGACACTTCTGGTCTGGGGTGGTTCCACGAGCGTGGGTTGTAACGCCATACAACTCGCGGTTGGAGCGGGTTACAACGTCATCGCCACGGCTTCGCCTAAGAACTTTGAATACCTTAAAAAACTTGGTGCGAAGGAGGTCTTTGATTACCGCAGTCCAACAGTTGTCAGAGATATCATTCAGTCGTTGGAGACACAAACGTCTGCAGGTGCCCTCGCTATCGGTGCTGGATCCATGATCCCCTGTGTGGAAATCGTTTCTGCTGTCAAGGGGTTGAAGTTTGTCGCCCAAGCCAGTGTTGCTGGAAAAGGAAAGCCGCCTTCGAGTGCCAAGGACATAGTTTCAGCCATTTGGTCGGTAGTGTGTGAGTCTTTCGTGGTTTTGATCAAGAGCAAACTCAATGGCGTCCAAACCAAGTTCATATGGGGCAGCGACGTAATGGTAAATAACGTTGGAAAAGCAATCTATCGAGATTATTTGCCTGTCGCATTAGAGGAGGGGAAATATATAGCTGCTCCAAAGCCGCGAGTGGTTGGTCGAGGGCTGGAATGTGTTCAGGACGGGTTTGATATTTTGATGGGCGGCGTTTCAGCGACGAAGATTGTTGTTTCCTTATGAACAGCCGCCTTACCAGACGGAGCATTCTCAAGGCAATTGCCCAGAGCAGTACAATTTCTAGTTCTGTGCTTTTTCCCCTCAGAAAATAAGATAATTTAGCAAAGTCCACAACCGGTAACGTCCAGTTAATACCAATGACCAACATACTTAGCCACAGACAATATGTAGTCGGTGTACGTTGATGACAATATAACTTTGCATTGGGCAACAAATGGGACTTTGGCCAATGCACTCATGCGTTTTCTCCCGGAGCAACTTGGTGTTGTTGGGCCTCGCTTTCCGTCAAGTAAGGGAGGAATGAAGACGGAAGGTGACAATGGTATTATCAAAGAGCAAATCTCATGCTTCCCCGTATGAGAAATTCCGGGCTTCTTCACTTCTTAATCTTACGCTTACTTTTACCCTTCTCATCAGGTGACTGTAGACTTGGATACCGAAGTGTGAGAAGTGCGCAAAGATCCCACCTCCCTTGTGCCCCCTCGCCCACGCCAGGCAAGAGGTTTTGGCGGACAGAAGCAGAAAGAATATTGATTTCTCCTATACCGGCGAGGTGCCCGCAAGTTCTGTGCCAGGGGAACTTGATAAGGTAGTTTATATAGAAGTTCTGGAATGCACGGATCCCAAAGACGGGCTCGGTGTGTCATATTTGCGGACAAGCTGGTCTCCTCACTTGTGATGAGATATCACTGTTGCATCCCCGCAGCGCGAATGACTCGGTCTAATAGTCACTTGACTCCGGTGTCTTTAGGCCCATATTGACCCCTTGTCTCCATATGCGGGATTGTGTGAATATGGTACCATGGAACTTAAGGTCGGGCCTTTCAACTCCGTTTCAATATGTAACTTCGCTTCGCCAACATAGATATAACCAAATCGAGGAGTTTAGCTTCGTGGTTAGGCTGGCAGAATTATATCTGGTCAAAAACAACGTGCGGTAGGACACGACTTAAGACTATGTTCGGTACGAAGTCTGGGTGGGAGGGGACCTTCTGGCAGCTACATAGATCAACAGATGAACTCCATGTAGATCAGTGGTTCAATTTGATCACTCGACCCCAGGGAATGCTTCGCGATTCATGATCACCTGCCACAAGCAGCTAGTTCTACAGATAATGGAGTGGACCGCTCCACTCGATGTTAGTGCACTAGAAAGACAAGCTTTCGGCATCGACTTCGCGACTTGAATCCTGGAATTGCAGTGATTGATTGTATTTCGATAGTCCGACTGACAGCCATTACTTTCCTTCCACAATACGTAATACTCGAGGAATGCTTTCTATGTTGAAGGCTGATTTATACGTCCAAGATGTTTGTTGAAAGGGGCCTTATAATTATGGAGGTCGATGCACGTTCTACGAAGTATGAAACTGGGATGACCATGTCATAGCACGTCGTAATCAACGCCAAGGCCTGACTCGTGGTGGAGAAAGAAGACTGATATCGAAACCCCGATCAGTCGAGGGTCTCTTCATAACTGATACGCTGCGCTCTTTCTACCAGATTGTTATTCAGCCCTTTCATTCCATTCGTTAAACAAGAGGTTCAGCAATCGTAACCGAAGTCAAAATGGGACAAGGACGACAAGTACATACCACCATCAAGTACTTCGATGACCCTGGCGTGCCTCTTGTACCGATGATCATCGGCGGGTAAGAACTTCAACGCCAACTTTCACTGTCTCAAAACTAAGTTAATCTACCCAGACCTGAGCCAGGAAAACCTCAGCCTAAAGTCGCAATCGATACCACAATCACCGACATAACTGGCAGGGAAGATGAGTTCACGCTTGATGTTCAAGGGTTTCACTATGTGAAACATCAGAGTCAAGTAAGCTCCTGGGATGACGATGAGGAGATTAAACGCGTCAATTATCCAGAAATGGAGAAGCTTTGCTGGAAAGTTTTATCAGAGACTGAGAATCTGTACGCAATTTCCTTCTGCTGAGCATGGGTAGCCTTGGTAGCGGACGAGGGAAGCGATCACTAACGAAATCAGCCCTAAACCTTCGGAAGTGCATATCATGACGCACATCATCCGCCGTGGCCCTAAAGATGGAGAGGGACCCAAAGGCCCAGCACCGCTGTACGGTGTGCACGTGGATCAGTCATTTAAAGCCGCTGAAGGAGTTGCCCAACGGTGGTTAGGCGAGCGAGCTTCAGAACTGCTCAAGAAGCCACGCTACCAAATCATTAATGCAAGTCCAACTTTCATAGGCGAGGACGACCGAAGCTAATATTCGTTAGATGTGGCGGCCAATTCGTCCCATTAGCCGGGACCCTTTCGCAGTTTCTGACGCTCGTTCAATTCCAGATTCGGATCTAGTGTTTGTACCTGTGCGCTTCCCAGACCACGACACCGAAGCTGTTGAGGTGCGACCGCCGACAAATTCACCTCACAAGTGGTACTTTAAGGATAAGCAACAGCCCGATGACGTTCTCTTTTTCAAGCAAGTGGACTCGAGCACGAAGCCGGGGGTTCCCAGGAGAGTACCTCACTGCGCTTTCAAGGACAGCGACCTTCCAGACGGGGCTGGTGAGCCAAGGGCGAGCATTGAAGTCAGGGCATTTGTTTTTTACGATGAAGAGTGAATACAGAAGTAAAATAGTATCATATTCGCTCAAGAAGAGGTTGTATGATACCAGCTCCTCAAAGGCTTAATCCCTTAACAGAACTCATTCCAAGAATTTTGCAATGTGCTTTGCCAGAAGGGCATGAACAGGAGATGTTGGGTGAAGACTATCTCTCCACATGTATTCGTTTGCAGCATAAGTGCAGTTATCCCATTTCGTATCCGGCTCTGGTGTACCACTGCAAAGCAAGCATCAATAATGTAGTTTTGCTCAAGCTTTCAGTGCAACTTACTTTTGATATGCTGTACAGTATGAGGTGGAATTTTTATAGACAGCTGTTTCGCGATATCTAGTAGGGGTGTCAATAACCCTCTCGAACAGTCCGTATGTGTCGTAAAGGAAGACTGTCGCATCCTCGTGTGCCTTTCTCAAGTCCCGAGCCAAGACACGGAGACGTCCATTCCAGTCTTCCACGGCAGCTTTCTCCAGTGGCACACGGGTTGCTGCGGCACTTGACTGGGTCGTTCTTGGCATTCGTTCTAGAGGTGGCACATTGAGAAAAAGATAATTTCTCGCCCCAGCATCGTAGAGCTTCTCCAGCAACGCCCCATACTGGTCAAAGATCAGAGGATGCAGATCAGTAGAGTTCCCGTTGGTATAAGACTTTCCAATGTCGTTTATACCAATCCAGAAGCCGAAAAGAGTCGTTGTGGGATCCCAGGTTTGGTTAGCAGCGCTATAGTAAGGAAGGAACTGGTTCTCGATCTGTGTAATGACATCAATGCTGGAGGTAACCAGACTTTTGTCGACAGTCGCGCCGCTGTACGCAAAATTGTGCGTAAGAAGAAGAGAATCGTTGTAGGTCGTTGTTAAATGCTGAATCCAGTTCTCTCCGTTTGCGCTGGTAGGTCCGGGATAGGTTGGGTTGCCAAAAGGATTGGATGCGGATGGCTGTGCCCGACTAACAACAAAGCCGGTTCTCGTATACGAATCACCACTTGTATTCACCAAGTCAGTTACGGCTCCCGACACATGACACCTGGACTACGTACAAAGTGAAGAGCGTTTTCAACGAGGAGAAACCTGCGTAAGCTGCTGAACTACCGTTGACAGCAAGGGAGAGCAGCAACAAGCCGCCTTTGATCTTTTGTGACGCTGGAGCCATGGCCGGGAACGCAAAATTCTGTTAATGGTTGTTGGGTTGTAGTGAACCGCAACAATCAGAAGGCTTCGATTACATTTTATAACCTTCGCTGTCACGCGCCATGTTGAAATCAATAACTACTTCAAGACAATCCATCTACCGTCCCTCCGCAACGGACAAGCGGAACAGGTAGATTTGGTTGAATCGGTAAAAAGTACGTTTTAACACCATTTTGTGCCGTCTACTTAGGTGTTCGGGGGAATATTAGCACAAATGACGAGCCGCTGCCCCGCAGTGACGCTGGAGAAATCGCGGCCCCTAACATGTCTTGTTTTCTTCTACAGGGTGCGCAACTGAAAGAGGCAATTTCCTGAAAACGCGGGGTTGGTCCCACCAACTACTGTGGTCCCGCTGCCTGAAGAGGCATGCCGGCTCGGTTGGTCGGCCTATCGTGCGCGGAATCGTCGACACCAAATCCGATGGCAAGCTGTAGTAGTCAGACGACAAGTTCAGTTAAGCTGCAGTAGCGGGTATAGATAGCTTTTAGTACAAGTCAATCGTAGCCTATGTCCAGTAACTTAAAAATACGAGAAACACTTGGCTGATGTCTCAAAGCAAGTTCATGATTTGTTACCCATTGATGAAATCTGGCAACGTAGGAAGGTGGTGAAATCCAGAGCCAAAATACTCATAAACCTTCCTCACGCTATGTATCTCGTATTAGAAAACAAAACTCTGCTGAACAGACGACGTGATTTTGACGGCCTTACCGAACAAAAGATTTCTTCTAAATAATATGTGCCCCTTGAGTCAAACCCATGACCTACCACTACAACGTCAAGTATTGCCTCGGAGTCGGCCACTTCATTCTCAAGTACTACACAGCTTACTACTATTGCGAGCTCCAGTAGTACTGCAAGTTTCAGTAGCACTACAAGTTTCAGCAGTACTTCGAGCTTTACTAGTATCGTGAGCCCATATGAAGCCTGTCACGTTAACCCTTTTCGTACTCCACGGTGCTGCTCTACTGATGTCCTCGGCGCACCAACCTTCGACTGCACTATGCCTGCCGTGTCGCCTACCTCTTCCAGTCAGTTCACAGCTACTTGTGCCACCGCCGGGAGAATATCACGATGCTGTGCCTTAGGCCTTGTAGGTACCCTTCGCTTCTCCTTCAGAGTCAACAATCCTGACTAAAAGAATAGCTTGGCCAAGCTGTCATATGTCAAACCCCCGTAGGTGGCTCTCCCGCTAGAAAAGGATCGTCAGAAAATCGAACTCGTGAAATACTAATTTCGAGGTAGGCGTAGCTTTTCTGAAAAAGTATCATCTTTAGCGGAGCCATATGGCCATTCACACCAAAGGTCCGGCAAGGTACGAGGCGCAGTCGCCCATCGGAGAAAGAAACCCATTTTTAAATACAACCTTGAGATGCTAAAATCTGCACCCCTATATATGTTTACCAAGTTGTGGACACGAATGCCATCTCAAATACGTTTCAACATCACAAGCATCTCAACAAGTGGACCCCGTAGTCCAATCGCTCAGAATTATGAAGCTACCTTCACAGCCTACTTACTCGCTACACGAAGTTAGCAGCACTTTGCATTGGGCTGCCTTTCCGGTAGAGATTCGACTGATGATTCTCAAAGAGTTTCATAGAGAAGATGGAAAGCATAATTTATCAGACTGGGCAACCGTTTGCAGTGAATGGCAAGCCTACTTCGAACCGATGAACTTTCGCAACCTCAAGCTTCAATTTCCCGGTTTTGATATTGATGAATTTAACTCAATAGTCTGCGACTATCGAAGACATCTAGTCAAGAAAATCTCACTTCACGTGATAATAAAGGAGTACGATACTATCGACAGGTTTGACAAACCGGAGACCAACGCTACGATTAAAGCAAACAACAAGCTCTTCACCCAGGCTCTAAAGAAGCTTTTCTTTTCCCTCTCCACCTGGGAGGCTAGTAGCTCGGACACAGGAGGCGTTGAACTATGGTTGAGCGCTAGCTCCCCTAGTGATGCAGATCACCCGTGGAAACACCGCCATAACTTCAGTCAACCTGATCGAAACCGTATATACTCCTTGAACTCCAAACAGCGCCTTCTCGGCAACTTGATAGACGTTAGCTATAACGCTCTCAAACTTGCTACGGTCTCTATTATCACGCGTTTCTCAGTAAATCAATATTGTTATAGGAGTCTATCAAGTACGTTACTAGTAAAAATACTTTCAAGCCTAAGTCGTCTTAGAACTATTAACTACGAGCCATGGCATACGGTTCATCGATCAGGCGAACTTTCGCGCGACAAGGCTATTATCAAACTACTCGACTATATCAGTAAATCTACTACCATCAAATCATTACATCTTTGGGAAGCGCAGTCTCGGCTACATAGAAGCCCGCGTTTTCTTAGGTCTACTAATAACGATCTTATATTATCGGCGGTTAATGCAAGTTATAACCTTAATAACTTTACTTTATGCCACGCTATCGATGCGAAGTACTTTTTTCAATATATATCGCAGCACGTATCTAAGAAGCCTACCGATGCTTTGAATAATCTCCGGGTCTGGCCAGCCCTCAGACACCTAGCCTTAACAACTTACATTGGAGACCTGATTAACCCGTCAAACCTGGAACGCCTACTTCTTAATGCAAGCCAAGCTGCTTTGCATATGCCCTTACTAAAAGTAATGGAACTATGGGCCCCGGGCGTCGGCGAGGTTTTCCTCTTCAGATATGAGATTCGAAAGGATAAGGCCATGCTTACCATGGTGGCATCATGGCAACTCGAACTAAGTAAGGACGTTGTAAAGTCATGGAAACTAGTAGCATCTTACTGTGCGCAACGTGAACTCGCTTATGAGATAAGGCTGGTAGGGTCGGAGAGTACGACGTCGCAATCACCATTTGCTGGTTGCTTCACAATGCGATTGGGGAAGGCACTCAGAGAATGGAAATGATTTTGAAGGGTCGCCGAGATAAGTTTACAAGGCCGTGATCGGCTTCTAGGCATGTGTTGTCATAATGCATGTCTAGTGTCAGGCTGCGTAGGTATCGGCAGGGGGATTGGCCATTATTATCAGCTAAAAGGACGTAGACGGGAAGGTCTCTGCATTTCGAGGTTTTCCAACGCGCCAGCTAGCAAAAGCACTGACATCAACTTTCGAAATAAAAACAAGCGCCGAAAGGGCCGTTGCAATCATATCAGACGCATTCTCCTCCGCATATTATCCGACAGTACTCCGCTTGAACTCCGCGTGGATGCGGGAGCTACCCTGCCGGCCATTCTAGACGTCAACTACCAGCGTATGCTCTTCATCGGAGAAAAACGATTTCGATTATCAACTCTATCGGTTCAATGTAATAATATTTGGCTGATCGGTAACGCGTTAAGCGACTGCGTTCTTTATAAATCACTCCAATCACCACACTCATACTTGCCACAAAATGTAATTACATCCACTAAATCATATACACACTTCCAAGGCAGCGCTTGCAAGATACCGAGCCACAGCTGTCGGTTGCCATTCCTGTACACAACACTACTGTCGCACCATTACACCATGAGTACTGGGTGGAATCCTCAAACAGACATGCCCAACCTCAGTGGCAAGGTTGCTGTTGTCACTGGTGGCAAGTAAGTACATTAATTATCTACCATACGAAGAATAGTTGCCGGGTTTCTTTTCAGTGGCTGAGATAACACGTCCAACAGCAGTGATATTGGTCGCGAAACAGCCAGGTTCCTTGCCGCGAAGGGAGCAAAGGTGTATTTCACCGTACGCTCAGAAGAAAAAGGGTGGCAGACGCAAAGGCGTATCCAGGAGATGAGCCCGGAGATTGATCCGGCAAAACTGCATTGGCTGAAGATGGATCTCACAGATCTTGACAGCATCACCGCCACCGCCGACCGCTTGAAACGGGAGGAGGAGAAAGTAGATATTCTAAGTGCGTGGGATACCCGGACACCATCATTTGGAGTTATTGGTCCTGACTAGCACATCCAGTCAATAACGCAGCAGCTTCGACTTGGTCCACCGAACCTGTTGGTGGCGGGTGGGAAATCCACATGGCCGTCAAGTAAGTCTCTGGATCTCCTCAAAGCCAACAATGCACTAATAACCTCAGCCTGATTGGGCCTTTTGTCTTTACAAACCGTTTGATGCCGCTGCTGAAGAGCGCTGCCTTGGACAACAGTGCCGACGTCAGGATCGTCACATTGAGCTCTAGTTCTCAAGTCGCTATGCTCCCGCGGAGGTTCAAGTTCCCTTTCGAGTCGCCCGGCTTCCTCAGTAACCCTGTCCCTGAGTATCCCTGGAAATCGCGCTACTTTGTCAAATACTTCTTCGGCTTTGACATGGTCCGCTACTCTGTGTCCAAAGCCGCGAACTTCATTTTCGCCCAAGAGCTACAACGGCAGCTAGACGAACAGGGTTCACCGATCTTGTCCCTTGCCGTGCATCCAGGAGAAGTTGCTACGGAGGGGTTGTTTGCAATCAACAACGTGGTGGTGAGGACGATTGCTCGATTGTCTTTCCTTTCGCCTGAACAAGGAGCGGCCAATCCCGTTTTCGCAGCAGTCGCGAGAGAGATCAGGGAAAGTCCCGGACACTTTAAGGGGAAGCTCCTCACACCCGTTGGGAAAATTGGAGAAGCTAGTCATGCAGCTTCAGATGAGAGTCAAGTGAAGGGATTGTGGCAGAACATGATGCTTCAGGTGAATAAGCAGTTAGTCAAGGACAGACTTCCGGGACTACAGCCATGGTGAACGAAGCTAGACAGATTATTGAAGCCAGCATTTCAAGCTGGACTTGGTCAAAGAGGATACATTGTAATTGTGTTTTTGGAATTTAAATCTATAAGCGGTTTGAAACCCTTATCCGATCTTTTTGGTGAAGTTGCCGCAGTGGGCAAATGAGAGACGCCATGAGTTCACCAATTTGACGATAACTTCAATACATCACCGATACAGAATCTCCAGTAGTAACAACCCAACGCTCGACCTTTTCCAATCCCCACATGACGGTAAAAAGCAAACGAGCAAACTCATCAACATCAGCAGCAGGTACGCCACGCTCTACTAAGGAATGGCCTTGGAGGCTTTGGATAAACAACGGATCGTGCCTGCGCGCCACAGCCTCCCATCGAGCTGATGATGGTGCGTCCCATAACTCCGCACGAAGCGTAACGAAAACATCGCCATGGCAAGCATGAGACCAAGTCTGCTGGAGACTACTATACACACCGGTCGCAATACTGGTCAGCAGAAACGTTCGTCGTACTGATTCAGAGAGAATAAAGGCCCGATATAGGCTGGGAATAGCCTCGTTTGCATCTCGTCCACAGTCTTCCATCATAGAGAGGGTGTTCGGGTAAATGGCGGAGGTGGTTGCGTCCAAAGTAGCAGACTCCCAAAGTTGGCGGGCCCAGAGGCGGAGTACGTCTATTAGACTCTCCGCCTTCGCCCGGCGGGGGATAGAGGATGAGAAGAGTGACACTAGAAGATGGATCAAGAGGGCTTGGGTGCGAGCTAGGTGCTCTCTCGTCGTGAGTAAGGAGAACGATGTATCCGTTCCGGAGTGACTGGCAAGCAGGTCCAGAATGTATGTTGAAGAGATAGCATCGACAGCGTGCTCATTGTCTGAACTGACATTCTGCGCGACCGCAATGGCAGCATAAGCGTCTTGGATGCAGCGCGGCATCGTTGTCTCCAAGTACAAGTGCCGGTGGATAAAGGGATTGTGACCCTTGCGGAGAAAGCGGACAAGCCAAGACTGGAGCCCACGGACGAAGTTAGTGAAGACGGCAGCAGGAGGTATGAATGACGGAGGCTGCTGTTGGTGGGCAACGTCCCACGATGAAGACATAAGGAACCAGCTTAATCGTTCCGTTGTGGGGGTCAGTTGCCTTGTCCTTATGTCGTTTTCGCAAGTGCCTGATTGCGTTGTGGAGCAAGCGGACGAAGAGGCATTGTTCGAGTCGATTGTAGATATCGCTGCGTCGATACTCTCCAGTGTGGTTGGAATACACAAGTTTTCGTCCAGTGTATCTAGTTGTTGTCTAAACAGAGCGTCGCCTACACTGTACTGCGTGCCTGGCCATGACTGGTTTAAATCCCAGCTGTTATTGAGCTCTAAAGTTGGTCTCGAAACTTCAACGGGTGCCGGAAGACGCAGGGGACGTCGAACAGGGGCGTATTTGCATTCAATCTCCCTATCCAGGCAGCGAGAACAAGAGGGGAGCGAACGATCGCATTGCCTCTTAGCCTCGACGCAAGGGAAACACGATTTTTGTTTCGACCGTCGGCCCATGACAAACTGGATCAGATGTGATGAGAGAGCTAGGGGGCAGAGAAGAAAGGGACCAGAATAGACAAGCGTTAAGTCGACGGGTTTACAAGAGGCCTGGGTTAGGATTCTAGGTGGTGGAGTTGTTGCGGAGATGGTGCGGACATGGCCGAGGCAATTTTAAGTTTTGCGCTATGACAAGTTTGTCTAGTTTTGAAGAGGTAGAATATCAAACGTAAGGCATGATGGTCAAGCCTGCAGCCATTTCGCAACCACATAAGATGAAGGGCAACATATAGAAGTTGACAATGCAAATGGATTCGATCGTATTGTCAGTCCAAGGTGGCCGCCAAGGGTTGAGGTCGTTGCCTACAGGAAGATGAAAGTAGGTTTGTTTTCTCTCTAAGCGGTAAGTATTGCATCTGGAAGCATCCCTGCAGGGCTGGAAAAGTAGGGCAGCCTCAGTAAGTCGCCCAAGGCGGGGGAAAGATCGACAGTGGCTGTAGGTAAGTCTGTGATAAGTAATACTCCAAAAGTTCGTATACTCCTCTACGGAACACCTGTGATGAGCGTGTCTCGGAAGTTGCTATAGTTTCTTGATGGATTGTAGTCCTCTACACCCTGTCCACCACCAACCCCCAGATCCTCGCCCTCAAAGACACAAATCTCGGCATACTCCCCATCATCCGCAACCCTTACCTCCTCTCTAGAAATCAAAGGTGTCAACTCATTACACCACCCCCGTTTCTCCGTGTCAGAATCCTCCCGGTCCTCCAGGTCCTCTTCCTCCTCGACATCGTAACAAACGACCCCGTCATTAATCCACAGCGCGACCAACCAGCTGAACGCCAGCGGCCAGAAAACAACCACCATAGCCGCGATTTCAGCGTCAACAACAGCCCGCACGGAGACGATCCACGCCGGTTCAGCCTGGTGGTCATCCGTCGACGTGCTGTCGGAAGGGAAGTCGATCCAGGAAGCGCATCCCAGACCAGCAATAGCAGCGTCGATGAAGCGGTCGAATGCAAACCGGCAATCGATAAAGTAGCCAAAGAAGAGGATGATGCCGTCCGACACGTAAATCCATGCCGCCGCCTGCAATGTGAAGGATATCGGCTCGCCTCCGTTGACCGCGATGCGCAGCACCAGTATTTGGAAAATGATTGTTGTGAAGAACATCGTGAGAAAGACTGCTGGGGCGCGTTGTTGGCATGGTTGGCGGCGAATAAGGTTGCTCACAGGCGTCTGGGGCCTTTGCCGATGAGGATCAGTTTCAGGGTGGTTCAGATTTGCCTGGCTTTGCAGCATGGCGTAGTAGTCCTTGTAGAAAAGGAGAATAACATCGGAGGAAGTCATTGCGTTGATTCGCCGATGGATTAGTTGAATACAAGTCGTACAGTCTGTAGAAGATGGGTAATTTCGATGATGGGGAATGGAAGATGGCGTTACTGCAGCATGATATACTAATGGCTCGTTGAGAAAGCATCTTTCGGAGATGAATTCGAGGCCCATGGCTCTAGCCTCCCAGCCATCCATAGCATCGTGTACGCTACCAATTGTCCTAGAAACTTAATTCTAACTCAACAAACGATCAAATAGAAAAGCTAGAGGCCGTTCCTCTTCTCAATATTAGTGGTACAGTATACAGTAATAGTACAGGATATCGGGCGACTGATAAAAAGCCCCTCAACTCCGATAATGGCTCAAAGTACAAAATGATATCTCGTCGCGCCACGAGTGGTGAGAAAAAAGCATGTACAAGAAGCAGAATAAAAAGGCCCCAAGTCTCGAAAGCAAGGTATCCTTAACCCCATTCGAACACATCCTCCTAATCAACATCGGCCAAGCTGGTATCAGAGCTGTTGCCGTCTTCGCCGTGACTCTCCTTCCATGATGCCATCTCCGCTACTGGCACTCTTCCCCTAAGCCATCGCAGAGTTGCTTCTGTACCACGCTCAAGAACGCTATACCTAGGTACTCTGAAACGGTTACCAGAGACTTCCAGACGCTTAAGCCCACCAACGCCACCCAGCAGGCCGATCCGAGGGTTCAAGTGCGCGATGTCATTGTTACCGCAGTCGACAATTTCCAAACCCTTGATGCTGTCTGGGTCAAGCTCGATGAGGTGATTGTTTGCGACCAGGAGGACAACCAGGCGAGGAAAAACGGTGCGCAAATCAGGGGGTAACGCAGTGATGCGATTAAGAGAAACGTCCATCTTCTCGAGCTGAGGGGCGTGCAAATGCGAAGTCAATGGGGTGAGGCTGGTAATGTGGTTGCTAACCAGGTTCAACTCGCGCAACGCTGGCAGCTCGAGCTCCTCTGTGAGATATGTCTCGCCAACAAGTTGGTTGTGTGCGAGGGAGAGGGCAGCAAGGGTCTCAGCGAAGAAAGACAACGAGTTGGGGAAACAAGTAAACAGGTTATGATGAAGCTGAACCTCTCGGACTTGGTTGTCCGCGGCAACTCTCGAGCAGACAACCGGGTGGAGCGAGGATGACTGCGTGTTGGAGCGATCCAGAACACCGCCTTGTTTCACAGGCCAAGTTTCCTTGGCAAGTGTTTCCGAACGAGAGCGTGCAGGTGATGTAGGAGACGAGGTAGGAGGAGTAGCAAAATCATCCGCGTCCGACTGGTTGTCACGAGTTTCCTTCTCATTAGGTGCGGCAGGTGCATCCTTAATGGTTAGCTTGCCAAAACCGTCGGCTATCTCGTCCAGATCAGCCACATCGGGCGCAGCAGTGGTAGACTCAGGGATCGAATCTTGGAACGTTGAGGGCGGCTCAAGCCTTGCAGCCAAGATATCCTTCAACTCCTCTGTGGTGGCAGAGACGAACTTCTTGTCGCGTAGTGGATTGCCGCTCAAGCGAATCATGTTCAGGTTATCCATCTTGCTGATTTCCGGGGGAACGACACGAATATCGTTGGCGGAGAAATCGACGTGCCTGAGCTTTTCGAGACTAGTGAAGCCGTTGGGGAACTCAGGAATAGCGTTCTCATTCGCGGTCAGTGTAAGAAGGCTTGTCCAGGAGGTGACATCGGGCAGTTCCTTGAGGCGGTTCATCGACAAGACCAGTTGGTGGACTGAAGGTAGGCCGATAGTCGAGCCCGAAGCAACAAGATAGGCCAGCTGGTTGGAGGATAGATCCAGCATCTGCAGGTTCGAGAGGGACTCCACCTCATCCTTGATGAGGGTACCGGATAGTTTGTTCTTCTGGGCGAGTAACTCCGTGAGGGGCAGTTTCGAGAGGTTGGCAAAGGGGAGAGACTCAAAACTGTTTTCACTCAAGTTCAGAATTCTCAACCTGGTGAGGTTCTCAATGCTTTCCGGCAGAGATGTCACGTTATTGCCGTGAAGGTCGAAGATCTCAAGGTTCTCAAGCTTGGCAAAGCTGGGGTCCAAGGGACCGTACAAAAGATTATTTGCCAACTTCAGGTCGCGGAGAGCAGTAACCTCGGAAATAACGTCCAAGCAGTTGTTGGCCAAGCGGTTTTGTGACTGTCAAGTGTCAATTGTGAAGCCTGCAATGAGGGGGATATAAGCTAACTTACCAAGTTCAAGGATGTAAGCAGGCGAAGTTGCCTCAAACCCATCGGCAAAGAAATCAGAAGATTGCCGTGCAGGTCCATGGCCTCGAGACCACCAAAAATATTGCCATTGGAATCCTCATCTTCAGCCATTTGCTCTGGTGCGACATCCGGGAAAATAGAGTCATCAATGGTTTCCAATTCGTTATCAGCAGCCACAAATCTTGTCAAGTCGACACTCTCAGCCCATGAGCCGTCGTACGTGCCAAGGGACTCCATGTCATACATCTCCAAAACGTCTTTCGGAATCTCCTTCAAGCCCATTGCTGCAATATTAAGTCTTCCGGTACTGCGAGCAGCTCCGAGACGTTGGTGGATAATCTTAATTGTTGCATTCTCCGTCCTCTTGGTATTGAAAGGGTCTTGTGAGAGGGCAACTCCAATGCCAAAGTCGAAGCCCTCATCCGCCGGAACAATAGGAGGCTCCAACTGCGTCCTAGGAGCCACTGCTTCCGTTTCGGGAGGAGGGGGTGGTGCGGATTCTGTAGCCTCTGCTGCTTGGCGATCTGCAGCGCGCTTGGCTGCCCTGGCTTTAGCGATCTGGTCTCGTAATGCGGCAGAAGCTTTCCGGAACTCATTAGGCTCCGCTGGTTCGGCAGGAGCAGGAAGGTTTGCTTTTGTGGGAGTGGGCTTGCGAAGGGTGCCGTAAGACTTAGCGGCCTTCAACTTTGGCGTAGGCTTTTGAGGGGGGGAAGAAACGAATGCTGGCGTGGTTTGGTTCAGCGTAGGTAGAGACGGTTTCTTGAAAAGACCATTGACCGATGTTCGGGGCTTCAATTGACGAGCGGGCGTCGTGTTGAGTCCAGCCTTGGGGGTTGGGATATTGGCGGTTGATCTTGTCGGGCTGGGGCTCTGGTGAACGGGGATTCCCGAGGCAGGCCGCCCTGACGGAGAGGTCTGCGGTGTGGCTCTAACAGTCGGTGCTTTAAGAGACCTCACGCCAGACACTCGCCTGGTTGGCGTGCCTTCGACAGCTCCCAGCGGCCTGAAAGCAGTTGCCGGGCCTCGAGCAGCTGCGAACGGGTTTTCTTCAGGACCGGAGCTTGAACCTGGTCTACTATGGCGTGAGGGTGGGCGCATAGAACCGTCGGAAGTGTAGCTTGAACCGGGCCTCGAGGTGCCACTGGCAGCGCGCGAACGAGGACGTGTCACACCATCGGATTCGAAGAAGGATGACGGTTTCTTATTGAGGGCGGGTGATGAAGGCAGCTGGGACAGCGTTTCGATCGTTCGCTCGGCGAGTGACGGTCGAGGCTTGAACTTTTGTTTCGGAGTTCCAAAGTTCTGATACTCGTTGTCGACATCGTTGCTTGCAGGAGGGCTCGTATCTTCAGGCAACAAGGGCACGTCCGGGGTTGGGCCCGAGGCGGGAGCAGCAGAAAGCGATTCGCTGGGAACTTGTGTCAGGCTCGCGGATCGTGGAATGATGATATCTTCCGTGTCTTCTGGGGGCGTCGGAGGGTTGTGGAAAGCGGGTTCGTTGGCATTAAGCCGCGGCACGCTTCGTGCAGTCTTCAAAGTGCCAGCGGAAGGTCTGGTTTCTGGTTTCCTCGTTGCTGGGGGAGGTATCTCTCGTCTCGGTTTCGGAGTCGGCCGAGGCTCAGGTTTCTTAAGGGCAGGAGCTGGTGCCAATTGGTCTCGAGAGGCAGCTGGTCGAAGACGGGGATTCCGAAGTCCTCCCGAGTTTAGACCTTCACGAGAGGGAGAAGGTCGAACAGCAGGAGCTGGCTTAGGGGCAGGAGCAGCAGACCTAGGAACGGGGAGACGGGAGAGTCGAGGAATTCCGCTAGTCCTGCCGGGGGCCTGCTTCTCGTCCATTATGGTAGCGAGTGTTCTCTACTGCTTCGAGAGCATTCAGAGGAATAGGTATTGAATCGATCGCGGGTCGAGGGTACGGAGGATGGGGTCATGTATAATATTGATAATAATGGGCGCACGGATTCTGACGGGAGTCTTAGCGTGTTCGCTGGAAGCAGCGGGAGGCGTTTTGTTTGCTCCAGTCGAGTTGGGACGGGAGCTAGCAAAAGTAATCAGAGTGATGTAATAGTAATATATCGCGTCGTTCCGTCTCCGCCGACAACACAAGGCTATTGAGCTGTAGTGTGGGAATGGCTCTCGTCCGGTCGAGAGGAGAGCTGTGGCTGGCTACACGAAAGGTAGTCAGCTCTGGCTACGTTTGAAGGCTACAGTGAGATATGAGAACAATGGCAAACTCACCAAATATGCTCTTCTTCTTTTTTTTTGCCCCTTCTCCCCCAGGAATAGGGCAATCGGGAGGATTCATGGGACCCTTTGTCCTTTCCGGGGGGGTGGCCGAGAACAGACAGTGGGCGGCAGAGGTAAAGTGGAGGAATGGCATGGGTAGGCGAATTTGACTAATTTCCCGGCCCAACTGCCAGGTAACGATTGGGAAGCATTGAAGGTACGTACTGTGTCTACCTAAATCAGTGAGCCAATAAGGTATTCGGCTGTTGTCCCACCCGTTCTTGCCAGTCACGTGCTAAGATGATTGATTGGTTGACATCGCCTGAAGCAGCTTAGCACACCTTCATCCTAGCGCCAACAGCCAGTTATCGTTCCTGCATATGTCTTGGTTTCGTGTTTGCAGAGAAGGGGCGATGCTGCAAAGCAAAAAAAGTAGACAGGGACGAGCCAGATTTAGTAGAAAGTGGCACTTTCCGTTTCCAGTTGGTATTATTTATGAAAGATTCAATAATGCCGAAAAGAGGCAGCTGGCCTCGGGCCGTGACATGAATGCAAGCCGAAGAATGCCCATTTCGTTCGTTTGTTTTCCACCCTTTTTAACACTGGCGATTCATGAGTCTGAACAGGATCCGAACAAACAGGGGAATGTTCTCTTGGAATTATACCCTTTAGTCCCCCTTCTTTTCCCTCCTTCCTTTTTTTTTTTTTTTAAGCCATTTACCCTATCGATATGTTGCAGTCTTCGTCTCGGCGTTGTGAAAATGTAACAAAGCAATCATGGCAAAAAAAAGGATAAATCTGCATTTAACCGCTTCGTTAGTAAACTGGGCTTGAATCGAGTTGATTGTTAGACGAAGCGTTTCAACATATTTTGATCACCAGTAGCTGGTAAATTACCCCAGGCAAATCTATAAAGCAGGGGCGTCCCTGAACCAAGCAGACCAGGAACTTGAGGCTCAGGGCACTTCGGATGAGAGCCATCATCCCGTCCCAGAAGTGCCAAGGTTTTTGGTCCCATATCTGTCTCCCGAGACACCTGGTCAGCCCATTCGCAGCATTGTTTTTGGCCCGTCAACCTTTGTCACCCGCATACTGAACCCTTGCCGATAAAGATCATGCAACTTGCCCCTCAATTGCCGCAGTACATCAAGTTCGGGGGATAGCCACTTTCCTCCGGCAGCAGTAGCCGTGGTAAAGTCGACCTCAAACAAGGAAAAAGTTAGCCTTTGAACATTGCATTCAACCTCCCATGTTCAATCTTCTTCCCTTGCAATATCCTATTCTCTATCTCTCTTAACATCGGCGTCGCTCTTGCTCTAGTGCCTTTGTTGAAACAATCGATTGAGCGTCCTAAGGTTAAGGGAGGGCGAAGGAGACTGCAGTTTATCCGAGCTTCTGGGTTTCCGACTGAGCAAGATGGTTGGCCAATCTAACAATCTTTATGTTTGTAGAAATAACGGTAAAGACGAAAGTAAATTGAAACATAAAAAAACAGAGATGTTTACTTAGCCCTGGTGTGGGAGCTGCGTGAGACTCTTTTACTCGGCCTGTATTGTCGTCATCGCTGTCGCCGTGTTATCACCGTTGCCAAATATCACCGTCAATTATGTCTTCGTAACCAACGTTGTATCTGTGTCCCAAATATCTGTATCATATCCTGGAGCTCCTGTTTTGGCCTGTGTGCGGAGCCGGGCTTGCCCATTCATTTCAATTCTGAGAGCTTCTCTAGCTACACGTCATCCCATCTCGTTGAATTCGTCGCACTTTGGAACAACTAACTTTATCTTCCATTTAATAGCTAAGCCTTGAAGTAGACTATGAGAGCGACTGAGGCAGATCGGCCGAGATCCTGCGGTGAGAAAACGACTAATAGCATGCTATGCTGGAGTTTTAATTGCATTGTGTGAGAAACGGCATCCCAGAGACAAGTGCAACTAGAATGCAACAACGCTCTATATACCACATCTAGCAATTTTGAAGCATTGTAAGTACAGCAATCACTAACTGAGAGACTTACAATATTGATGTTACAAGCAAACTGTTGTTTGGGGTGCGAGAAGGTATTAATTTGCCATGGCCCCTTTCTCAAATATGACGGCAACAATGATTTGGGTGGAACTTTCAACGTCTTTTATTGTTCCAATAAACTGTCAATTATCAACTGTTCTGTAATCTTACCATAGCTGCATTGTTGTAAATTGGGAGTCTCAGTAATTCATGTTTGAAATCGCACAGATGAATTGAATACCTAGCTCACCAAGTCAAGAGCGCCTGTAGTTTCCTTTATCAGAAACACAAACTTTGATGCTGTTGAGGTTTTCTGAGCCGTCTTATAGCATTCACATATGTCGAGGCAACCTACTTGACGGTTCAGGACAGTCGACTTCAACCCACTCATCATCACCAATGAGGTGACTCGAGAAATACGACCTCCACGGAATTCCATGTTGGCTTTCGTATCCGCTGACATACCGCTGACGCGCAGCAGTCAAGGCCAATGTGGATTCTATATTCTTTACCAATGCTTACATCCGAAGTGAGGCCATTTCACGGCATCCTACTGCTGATCGGTAGGTCTTCGGTGGAGGATCGCCAGGGGTTTGACTCGTCCGATATCCATAAGAGGGTAACACAACCCATCTACCGCCCAATGACGCCCGTTTAACGACTGGAGAACTACCGACATCAACAATGAAGAATGTGGGGTTCTGCTCAGCAATTTCCGATGAAGCGATCCGTGCAACTTCACGATTTCCCATTCGGGTACCGCAGAGTCGCGATATTGGTGGAGCATGGTTCCATTTGATGGATTCCATTCAGGGGATGCCGGCATCGAGAATCCAAAGTATGCCCCCCGACATCCGGAGCCTCTCTCGAGATATAGCCTCCCTCACGTCCGCCGTGCACGCAAGCCAAGACCGTAGTCTCTCGTCAACTCCAGCTGTCAAGCAAGAGCCAGTCTTCACGATGTGCAACACCAAGTTCTTGGCGACTTTTGCCGGCCTCCTCGCATCCGCCAGCGCAGGCCCCAGCGTGCAACTCGACAACGGCCTCACCGTACAGGGCCGCATCGCTCCGGACGCCTCTAACGTCGCCGAGTTCCTGGGCATCCCCTACGCCGCGCCGCCCCTCGACGACCTGCGTTGGGAGCCGCCCCAGCCCTACGTTGTCCCTCAGTCCAGCAGCCCCTTTGCGAACGGCACAGTCCTCAACGCTACGTCGCTGCCTCCGTCATGCTGGCAGTACATCTCTATCCACCCGGCAATCCAGCGTGTCGACGTCCCCGAGTTCATGATTGGCGATGCCGGCATGGACGAGGACTGTCTGACAGCCAGCGTCTGGGCTCCCGCTGACGCCGTTCCCGTCTCCGGCAGCGAGACCGAGGGCGGTCTCCCCGTGATCATCTGGTTCTACGGCGGAGGTTTCGAGACAGGCGGCACGGATGTGCCGTACCAGATGCCGCAGAAGTGGATCCAACGCTCGCAAGAGCACATCTTCGTCACGTTCAACTACCGCATGAAGCTCTTCGGGTTCCCCAACTCCCCCGCATTGGCGGAGCAGAACTTGGGCTTGTTGGATCAGCGCTTTGCCGTCGAGTGGGTCCGCGACAACGTCGCCAAGTTCGGCGGCGACCCGGCGCGGATGACGCTCTGGGGCCACTCGGCCGGCTCGATCGCCGTAGACTACTACAGCTTCGCTTACGCCGAGGACCCTATTGTCCGCGGCCTGGTCATGGACTCTGGCACCGCGCACCTGAACCAGCTGATGAACCCCGACGTGATCCAGTCCAACTTCACCTTTGTGGCTCAGCAGCTTGGCTGCGGTAACCAGACGGACGCCAAGGCCGAACTTGCCTGCATGCGCAAGGTTCCTGCTGAGAAGCTTGAGCGGTTTGTGGCTGACTACAAGGATTCCGGTGTGACCCCCAGCATCGGGTTCTCCCCTGTCATTGACAACAAGGTTGTCTTTGCCAACTATACCGAGAAGGCGGCCCTTGGCGAGTTCTCTGATTTGGTAAGTTGGCGTTAGAGGCCATTTACATGTGTATGTGTTGCTGACTTGGTATAGCCTGCCATCATCGGCTTCAACCACGACGAGGGTCTTTTCCTCGCTCCCTACGACGTCAACGGCCCTGACCAATCTGTCGCCGACAGCCTTTCCTACCAGTTTTTCTGGTGCCCTGCCACCAAGACGACCAAGTAAGACCTCCCATCTGGTAAAATTACCTGCAGACACAGACTGACAAACTTCTAGCGAACGTCTGGCTGCTGGAAGAACCACCTACCGCTTCTTCTACAATGCGGTCTTCAGCAACACTTCTCCCCGCCCTTGGATGGGTGCCTACCACGGAAGTGAGCTCCCCATGATCTTCGGCACTCATGCCGATTTCCGCGGTAACTCGACTCCCTTCGAGTACGAGCTCAGTCACGCTATGGAGGACGCCCTGGTTGCCTTTATCAAGGACTCTACTGCTGGTCTCGACGCCGTCAACTGGCCTGTGTACACCGCCGAGAGCCGCGAGGTGCGTACCTACGGCGAGAACAACGTCACTATTGGCCAGCGTACGTTGTCTTCTATTGAGCAAGGTTGTGCCGATTTGGGGCTTTTGTAGGCCGTAACTAGCTAAAGATAGAGGATTAAAATCGTTATTGAAGCAATATTGTAATGTGATTTGACTTTCAATGTCTGCCGTGACAACATCGACTTTAGTTTCTGTATGATTTTGATATGAAAATCGCTTGAGGAAAGAGGTATGCTTTCCCGTCTTAGTTTGCTACAGGACTGTTAGTGTGTCGTTCATGTAAAGGATATTGCTGCAAAAGGTGTCTATCCACTTCAACCTTCAGAAAAGAGACAATCATCTGTTTTCGGTTAAAGCTGCAATGTTTGTGTTGAACGTTTGGGTCAAAGTCACTGATAGACTGACATTGGTATTTTGAGAATCAAGATAGCTTCCTACATGTACTGTTCAATTGAATTCCAGAGCCGCTCACACTGGAAAATAAAGCACGTTTAAAGCTCTCTTATTTCTCTTGAATGTTATGTAGGAAGAAGTCGCTGTGGGGGTCTGTGTTGGTGGTTTCGAGATGAATCTTCCGAGCTGGATTTATTCATCAAATAAGTCAAATTAGTTTTATGATTTGCTGTATTGTTGAAGCCGACTTGTCATCTGGAGCGACCCATCGTTGAATGCAATTATAAAGACAGTTCGTGTTCAACGGCGTGTGTTAGAATTGCTAGAAAGCACTCTGCCAGAGTCACATTTCCTGTCTCGTAAGCATCGCTACACTAACTTTGCGTTGCGCAATCATAAGACAGCCTGGAAATTGAAGACCATTGATATCGAAACCATGGTAAGGAGTGATAGATGTTTAGCTTGCAAACTAATCTGGTCACGGATATGAGGTTCAAAATGTTGATATCACGAAGCAAAACCGGAACTGCGTCCTTCTACAAATGCTACCTGAAAAAAGGAAGGCATCTCATTGAGCATCCCTAAGTTTGAACGACGTTGATTATTTTAAGGTTGCGCCTCGATCACAATGAACCAATGGCCCTATATGTCAACAGTAGCAAGCTCACGCTTTTGTTCTATACGCCTGTTGTCATTTCTCATTCCCGCTTTGGTGATTAATGAACGTCATAGCCATCGCTGTCTTCAATCAGTGCCCATTTCGATGTATCCAACTCTAGCCGTTATGTTAATACGTGAATTGGCTATCAGTAGAAAATTGATAGTGGTATGGGCACTGGCCGCGCTGCGGAGCACAATTCTCAAACTGCTGCTGGGTGTTGGTATACTCCAATCCCGGGCTGGGCTCTACAGATCCTTCAATAAGCGCATTTCTGGCAGATAAGGGAACCCTTAGATGCTGAGTGACATAGTTAGGGTGACAGTCAGAAGGACTTGCAATCGATTGACATGGCATCAAGTGGGTGGATGAACCTGCGAACTGGGTTTGGGAGCGTTGTCATTACGGCGCACAGCCATTAGCTCTTTGCCTCTGCCATTAGCGAGCGGGCTCGCCACAACCACGGGCTGTGTTCGAAGTCTCTCCAGTCGGCATACTTGTTCCGTTTGCGCGGTGGCATTGAGGTTGACAGCTCCTATTAGCTGGCGAGCCCACTCGAGAACATGGCCGAGACTGCCGGTTCATTCGAGTCCAGCCCGCACGGAGAGGCAGGCCCAGGTCCAGACCGAAAAGGTCCACGAGACGGAGCAGAAGAAGCAAAACGGTGCTGGGGGGCTGTGGGGATCATTTCCATCCTAGACAAATGACAATCTGTAAACGCTCCTCTTGTGACTTTGCCATATTCTCCGGTACGTAACTATTGCCTGACATGACCGACAGTTCTGCCATAGTTAGCTAACGCACCTGTTTGCAGATCTCGATATTCCTTGCCTACATTTGCAGAGAGCCCAGACATCAGGCGGACATGGAACGAATGCGAGGTGTAGATCGGATATATCATTGGACCGGGAGCCCCCCCGTGGGAGAGTCTGGATACTGCAAAATGCTGGGCACGCCCGTTTTGGGATCTACAGGATAATTAAGAAAACGTGTGCTCAAAGTTCTGGGGGACATGCTTCGAACCACGCAAAGTTATTGTTTCCTAGCAACATCTGTGTTTGGTCGAGCAAAATCGCCTTCATGAGGCCCCGTGGCCAAGCCCTCCTCCTCGTGTTTTTACAGCTGCCCCAGGCTTTTCACGTTACGAAGCCGACCCTGGTTTCCGTCTGTGCTAGGAAACAAAATCCATTCCCCTATAGACGAGCCCTACAGAGTATGGATCATAGTACCAGGCCGTAAAGAATCATTCCCCTGTCGTAAAACTCCTCTCTCGGGCGAGAACCATGGCGCTATTAGATCCACGGGTCATCGTCCAGTTAATTCATCGAACTATGATCCCCTTGCCTCATCATGATCCTTCGCCTGGAGAAACCCGCGTGACCTAAAGCCAGGCATGTGGAACCACCCAACTCCACGCGAGTGTATGTATACAAAGGCGTTGAGGCGAAGTCTCAAGTTGCCGCTCGGCAACCATTGGCCGAAAGGAAGCTCCTCCCCGGTCGACAACGGTACAACTTGGCATGCCAACAGCCAACGCGTTGTGTATTATCCCTAGCGCGTCGTGGCCGGTACACCGGCAAACTCTGGCATACCATCCAGGACCCGGGGCCGTGGTTCATGACAGAGGACGATGCAGAGGCGAGACACGCTACTGACAAGTCTTGGGCTTAGCTTCCATGATTGACCGCGCTATGCTCCTACGAAAAAGACATCATGACAATATTCTCATGACTCTTGACCCACCGGACGAAGGCTTGTCAGCTTACTAGGGAGCAAAGTCTAGCAGCCCAGCCAAGAAGCCGAATAGGCCAATGGACTCTGCACAAGGCCCGGTTCGGCCGAGGCTGGCCGAGGGGAGGGTCTTTGGTTGGAGAAGACAGGGGGGTGATTCGCGCGGAACTCCACCACGAGAATCGACATGTACAAAGGCCGCACAAACCACTTTCTGGCGGGGGGAGACGGCAAGATGAAAGTGTAGAGCCGAAAGTCAGGACCTATTCCCTGTCGAATACAGATTCATGCAGGGAGATGGTGCTTCTTTGCTGGGGCCATCAGATGGTGGGTGAAATTAGGCCATTGTGTCTTGGCTCGCAATGTAGACGGCCAAAAAAAGGGCTGCTGATTGTCACGAGGCCAGCGGTTACTCTGAAAGGCCATGTGAAGCCGAATGTAGTCGGCGATGTTCCGGCCAAGGCGCAGCCAAGAACGAGGAAGTGAACTGCAGGCAAGCTTTTCTTAAGGCCTGCAACCCAAGAACAGGACAACCAAAGACATGGGACGCGCCGAATGGCCTCTGGAGCAAGAAACAATCCAGACTGACTTGGTCGAAATGCAAGTTTGCTTCCCTAGCGTTTTGCTTGTTCCGGCCGGGAGAGATCGGAGCCCACTTCACGTAGTACGGAGTAAAGGGAGTAGTTGACCTCGGACACAGCGGTAGAAATGGCTCCGGTTGGTTTCTATTAGCTAAGCCGAATCTTAGCCATCATTTACATGAGAATATTATCTGTACAACTCTGAAAATTAACATTTGAAAGAGGCATCTGGTTGCAATCCCTCAGCCTGTTCGAACACAAATAAATTGTGGTTATTTCTCATACCATTTGGAGAACCGACACCAACACATTTTCTGCACCCCGTATCACACTATAAGCTGTTGGATGGTAATATCGATGCAGATGCAAGTAGCAAATGATGGTGGTGGTGGGCAGAAAGTTGGGGAAACCCAGCAAAGGTGTGACCTAAATTGGGTAACGCTTCAGCGCATCTCCCCCATAAACCCCAGCACAACATGGTACTCGTTCAGGCGATGGTGGCAGCTCCAGCAGCACTCAGCACACCCACAAACTGTTCACCACAGGGCCTGGCCGAGCTTCTCCAGCGACTCCTCAGCGGCCCCAGGCTCCAGTGCGGCCCATCACGCCACTAAATCCCCAGACTTACCCCACATCACCCCCCAAAGCTCGCTTAGGTCGCGCTAGTCCCCAATGCGGATGGGCTAGACCAACCTGGGCCGCGCTAGGCAATTCGACTCTTCCGATCCCCCAGGGCCACCCAACCATCAATTTCACACCTCTTTGGAGAAGTTCCACCAATTGATCCCTCGTCTCATCGGACAACTCTCCCCAATCAAGCCCAGCGCAGTCAAGTCAAGCCTCGACGGTTGGCCTGTCTTTCTCGTCCAACTAAGAACACAGGCCCCCCAGAATCGACGGTCCGTCGTCCCTATGCCGCCGTCTCTCCCCCAGTAACGACCCCAGCTGTTGGACGCCTTCACCTCCTCCTTGTCTTCCTCGGCCTCATACTACCGTTGTCTTGTCTTCCTTACCCTGTCATCCCCCGGTTGGCTCCTCTACTTTCCTCCGCCTTCATCTGACCACTCAGATCACGTCAACTCCCTTCGACTACCTCCGCAGTTTTCTCTCTTGAGCCCTTGCAGCCACTCATACTCGTCCAAGACCGTCAATCCCGCCGCTAGACCTGCCCCCAGATCGGCTTTCCACTTAGCTGCGGGTTACGGCTCGCAAAATGGCCTGCCGGTTCACTAACCAGTCCCGTGAGGGCGGCCTGTCATGGCCACAACCACAGGCGGCATGGGTTCTTGGTACGGCACAGACGATGGATCCCCAACCTGGTCTGATTGGGGAATGGCAATCCAGGGGCCGAGCTTGGGGAAACTGAGCATCTCTCCTCCTGGAGGATGGGGGGCCCGGTAGCGATTCTATTCCATGCTACTTTCTCATGCAACCTGTAGACATGGCATGAGACGCTGAAAGCCAGTCTGTCGGTACGACCTTGAGTTTGACTTGACGCGACTTTAAAAATACCCCAACCACCCCGTCCCCAGCTCACGCTTTTGCTCGGCCTTCCCTCTTCTCGATACGACTCTGCTCCAGGAGCTTGCCAATCGCCAACAATCTCAAGCAGCCCGGGAATTATTCAGCCATCATGTCTCACGACATCAGAACGGCCGCGCAGCCGAACGACGATATTCGTCTGGAGAAGGGCGCTGCTCACGTCAACCAGCTCAACGATGTAGCTCTTGACGACAAGGTCCTCAACTCGGAGGCCCAGCAGGCCACCGACGCCGAGCATAGCTTCGGCGTTTGGCAAGGTCTGCGGACATACAAGCGTGCTGCTTTCTGGTCTATCCGTAAGTCATAGCTTCATGCTATTGTCAGCAGGTGAGCAGGCCAACTAACGTGTTAAACACACAGTCATCTCGACCACCGTCATCATGGAGGGTTATGATGTGACTCTGATTGGTTCTTTCTACGGCTACCCGGCCTTCCGAGAGAAGTACGGCGAATGGCTCAACGACAAAGACAAATACCAAATCTCCTCCACCTGGCAACAGCGATTCAACTGTCTCGGTGCTTTGGCAAACATCGTCGGTGCCCTCTTGAACGGATGGCTCACCCCCAAGTTCGGCCACCGCTGGATTCTGATCGCATCTCTGGGATGGCTCACTGCCTTCATCTTCGTCGTCTTCTTCGCCCACAACATTGAGATCCAATTGCTCGGTCAGGTCCTGTGTGGTGTGCCCTGGGGTGTTTTCGCCACCACTGGTCCCGCCTACGCCGCCGAGGTCACTCCCCTGGCCATCCGTGGTTACCTGACCTCCTACGTCAACCTTTGCTGGTGCATTGGCCAATTCATTTCTGCCGGTGTTCTCAAGGGCCTGGTCAACAGACCGGATGAGTGGAGCTACAAGATTCCCTTTGCTGTTCAATGGGTGTGGCCCATTCCTCTGGCCATTGCCGCTTACTTGGCTCCCGAATCGCCCTGGCACCTTGTCCGTGCCGGCAAGCTTGAGGAGGCCAAGAAGTCATTGGAGCGACTTTCCGAACCCGAGCACAACGTAAACCACGACAACACCATTGCCATGATGGTCCACACCAACAAGCTTGAGATTCAGGAGCAGTCTGGCGCCAGCCTCTTCGACTGTTTCAAGGGCACGAACTTGCGCCGTACCGAGATTGCATGCATGGCTTTCCTGTCTCAAATCACCAACGGTGGCGCGCTATGCTACTCTGGATCCTTCTTCTTCCAACAGACCGGTATCTCTGCTGACGCCTCGTACGCCATCAGCTTGGGCGGTACCGGCATCGCCTTTGTGGGTACCATCATCTCTTGGTTCTACATTTACAAGCTTGGCCGCCGCACCATCTGGATTTGGGGTTTCGGCTTCCTCGTGCTCATCCTGTGGACCATCGGCTTCCTTTCCGTCGCCCCAAATCAGACGGATCCTATCATCTGGGCCCAGTCGCTGCTTTGCATTGTATGGCTCGGTGCCTACTCCATGTCCGTCGGCCCCATCGTTTACACGCTCGTCGCCGAAATCGGATCCACCCGTCTGCGAACCCAAACTGTCGTGTTGGCCCGTAGCACGTACTACGTCGGTAACATCATCTGTGGTGGTATTCTCCAGCCCAAGATGCTGGCACCCGGTGACTGGAATATTAAGGGCAAGACTGTAAGTGATTTTGAACCTATGTACGTGAGGCTCGTCAAAAGCTAATTCTATTTCTAGGCCTTCTTCTGGTCGGTCCTTGCTACCTTGACCTTTGTTTGGGGTTTCTTCCGTCTCTTCGAGACCAAGGGCCGCACTTTCGGCGAGATGGATGTCATGTTCCAGAAGCGTATCTCGGCCCGCAAATCGGCCAAGTACCAGCTCACCCAGGAGGAGGTTTTCTTGGCGGAGCAGACGCAAGACGTTCCCGGCCGGTCGGAGAAGATCTGATTTACCATCGGATCTACGATATGCAAGATACCCAAAACCGCCCTGCTTTAGGGTGTCTGTCATTTATTGCTACCTATACCAGGCGAGGAAGCTTTGCCATTTTGTAATGGCGTTGCATCTGAGCTAAGCTTGATACCTAATACCCAATATGGAGCTTCAATTTCCATTCCATTCATCTGAGACTTGAAATATGTGATTTTTAAATATGCACTCTACGTGATACAGCGAAGACTTGGAAGATTCACCAACGGGTAAGAGACATGGCAGCTAAATATGAGATGACCTATGGCAGAATCAAAAACTTACCTTCTAGACTACTTCTTCGTCAACGGTTCGAATATCTCGAGACTGTAATCTTTCAGGCACTCTTTATCACACAACTGAAGCAGCTACTCCCTACTTGGTTTTATGAGCCAAAGTCAACCCAATGTCACTGATTCCTCAAACAGTTAATCATTCCATTTGTTACTTGTTAACCCATCCAAGGTGTGTCTGCTTCTATTTACATTGATTTACTGTGATTTACTGTTGTATCCACTGTTGTAGCTAAGCTATATACGCTTCCCATCTAACCCTCTAGCGGAAGAATATCAATAGCAGGAGTCTCATATACATCCCAGTTGTCCGATGCCTTGGGATTTCCAAACGGCATGAGAGCAGCAATTCGCATCTTATACGTCCCGGGAGGAATCTGGGTGCCATTCGCCAGTCGCCCCAGCCACCACAGCTGGGTACCAGGCAAGCCACTAATGTGTCTGGGCATGTCACGGATGGGCAGGGTGATCAAGTCGTTGGGGTCGTCTTCACCGGGGTCGATGTAGGGCCTCGTGTCCGCTCCAGTCCAGCTCGTCGCCGCTCCGATGAAACCCGCCTCGCCGGCGACGGGAGGGTACTTCCAGTCTCGCTCTTTCCACGACGCCTCGAAAATGTCCCATCTGAGCTCTCTCGTGGCGAACTTCGTTCGGACCCAGAGGCGAGGAAAGTCTTGGGCCTCGATTTCGAGGTTGAGAGTGAAGTTGGACTTTTCGGAAATGGGTATTTTGCTTGGGGTAGATGTGAGTTCAGGCCAGCCAAACGGGTAATCGAATATTGAGCCGACGTCCTTGTGCAGGTCGGCGGCCAGTCCCAGGTATGGCACACCAAGGGTTTCGCCATTGCTGCCCTTGATCAAGACTTTGCCACTGTATATGGGTAGCTGGGCAGGGTCGACGCCGTGGTTCTCGGGATACTTGAAGTTGAACTGCACGGATTTTGTCTCTCCTGGCTGGATAGTCACTACACGAGGAAACGATATTTGAGGGTTGAGCGAGACGCCGATTTGAGATCCCCAATTGTCCATGCCGCCAGATTCCTGCTGCTCGAAAGAGTACGACACTGGTGTAGAGCCCTTGTTGACGATATCGACTGGGTGGTAACGACTGAAGTGAAGTGTATCGTTGAGTGCGAATTTGGCAAAAGACAAAGCTGTCTCGTACTCAAGGACCTTGGTGGCGTTTATTAGACCAGTACCAACCTGTGCAACAGGTGCGAATGGAGTACCTTCGTCATCTTCAAGTCGGCGGTAAGTCCACTTGAGGGCATCTCCAGAAGCGATCAACCGCATCGCAAGGCTCTTGGCCCACTCAGGCCCGTGAGTGCTACGACCGCCAAACTTGCTTACGTAGAGAGCTGCGATGCCGGCGACATACGGGCAGGACATTGACGTTCCACTGAGAGTTACGTATCCGCCGCCAATGTACGAACTGAAGATGTCTCCTCCGGGAGCCGCAACGTCGGCCTTGATGAAGAGGTCATTTGTGGGGCCCCTGGACGTGGTAGCACTGATAGCACCACCCCTTTCCTTATTGTCGATACCGACGATATGAGAAGAAGGTCGGTCAGCGAAGTCTGCAGTCACCTTACCACCCGCCCTGATCGTACCAATGATGGCGTTAGCAACGCTGGCCTCCACCATGGCGATGCGGCTGCTTGTCTCTCCTGTGTTTGGTCTCACTAACGGCAGATCGTTGCTGTAGAATATGACGTGAGAGGCATTAAATGGGGCGAGGTTGCGCTGCTGTTGGTAATAGCTGCAGCTTCCGTGTTGCACGAGAGCAACGACGCCAGTAAGATCGGGGGTGCCAACCGGAAGAGCATCACAAGCCTCGCCAGGCTTGCTGTTGTTGAGGCTCAGGGGAACGATGGGCCAATCCTTGACTTCGGACGGGTACCAGTCCCGAAGAGCCATGTAGGCCACACGAGTTTCGTTGGACTGACCGTCCAAACTAAACACGCCCCTGAAGGAAGAAGCCGCAATCACATCGGCCTCGACAGAAGCCACCGCCACAACGTGCTCGCCAGACGATCCGGTTCCGGCTGCAAAAGCTCCAGCGCCGCCATTGTTTCCCGCGGAGATTGTAACAACAACCCCGTTTTCCACAAGCCTAGACGCAACTACAGCCCAGGCATTATCACTGAAACCATTGATGCTGCCGACGGAGCACGTTATGATGTCGACCTGTAACGAAGCGTGTAAGCAGAAATCGATTGCCAGAACCTTTTTTTTTTAACTTACGCCCGCATCATAGGCCATGAGAAAGGCCTCTATGAGAGTGTCTTCATCCGTACCGTCGAGAAAGCCGAACACCTTGTACGCATATAGGGTTGCCTCGGGAGCCACTCCAGTGAGACTGCGCTGTGTCAGATATGAACTCTCGGGCTGGAAAGACTCCAACCGGCTGGGCATACCTGCTACTATTTCCAGCAACGATGCCGGCGACGTGGGTCCCATGTCCTATCTCGTCCAATGGATCATCGTCTGGCTGTTTTACTTGGCCATTATTCGGCCAACCTGAGAGTTCTGTCAGCCTCTTCTAATGAGTAGAACAGAACAGAGCTCTAATCACATACCACTCTCCCCAACAAAGTCGTATCCTCCCTCGACCTTGAAGCCCTGTCCAAAACCACCGCCAAGCTAGAGAAGATTATTAAATAGCCTCTCCGCGCTTTGAAACACTAGCGATGCTTACCGCTTCATGTGTATACCAGACGCCAGTGTCGACAACGGCAACCTTGGCGCCCTTGCCCAGTATACCCGCAGCATGTAGTTTGTCAACGCCAGTCATGCGATGGATGTTATAGTCAATGGCAGTAGCTTTCTCTGTAAAGGATGCAAGAGGGGTGCCGGGAGCTAGTCTATACTTTCGCCCTTGCCATACTTGTTTGACGGGCTCAAGCGCCTGGAGTGTGTCGATGTTGTCCACATCAGTCTCGACAGCCGCACCAGTAAAGATCTCGCTCTTGAATAACCGGACGACCTTGGCGCCGCGCTGATTGGCAATGTTGTCGGCAACGGCAGATGCGTCGGCTCCCTTGGTGATGTAGGCAGTCAGCAAGTTGCCGTAGATTCGTCTGAGCGAAACAAACCTTGTTGAATTCAACAATGAAGCGCTTCGGCTCGATCATCGTCTTGTTTGTAGCCGTCTCTGTAGCATTGTCATCGGCCCGGCGTATCGAGTGGTGGTCTCCCAGCGCGGCAGCGCCGACCACGCCACAGGCCGCAAGGAGGAGACTAGACAGACGCATCTTGGGTTATCGTGCGCCTGACTGTTAGGTACGGATTGCAAAGACCGCTAAGGATGATTTGTTCTCATAGATTCCAAGTCATGGGAATATTGTAAACCCATTATATACGGCCTGCATTCCATATTCTACGCCTCATCTTGGTGATCTAATTCTCATGTACAACGCGTCCAGTATGACCTGCATTAGACGATGCAAGGCCCATCACAATTTGTTCGTATTCCCGCACTGCGATCCTACTAAAAGCATGGGATGGACGGCAAGGGCGCACATCCAATAACCTTGGCACGGCCGATCGTGTTCCTGTTGGAAATTCCCTAGGTCGCACAAGGCATTCATGGGCACTTCGTACATGCACAGCAAATTAACTGGCCACGCGAGAGACACGCTTCGAGCCACCAAAGTCGCGTGCTTTTGCCATGTGTACGCAGTAAGCTGACATGGCCCGATTCGCAGCTAAGCTCGCGTACTTCAGCCCAGTACGGCGGCCCCATGAACAATGTAACCTTATCTGGCCTTTTGTTTTGGCCTCCTGCAGCATGCGCCCCTTGGCGCTGCATCCTCTTGGTCAACATGCTTGGCACGGGAGATGCTAATCGGGATGCGGCAACCGGTGCGGAACGGCTGTTGAACATGGATAAGATACGTGTTTGGCCATTGGGATGACGTGAATATCAATAGCGCCAACTCATCGGCATCATGAGCGATGATATGAATGTGTCAATGGCGAAGACTATATCGGCCACGGCACCAGTTGCAAGGGTCTACTACATCCCCCGATCGATAGCAATGAATTAAAGGGATCTGAAGGCCAGTTTCGTCGTAAGTGATTACCAACTTTTCCACACTTTTGCTATTTCAAGTCCTATGCGGTATAATGTTCGTCTGAGACTGATCCCCCCGCAAACCGTGACATGAGCGCAAAGCTTAGTCCAAAACCGTCAGACATCGGCTTAGCTTACCATTAGGTCATGCCACCAGACGGCACAACTGACTTTTTGACATGAAGAGGGAAAGGCCGAGGGCACGCCGTATCTGTCGGTGGAACTGTCTGTTGGGTCGAGGGCTTCTTAGCAGATTAGGGCGTACTGGTAGTAGGCTGTAAAGATAGTTCAATCAATTCGCCATCAATCTTTTCACCCTACCCATCGATATCGTTTCCTTCTTACGTTATTGTGCGCCCAAGATTGAGATGGCTACGATTTTGCCCCTCCTGGTTGGCCAGGAAGCTACACCCAATGAACCCTACCATGAGCATAATAGCAGTCTAATTGAGAGCTCTCATTGTGTCCGCCTACTCTAGCCTTTGTGTCTAGAGCAGATTTGAGGAGAAGAAGAGGGGGGGCTTGGTGAGAGCCAATGACAAGAGGAGCTCGATGCTCTGTCTGGGAAGTTAGGTTAAGCTTTGGGTTGATCAGCGTCAGATCCAGGATGAAGGCTCGACAAACGGAGTCAGAAACTTTCCGAAGGAGACAACATCCATACGATTCGCTTCTCCACCGTCCACAAACAAGATCGGTATCGTTCATTGACAGGTCTTTTCGCCCTGCCCCTTGCCTGTTTCAAAACTTTATCAATACTCCGATGGGAGGGCTATCGAGTCTGCCGAGGGGGTTATCCCGTGCAGGTCGAACAGCTAGTCGACCAGTCAACTGATGGCAATCTCACCCTTCGCGGCCAACTCACGTTTACTAGCGCCCATCGACTACCACATCTGTCAAAAGCGCCGCTTCTTATGCTTTTTCAAACAAACGTTTCCCGCCGCACCATTCTCCTTCTGCGGCTCTCCACCCTCGCCGCGCTAGTGTCCGTTATGAACTCTTGAGAACCATTCAGCGACGAGTATCACAGCCAGGACCTAATCTTAACCCTACTAAGCGCTTGGCGGGGCGGATGATCTTCAGGGCCATCTAGGCACCGGCTCTCTAGATTCAGGAACAGTGGCGAGATTTCGACTCCATGCTTGCCGTGATCCGAGCGTGCCCCTGGCCTGACTGCCGAACCCTTGCCCCCAGGTCTTGGATAGGATAAGCTTCCCAAACCAGGTTGGGCAACCGGTAACGTTTGCCGATGGGAAAAGTGACTGGTGAACCGAGTCCTCGAACCGGTCAGTGCATGGCCACGACCGTCAAAAGTTTCAGAGGTCACCCACGGGGGGCTCCGTCATGACAGGGGCTATAGTATAGCCGGGAGGTGCGATTCATTATTGCTAAATAGGTGCCCATATACCTGTTCGTTCTGTCGATCTGCAAATCATTGACATGACAACTGACACACATCCGTCAAACCACAATTACAAATCCATCATGACAAGAGAGCAATGAGCGAGATCGAGCTCATCAGCGCAGCGCCGCCCCCGCCTGGGGTGATACCCAACTTCGAGAACCCCACCGATTCCCTCGTGCCCCAGGTTCTCATCGTCGCCATCGTGCTGAACTTTCTGGCCATCGTCTTCTGTGCCATCCGTCTCTACACCGTCCGCGTCGTGATACACCGTCACCAGCTCGACGATGACTTCATCTTCGTGGCCTTGATATTTGCCACTGCCTACTCCGCCATCCAGGTCTACGAGACCCGGAAGGGCGCGGGCCATCACATATGGGACGTGTCCAAGGCGGATGCCATTTTTTTCCACAAGTTAAGCATGATCGATCTCGCCGCCTACAGCCTGTCGATTCTCTTCACGAAAGCCTCCATTATCGTCTTCTATCTTCGATTCCCTCTCAAAAAGGTCGTTCGTGTCGTCGTGTATTTCGTCATGTTCGCGACAGTGGCGTACTCGGCTGCTGGAGCACTCGCGTGGGTGTATCTCTGCACGCCGATGGCAAAGATATGGGAGCCAGAACTGCCCGGGACGTGTGTCGACCGCGCGATGTGGTGGCTTATGCTTGCCGTCAGCAATGTCGCTACTGACCTCGCTATCCTACTGCTGCCGATATGGATCCTATCACCGTTGTCTCTACGCCTCGTTAAAAAGATCGAGATGACAGTCTTTTTAATGGCCGGAGGATTGTAAGCCAGCCTTGCGCGTTTCCCCAACTTCAGGAGTGAGAGAGTGAATGCTGATTGGTTGTGTTTAAACTTTAGTGTTATCGGACCTAGCATCGCCCGAATGGTCATGATCCCAATAGGCTTTAACAATACTGACTTTACCTGGACTGCGTCAATCAGTATCATCTGGTGGTACGTACTACTCCTCTTTCTTGTCCTCGGATACAGCGGCAACAGAAACTGATCTAGTAAACAGTGTGGTCGAAGCCAACTTTGGCATCATCTGCACCTGTCTCCCGTTCCTGAAGGCATTCATGAAGCACGTTGCTCCCAAGATCTCGAAGCGGTTCGCAGTGAACGACGAACCCCCTTCCCCAACAGTCTTCGACAGGGCCGCGGCGCTGGCGAGCATGCCACATGCACCCAAAGCCACTCGGCAAAAGAGTTTCGGGCGCCAGGCTGTTGATGATGTGCCGGATGTGCAAACAGTGCGCAACTGGCCACTCAAAAATGAAGAGCCGTTTGACTATGTGCGTTACTCAGATGGTATATCGATCAAGAGAATGCCATCCGATCCCATGTCGCCTCGACCCATAAAGCCTGTCGATGCGGCGGAGATGGTCTGACATGGATGACCACCGAGAAAGACGGTCTTTGTGTTACCGTCTGCTGGCGTACTCCGTATATCACCCATCTTTGATGTGCTCCTCCCAAGAGGGTGCCCACGAATGAGGGAATGTACTTCACAACCAAGCGTGAGTCGTGTCGTGATCCGATGCAATGATAGAGCTCATGCTAACGGAATCTATTCAGACTGAAATGATGTGTCACTGGAACGTTCCATTTGACGCGAGGAGTATGCGCTTGAAATCGGTACACAGGAAGTCCATGTCCACGTCGGCGCCGGGCTATGTAACCCCCGCTTATGTCCGGTATCCCGCCGGCACGGCCTGTGACACATACGGCAACGCAGATCGGCCCACAACCTGCAGCGTAGCTTGGCGGGTGGGTCGCTGATCTAACTAAACGCTTGGTGGTGTCGGTTGATGATGTTGGAGAGCTCGGGGGATGTATGATACACCTATCATCCAGCATGTAGCAACATGTTTGTGTAAAGTCCAGCGAACCGGACACGTACATATCATTAATGACAAATATCAAAGTCAATCAAGCTTAACATTCATCCCACAGGCTAAACGACTAAGTTGTTTTACGTCCATGATGCTAGCCAATATGGATGAGGGAATGACAAAAGGTCTGTGTGCTTACGGCCCTTGTCTGATCACGGTGGAGACTTCGGCGCCGAAGTTTTTTTTGATAACATTTCATGATCGACCCTTGGGTACCCGCCAGGCCAAATTTCTATGAAAAGTGACATTCGGCAGCGGCGCTCACATAACCGCCGAGGCCGCCGAGGCCGACAAGAGTCATCACCGGCCACCCCCTAGACTAACAACCAACATCGGCCCCGGGCAAAAATCCCTTCACAAGGCTCAATCTAAGCACTAAACGGGATATTGCATCATAATAGCACGCATGCGATCTGACACAATTGGTCGTCTTGCCCTGTCGGTCTTAACCGGAAACCGATTTACCATGCTGAATACCCTGCGAAATGGGAAAAGGGGCGGTAGAGGGAGCCCACTTTAGCCTGGTCTGATGGATGGGGATCACGGCGCGGGCCTGGAACGTGGGACCGGCTGACGCCTTTCATGTTTTTTCTCTTCGTCCGGGTTTTCATTTACAAAATCTCTAAGGGGGGGCTTGAATACTTAGTCTCGTCTTTCCCGGATCACGCTGTCATGGCTTTTGGCATTCACTCTCCATCAAATGCTTATATGATCATTCGATATTCAAGGCTTTTGTCAACTCTTTCTTAATATCTATCATACGACCGTTTTTTAGTAGCCCGACAGGGTGGACCACACAACAGAGAAGAAAAAAAAAAATCAATAGCAGCAATGCCGAATCGAGACCACTTAGCGTCTCCGGCGGACTCTCAAGTCACCATGACAGACCCGCAGATCTTTAACCCGGATCCCAAGGCCGACGGAGGCCAGAACAAGACGGGTTACTCGTCGGACGGGCATGGTTCTACTACACAGCCTGCTGGTGACCTGGAGAAGGCTGCGAAGCCGTCGTTCCCCGGCGGCGACGCGCCAGACGGCGGCATAGTCGCTTGGCTTGTCGTTCTTGGCGCTTGGTGTACTTCGTTCTGTAGTTTTGGTTGGGTTAATAGTGAGTTGCATCGCGCGAAACCTTGCGTTGAGCCTCATGTGCTAATGTGGTGTGACAGGTATCGGAGCGTTCCAGGAGTATTACCAGAATGAACTCTTGAGCAACTACTCGCCCAGCACCATTTCTTGGATTCCTTCGCTCCAAATTTTCTTCATGATGGCTATGGTCAGTACTTCTTATTTGTCATTCGGTATTTGGCGCTGACGTTAAGAACAGGGCCCCATCATCGGTCAGATTTACGACCACTACGGCCCCCGGTGGCTCATCCGCGTCGGCAGCATCCTTCACGTCTTCGGCCTGATGATGACTTCCCTTTCGACGCAGTACTACCAGATCCTCCTCGCCCAAGGAATCTGCTCCGCAATCGGTGTCTCCGCCATTTTACAGCCGTCAATGAACGTCATCCACGGCTGGTTCAACGTCAAGCGCGGTGCGGCCTTTGGACTCCTTTCTACCGGCTCCAGTATCGGCGGTATCATATTCCCGATCATGGTCACTAGGCTCATCAAGCGGGTTGGGTTTCCTTGGGCCATGAGGACTTGCGCTTTCATGATCCTCGGCTTGCTGATTGTGGCAAACCTGACCGTGAAGGCGAACCACCCGCCTCGCCCGCAAAAGTTCACCCGCGAGCAGCTCCTTCGCCCTTTCAAGGAGTTTGAGTTTGTCTGCCTGGTTATCGGGTTCTTCCTCTTCACTTACGGAATCTTTGTCCCGATCAACTATATCCAGGTTCAAGCCCTCGAGATGGGCATGAACCCCAACCTGGCACAGTATCTCGTTGCCATACTTAACGCTGGCAGTCTCTTCGGGCGCATTTTCTCCGGTATAATGGGCGACAGGATTGGCAAGTACAACATCTTTGTGGTCGTCTGCTACTTGACGACCGTTTGGATGCTTGCGCTCTGGATTCCGGCCAAGACGGACGGCGCGTTGATTGCGTTTGCCGTCCTGTTCGGATTCTGCTCCGGCGCGTATGTGTCGCTGGTTGCGCCGCTGGTCGCCGCCATCTCGCCGTTCCAGGAGATTGGGTTCCGCACCGGAATCACGTTCCTCACTAACTCGATTGGAGGATTGACGACAAACCCTATCAACGGCGCGATCCTTTCCGGCCCGAGCGGGTGGGTTGGAATCAAGGTCTTCTCGGGCGTGTTTTGCTTCGCGGGGACAACGTTCATCTTGCTCGCAAGGATGCACCGCACTGGATGGAAGGTCTTTGTTGCATTTTAAAAGGCCAGGTCTGAGAAAGTGGTGATGAATGGGCGGCATTAGGCGGGTTTTGTTTAGGCATTGGAATTGGCATATTGCATCATAGACATCTCCCATTCTGTACTTATACCCTCTCCAGCTAACTTATATCTAATATCTGGAATGGCATAGTTATGCCCATGATCTAGGACTGGCTTTCGAATCTCAAAGAACTGTGTTTTTCATAGCTGACAGCTTTCTCGTCTGCCACAGGCTACCTTGGCTAACGTGTGTCTTGCTGTATTGCCAGCTTTCCAAACTTGAATTTCGCAACATGCGAGCAGCCAACAAAGCTTTCTTGAAGAGGTCATAGGAATATGTGGACCAAAAGTCTTCTCATGAAAAACAGTAATGAAGCTACTCGCCAGCGACTGCAATACAGTCATCTACATACATACGAACCCAAATGTTATGTTCATATTATGCCAGATTTGAATTCAGTGTTATCTTGAACCCGTAAAGTGTTTTGCGCTACTTCTCCTTTCCGTTCAATAATATTTCTGGCGTAAGGGCACATCGTACGCGCTCTCCGCTCCTGCAGCTTCATCGACTTTTCTTGGGCGAGACCAAAGTCTACATATGTTGATGTCTTACCGTGGATCTGACATGCTTGTACAGAGGGTTTTTAATGTTAAATTTGATGGACTTCCCCGGCTGTCGTTAGAAACCGCGGTACCAAGGCCTGACAAAACTTTGAGAAGCGTGTTTTACATAATAAGAGAAAGGGCTCTGGCGGACTTCAAGTACGTGACGAGTAAGCGAGAGAAGCTCGCTTCCTCTCATTTTTGTCAACGATATCTATATTGAAGCCCCAAGAATCGCTTCGAATACTTTATACCCTATCAGCCGTTAGGACAACATTTCGCCCCATCAAGTCCCCCATTTCAAACGCTCGAACGATGATATTGCCACCCGCCCCCTTTCATCATAGAGTGCCTCACAAGGCAGGCCACCACGATGAGTTAATTACAGCAATCTTCTATAGCTACCTCATATTTGGCCTCCTGAGCTACGCTTGCATCACCAAGCTTCGAATTACAAGCCTACCGGATTGGTATTACTACACCAAACGCGACGCCAAATCCAAAGTCTTTCTTGGGCTATGGTATTTTGTTGTGCCTCTTTTATGGCCTCCAGCCCTTCCGCTCTGGCTCCTCATTGTGCTACGGAATAGACACTGGACTTACCTCAACAGCAGTGCAGACGCAACGAAGAGTGAAGGAGGCAAAACGGGATTGCAGAGAGAAGATACTAGCGGACAGAAGTGCGAGGGACGTCCACTGGATGACGAGAATATCTCTTTGAGTGAATGAAGTACAGTGAATGGGCAGGAGTTGGTCGATGTTCTAGAGTGGAACATGTCTCGGATTTCGCAAGAATCAGGTCACAAGGCTTTGGAGAAGAACCCCGAGAAAGGCAGCGACGACCACACGGGACCTGAAGCGTTGCTTGGGGGGTCATGGGAGGGCGCAGGATACTTGAGAGATCAATGGACATTGCCTACAACATCGGAGCGTGGGGGCTGGGAGCTGCAACGGCTTCGAGGAGGAGTTAATTAATGGCGGTAATGGACTTCAAGATATTGCTTTTGTATGTAGTAGTTTGGTGTACGCAGTAAATTGAAATACTGATCTCTTTGCGTGAGGATAGGCTGGCGTAGTTATATCCCTAACTTGAATACAATGTAAGGCCTTACCTACTAAACCTGGTAGACTTCATTGCTATTTAGAAGGCCAGACGAGCCTCTAAATATACTTTTCGGTCACCGTATCAGTCATTACTTTACTCCAGAGTAGCAAAAAGGGATCAACAGCGTCAAACATCAAAAACACTGCGCCGAGGGGGAATCGAACCCCCGGCTCCCCGACGCTGCTTGATGGCAACGGAGAATTTTACCACTAAACCATCGGCGCTTGTGATTGGTAGATCTGAATTTATTCCAACTTAAGTGGAGATACGCTTTGCCTACGCGTGGATCAATGCTTGGAGTTCACGACATCCTCAGAGAAGGTCACCCCTGACTGCTGGATTCTTTAAACAACCTAATAAGTCCTTTGGAACGATAATAAGAACAATGATTCTCACGAATCATGATTTTAATATTAATGTATAAAATAACAGAGATGTGAAGTTTGTATTTGACCATCGCAACACAATGAAAACGAAGCTTGAGCCTAACTACATGGATTTTAGCCAACGTAGTATCCTGTTCAATTAGAAAGAATCCCTCTTCTCTACGAAGACATCTAGGCCATTCTGAACAACGAAAAACGTGGCATGAGCCTTCAGTGGGCGATCCATATTTACCAGCTTAAAACTGAAGTCCCTGAGTAACCTAGGCACTACCTTATTGATCTCCAATAACGCCAGGTTACGTCCTATGCAAACGTGGCTGCCTCCTCCAAACTGTCAAACAAATCAGTAACTGCTCCGTTGCCATTACAAGTTAGCTTACCTGGAACATGTATCTCTCCATTCTCTTTGATTCGTCAATGGTTGTCATCCATCGTTCTGGACGGTACACATCGGCATCACTGCCAAAAGTCGCCTTGTCTCGATGCAAGACCCATCCGTTAACCGCAACTTCTGTACCGCCAGGAAAGAAGTGGCCGTCGAACTCGGCACCTTCTGGAGGGACAACCCGGGTGATGTTGAGTCCCACGGCAGGCCGCACGCGCATTGCCTCCTTGAGGCAAGCCTGAAAATATTGTAACCTCTGAGCCTCTGTCCATGAAATGTTGCCGGTTGGTGGAATATCGCCTGATTTGACGGCGGTCACAATCTCGTTGACAAGTTTGGTGTGAATGTGCGGTGCGGACAGTACATGCCAGAATAATGACTGCATAGTAGACGCTGTCGAGTCTGAGCCAGCGAATCTGTTCAGGTTAGCTCAGACTCCCTTTGCAAAAGCAACTCAACGGGTTAAAGTGTCCACTCACATGGCTCCGTGAGCAACGGCAAAGACGTCACCCTCCGTGAACTTCTCTGGATCCTTCAAGTGACCCTTGATCAAGCTTGCCAACAGGTCCTGCCTTCCATCGCCGTTCCGCAACATACCTTCGCTATCCTTGTCAAACGGCCGCCTTCTGTCCATCTCGCTCAAGGCAATTCGCGTAATGGGTGCATTTCTGGTGTCATAACTAGGGAACAGCTTCCACAGCGGGTTCCGACGAAGTATGAAATCTACCCAAGGGACCTGTCCGACAATCCCATTGTACGCTTGAGAACGATCTATGGTTGCGATTGCATCTTCCACGTCCTTGCCTTCAGCCAGAAATCCGAAACTTCGTGAAAAAGCAACTTCCCCAAGAACGTCGAACGCGAAGTAATGTAGCCATGCACCTAAATCAACAGGATTCCTAGCTCTGCGGCCGGTGGAATCTATTGTGAAAGCGTCTAGCTTCGTCATCAACAGATCAATGGTGTCGTCGATGAAGGGGCTTAATTGTTGCATTGCCGCGATGCTGTAGGGCACGTTGGCAACCTTCTTTTTGCGTGCATGAGCCTCCTCATTGACTTCAGTAAATATGTCCGGATTCTCTGGTGGCGGGAAAACTGCGTAGAACCCTGTCTTGTAAAAGCGTTTTCCAGCACTCAAGACATGTCGAGCCAGGTCCGGTGAAGCCAGGGAGACCTCATTCGGTGCGATGCGTACCACTGGGCCATACTTGCGATGTAAGGCTATGTGGTGGAGGTTTGAGCGGCCCGATGAGGTGATAATAACTTTCCAGAGACGAGTGATCGATGCAAGGAATGGGCCTGGGTAGCGGCGAAGAGGGGAGAGATAGCGGGTACGCAGGATATGCCCTAGCAGGACCAGAGGTAGAAGAACTGGCCAGTAGCGCAGGATCAGGAGAGCGGCCGTTTCGGAGTATGTGTGGCCAGCACCGTTCGAGTCAAGGAACTCGAGACGAGAATTCATGATTGGCTATACTGATGTCTTGCGCCTAGAGGGAGCTCAAATACCTGCAAGAGTATAGAGCCGTAACAGACAGTTGTACTGGTGGTAAAGGATGCCACGACTCAGTGCTCCAGGAACAATTGGTCGACCATAGATAATGATGGCGGGCAGGCAGGGAGATTTCATTACAATTTAGCTAGAAGCCCGAAAAAGTGTCTTTGCTACTGGAGCAAACGATCCAATACATATATGAGACTTGAACCTCGTATCATTCTAAGACATGATCAAGCTTGTTACTCAGCCGATAGCATATACCGCAAAATAGTGTTTGAACCGGGACATACAATTGGTGTCCGATTAGTTCAACGGCCAATAGAATAATTGCCGATGAACACCGGAAGTCACGGCTGTTATTGGAGTTGATGATGCGGGGAGACGTGTGATGCGGGGAGAAGAAGGATATGGAGTGGCTTCGTTAAACTGTCGATCCCGAACAAGGAACGATTAAAATAAGTAGTAGGTGCTTGGAAATTATTGTATCTATGTGGTTGAAATCTGCAGATGATATGAAATACGAATCCGAGCAGAATACAGCAGCGTATGACAGGTGAGCAGGAAAAGTATCACAAGGCAAGGCCATGGATGGCTGACAGGATGTTGGCGACAACTGCAGATGTCAGCACAGGGGAAGGGTAGTCTAATATCCTTCGAATCCAATGCAGGACCGCTGTTTAGCGCCTTTCACGACTTTAGAAACTAACAGTTGGCCAGTTTTAGGTCTGGGAAGGGACAAGGCGAGGATGAAATAGGCACAATGTTCGTTGAGGTCCAACATCTCGAGACGCTCACTAATCACAGTTCAGATCGTGCATTAGGGTTCACTTTCGCGCTTGGGAAAAGTTACTCATGAGTCGCAGGTATTGAATGATTAGCGAAATCGGAGGTTTGAAATGATGAGCCTCATCAAAGTCGACATCACAGCTACCGAGCCTGGGTACGTTGTGCTCCATATGCGGAGACTTGCGGAGATCGTACGGGATCTCAACAGAAGACCTGACAGATCGGAAACTACCCGAAGGCGATGGGAATAGAGGGGCGTCCATCGGTTATACGACGGGGTTTGCGAATGGTTAACACGAGGAAAACTTGTGTGGAGTCAAGAGATCCCGAAGGCGCAACTACGAGGCAGATTGATGAGAGGAGGATGCACGCAGGACTCTTGACAGAGTAGTGCAGAGGCATGACAGCACCGCTGGGCTCGCAAGTTGTCCTGTCACTTACGGGAGAAGGTCAAAGAAGCGCGCAGAGACAAGAGAAACAAAGCTACGACCGTCGACACTCTGTGAACGGGGATAGCCCAAGCTACATGGCCGTGGAGATATCGAAAGCGGTTTCCCACACGGCGGATGGGGTCAAACGGAACATCAGACACGAGGCCACCAGCATGGCCTGCGTTACACGACCCTGTTACCCTCCCCAGTCAGTTTTCACACGCGGTGGCTAGGCTGGACGACTGTACTGTGCAGTTCTGGCGACTTCATCAGAAGCCAAATGAGAGAGATTTAGGTAAGGCTGATGGCGGTAGAGCTGCTTGACTCGGTAAACTTTCAACTAGTTGCACTTTGATTTGCCCGTAGGCGTACCTTTCATCAAGCAAGGAAATTGGCACAATGTCGCTTCTACTGATATGAAAGCCTTCTTCGTCGAGATATCGTTCTCGGGTTGCGTATTGATCAGACATACAAAATGTCAGGGAGCGCTTCAAGCCCACTCGAAATCGGGCTTCTGCGAATATCAAAATTGTTTTGCCCGGGCGCGTCAGGGATATTGGGCGGATAACGCCATGTTTGGTTAGTAAGGCAGAACAGCCTATGGCTAATCAAGGAACTGTGGAACTGTTGATCACGTTCCTAAACTGTCTGCGGGCAGGCGGGAAACTCCAGAGTTTAAAGAGACGAGGCCACCTAGCTGGGCAAGGTTGTCGTCAGTCATCAAGGTGAAGCAGGGACCTCACGCCCAACCAATACACGTATTGGCAGGGAATGGCGTCCAAGCTGCCTGACATAGCCAGCCCAGGCATGTTATCCAAAAGAAGCAGGAGGGGGGACGATCTGCGGTGAGACTCAAGGGCTGCTTGATTTGAGTGTGTCCGTACTTAAACGTGCATGTTGTCGTTTGAGAGATAAGATGCAGTGGGCGCTGTGTGACAGATGCAGACCCCACTAAGAAGGCTAGTTGGGTTTCGTAAATTGTCGATGTCCCTGGGGTACTCCCGGAGGCTCCAGATCGGTACTGTTGTGTACGGTCCCATTCCTCTTCACTTTGGGGGCCGCGCTTCCAGGGGAGAGAGGTCGAAATCTGGGGTTAAAACAGGTCGCGCGTGGCTCTGTCATAGGGCAGCCCTTAAGTCTGGGTTTGGTCCGCGTCTCTGCAGTTCTCACCGATACCTTATGAAGAAGATGGGCTGAGAAGCGGTAACTTGAAGCTCCCGGAAGAGTTCACCTTGAGCTTACACACACATTAGACTCCCTTAGACGGGTAGAATGAAGGATGAACAGGGTGAAAATCGGAAGAACGATGTGTATCAGTAGCTGTGGAAAGGTATTCTAGTATCTTCTGAAGACAGGATTGGCAACTACCGTATTCGGCTCTGCCCAAGACGCCATGACTTGAGACCTTTCACAGGCATCATTTGCCCAGTGACCTTGACGTCAGAGGGCACAGCTTACGCCATGTCGATGGCAGGGTTGCGCTAAGATGTACACCCCTTTGATGTAGTGATATTACCGTACCCATTTACATGGGGCCAGAGCTCGCCGCCCTCCGCCTAACACGATAAATAACAATGAGACACTGGTCCGCAGTTCTCAAAGAAGGGGTAGAGGAAGGCCACTAAAACCGCAGGGCAACAACGGTGACCGGGTAGAAATTGCTCCCTGTTCTAAGAAAGCAGGGCGATAGTGCAGCGGCGACCTCGGCATTATGTCTGTTCTCTTCGCGCTGATCGTGGCTGCTACCAGAATAACGACTGTACATTGACAACTACGTTATCCTCCAGTAAACCTATCGGAGGCAGGCGGATTATGGAAACAATGTCCTTTTGTCTCGTGCGATTAGCGCTTATACCAGGATTCTTCCCTCAGTGGAGTGTCATGCCATGCAACCCGCGGATGTAACCATGAAACTTTCAGCGGAATGCCTGTCGCGTTTTCGCTAACGCATGTGCTTAGCGTTGAGACTGCCAGAAGGAAAGTGGTAGCAAACATGCAAGGCAGCCAGGCGGACTGCTAATAGCATCCCTCATCTAGCACCCTCTCTTATGCCTGTCAAAGCCTGAGAGTAGAGAGGACTGACATGAACTGATGTGGCCATCAGTGACAAATTATATCAACCTGTAGTCTCTCTATCCTCGGGGCTAAAAAGAGAACGTTGCAATTTGCGTAATTGTTTTTTTTTTTTTTTGGGGAATCAAGAGGCTCATTGCCCACAGCCACCGTAGCCAAGACGACTGGAGTAGTGTAACATTTGGCCTCCCACGTGGATAATTCGGGACGAGTAAATTGCTTCCGAGAACGACAGCACGCGAGGTACGATTCAGTTACCGCTTAGCAAGCATGGCAGAACATAGCATAAGCATGTCTAGCGGCATACCACTAAAGTGCTCATTTAAGCGGCTTTCCAGTTGCTTTTGTCAAGATGCTAAACCTCTTCAGAACACCACCGTGAGCTGCTTCTTGACTACCAGCTTGGCTGACCTAGAGGGTAATCGTTAGCGGTCTTCGCTTGCTGGTGCTAGTTGTCAAACCCTGGAAGGATGGGATTCAAAGCGCTGACAGGGATGTCAGCATGTGTCCTTAGCGAGTCAAATTACATTCACACAGGAATGACTAGGACAGGCTCTACCGGTTAAAATGGGGAATGGCTATGATTTGATGAACATGACGGATGAATGATCGGATATCTAGAGATAATTATACTTCACACGGAAGACGACAGACCAATGCTTAGCCACTCACGAGTTGACTCTTTCGAAGAATGCATCGGTAACAATGTAGCCAGTTCTTTTGCAGACATATACGGGACAGTGCAACGCGGCGCAGCAAGCATTGTTGGCAGCGCATTGTTTCAATTTTCAGTCCTGTGTTTAAATAGAAACCAAACCAAGCCAGGCCAAGCCAGATCAACTGGCTTCGAGGGCGCCATGTGTCCCATGTCCTTGTCCACGCCTTCAAGATGTGTCGCTAGTCCCTGACGGGCACTTTCCAAAAGCAAATAGCGTGCAATTACATGAACAGATCAGAACGGGGCCAGGAAACAGACCGGTCGAGGTTTCTTTTTGGCACTGAGTCTTCGTTGATGCATTGGAGTACGGGTACCAATCTGTTCCTTGCGCCAGCTACATGCGGTTCTGCAGCAGGTCTTGTCAAACTTAACCAAGACGAGGGCCCGCAAGCTAATCCCAAGGCCACGTTCCAGGACTCTTTACCAGTGCCCCAGCGTATGTGTGCTGCTGCAAATATCCATTCAAGCTCTGCTATTCCGATAGCACAGCCCAACCCAGCAACGGTGCTGGTTTAGGGACAGACTCGGTTATTGATACGATAAGACCAAATCATCCCACAGATGACTAGAAAAGGCAGACAAGACAGTTGACTCAATTGCTACTGTGCTCTGCCCCTAAGTGCTCAGCATGTAATGGCATCAAGCTACCCTTGTACTGGCGCTATCCGGGAGCTCCCCTGCTGGGGAAAACGGCGGCCCCAGGCTTAGGCCACACACAGGAAAGAAAGTCAGCAGAACAGCATCTGCCTCCATCTGATCTTCAATGGATTCTTGATGACCCTACGCTAGAAATCAAGGCCCAAATGTCTTTCAGGACGTCGATGGAGAAAGTCCCTTGCCCCGGTCTAAATCCACACCCACCCTTATCCCCATCCCCCTCACATTCTGTTCACTCTTTTTGTGGTTGGGCCCTCTGCTACTGGCCTTTTGGCACACTGAACATCCGTGCAGGGGCATGGGAAAAAGTCAAAACAGGCCACTTTTTGCGACGGGCGTGCCCACAATGTGACTGCGACGTTTCAGGGGGGCAGCAGTGTCGCAAACAAGACCGCTGGTTGAAGCAAAGCGAAGCGTCCAAAGCCCAACTGTGTGTGCATGTTGCAAAGTACCTGTAGCATTCTTCATTGAGGCCATCAACTCAAGGTATACATACATATTGCCTTCCCCTGAGACGCACTGACAGGTGTGGGAGCGTCCTTGACTGCATATTATGCAGCAGCGTACTAGTTTTGATTCCCGCATGCGGCCTGCTGTCCACTAATGTTTATTCATGGGTGTCAGATACGGACTCGGTCCTAAGGTGAGTTGGGAACACGACGGGCTTGATGGATGGGGGAGGGATGGGGTTTGTTGGTACTAGTACATTGACGCATCCATCTCCCTAACCACATTTGCATGCAAAAGGGTCTATGGTAACTTGTATACACCCATCGACTAACTTAGTTCTAGCTGGGGACCCCTAATCCTTTCAACCATTTTATCCATTCCGTCGCCCTTCAACTTCCTTTTAGACCGTCAAGGGGACAAGCTGGGGACGCTTTAAACACCCAAACAAGCCAAGTACATCGGGCTGCTTTTGCCTAATTCACAATCTCGCACTGCATCCTACGCACATTACATCTGCCCCTCCATGTTACCGTTGTCTTTCTCACCTACATACATATACATGCTCACTACATAGTAATCCGCAATTGCTTGCTTACTCACTCCTGTACCCAGCCTGGACCTTTTTTTTTTTTTTTTTTGTGGAGGGGTTTGTTTTTTCTTCTCTCATTCATCCCCGCCCCCCCTTCGTCCAACCCTCGGCTCGTCCTAGTCATACTCCCATTCTTAAAAAGGGGGGATGCATGATACTTGTGTCTACCTATACCTCTACGCCTATACCAAGCCGCACTAGACCAGACCAGACCAAACCAGCCCAAACTGCTTGAGTCTCCGTCAAGATATCGAACCTCTTTACTCATAGCCACCATGGATCAGACCGCTCCCTCGGCCTAACAGCTCGATCAAATCCATGCGCGCCATGCCCGAAGCTTATTTCCACCTCCCAGGCCCCCCCTTACAGTCTTAACTCCGTACCCTCTCGACAACCATAACGTAACCTCACTTTTACATCTCACATTGTCCTGTGACCCTCTCGCCATTTACGATCCTGAACAACGCTGTCCTCCGCTACTCAGTCTCTCACTGTCGCCCTCGATCCACCCTCCCACACGTAAATCAAACCGAACCTGACGCTTCCCACCCGCATCCCCTCATTGCGCGGAACAGAGCAGAACAAAGCGGAGCCTTGCGGTGTAGGCAGTCATAACTGAACTGAAAACGACGACAGGAATTTCCGGCATCGACTCAAGAGACAGGAGACAAAGCAGAGCTCCAGAGACGCCACGCAAGATATTAATCATCCCCGTCCCCGCCGACAACGTCTTCGACCCAGATTTCACCTGTGTCACTGTGTTTCCCCCACAGAACTCTGTCTGTTGGAGCACCTCGAATGGCCCACCCCACCGGACACTGATTCACAATGGTGAGTCGAGCTGCCCATTCATTCTCTCCATGACTTCTCCCCTCCGTCGCTCTGCTTAGGCGCCGAGGTTTTCGAGCACCAACATTCTGGGTCATTGCATATCGTGACTTGTCCTTGAACCTTTCCTTTCTTTACCACGACACAATGGTTGATTGCCCTGCCCTCATCCATTTGCTAACCATTCCCTAGCCCGTTGCAAAGGCTTGCGCGCCGTGCTACTACCAAAAGTCGAAATGTACTTTCTCAGAAGGTAACCCGCAATGCGACCGGTGTATGATGAATGGCCGGGATTGCGTCTTTGTGCGCCCCGTGCCGCGATCGGCTGTCAAAGGCCGTTCCAAAGTCGCTATACGGAACAAGATCATGGGTATAAACGGCAATGGCAATGGTAACGTGCCATGTCCTACGCCTGTTCCCCGAAAACCTAGCATGCCTAGCATAGTCTCGACGACAACGTCAGCCGTCACCCGCGTAAACCCAGCATCGTGCGCATCGTCACGAAAGCCCAGTGTCGCCTCTGTCACATCGAATGGCGCCGGCAGCCCGCCCGACGACACGTCCTCGGAATCATCGTCCGATTCGGCTTCCAGCCCCCCGTCCAAAATCCTCGATTCCCTCAGCCCATTTGGCAGCACGTTAGGTCGGTTGGATCATGTGGAACGGACGACACTCTCAAGGCTATTGCACAAGTCCAACTTTATGCAATATTTTATCTCGCCGACATTTGTCGACAGTATGCAGCTCGACATGACTGTCCATTTGTTCTCCATGTTTGACCAGGGCAAAGACGCCTACATCGCAATGTATAGCGCCTTTGCCGCGGCCATTGGACTGGATACGGGCGAGTACGATCCAGATGTGAATCTTCACCGAGGAGCAATGGCCGTCGAGCAGTTGCGGTCATGTCCTTTACCGACACTCAAGCGCGAAGAGCTGCTACCGTGGGCGGGACTGGGGCTGGGAATCGTATACTTTTCAAACATGGCCCTCGGCACGAGCGCGGCACCGGTCCGTCGCTATGTCCTGAGCCACATCCGTCACCTCCTCGGAACATCGCTGATTTCCAGCGAGCGGACACATTACATTCTCGTTTTCATGACGGCAGTCGACATCAACGAGTGCCTCATGCAACGCGAGCTGCCGGTTTGCGGGATTGCTCCCCCGGAAGATGGACACGTGGATGCATACCTGGGTGTTTGCATGCCGTTACTACAGTATTTGTACAAACTAAGCAGGATTAGCTACAGCCTTTACCACGAAGTCGACGTCGACGAGCAGAAGCAGGCGCTGGAAGATGTGCAGCAGGAAATTGAGGCGTGGCAACCGCACATTCCGCCAGACTTCACGAACCGATTCACCACGAGCGAGGTCATTCACATGCTGGCTCAAAGCCGCATCTACAAGACGGCAGCGCTTCTCTTCATTCACAGATTACGATACAAGTTTGGCGAGAGGGACGACATGGCATCGGCAATGGCAAAAAGCATCATGTCCGATCTCAAGATGACCCTGACGGTATCGCAAGAGACGCAACGTTGCGTCAGCTTTCCCTACACTCTCGCATCCATCGAGGCGAAAGATGCGGCCGAGAGAGAAACGGCGCTGGACACGGTGAAATCGCTGATGGACAGCTCCAACACCAAGTACCGCAAAAACATGGAAGCTTTCCTCAAGGGCATGTGGGATGCCAGGGACGCCAACCCCGGCACGTCATGGCTTGATCTGGTACCTAAGCTTCCGCCGATTTCGGTGGGCGTATAGGCGGGAAAACTTTCGCCATTTTTTTCAATTCCGATGCTGAAACTTTGAAGACAATACGATTTATAACGTTACGAGAGACCATCAGATATCAACTTTTCTTCGTCTTTTTTTCTCTCTCTCTCTCTCTATTTTTATCCTATTTAAATGGCTAATGGGCTTTTTTTGTTGTGTAATTCTTTGTATGAAGCGAGCCACATGATGCCTGGGGCCTCTTCCCCCCTACGTTTTCTGGATATTTGAAAGAAAGAACCTCGTCACGTATTCGAGGGCTGATCCACCAGATGTTTTTTTTTTTTTTTTTTTTTTTTTTACTAGGCGCGTTACTCGCGGCAGAGGCAGATGATATGTAGCAATGATTGAATTTCCACGTGGTCGGGAAAAAAAGGGGAATAGTTGTTTGGCTCTAGAGATTCTTGATGGGAGGAGTGTACATGGTTTGGGAAACCCTGCTGCCCACGGGGGGGATGAGTACAGGAACGGACGAGTATAGGGAGGGCCTTGACGAGCAAAAAGCAGTGATACCACTCTCTCTCGTTTCAACATCACTCAATACAGATTTCACAGTTGTTGATGCCAATCAATCTGAACCAATAGCCATATTGCGAATATGTGTACTATACTGCGTCTCGGCCCTCATAGCCGGCTGTCATAAATGTAGCCCAAACTCTAAAGCTATCTCCCCCACATTGCATTTGACTTTGGAGACATCGGGCTTTATGCCAGACTTGGGCTGTGAACTCTGTGTCTAGAACGCGCATGAATCAGGCTCATGTATTAGTGGAAAACAACCTTTTGGCCCTTCCCGACGCTGTCGGATTGCGCTGCGGATATGCGCTCTCACACTTATTTCCTTTGAAGCGGAACAAACGCAAGGCGAGAGCGGCTGCCCTGCATTGGATACGCCTGCATTGGATGACACCACATGGCGCCAGCCAGACATTACTCATTCGCTGTTTGCATTCTCAACTCACAGGAATCCCTCTTCGCCTGCCGCCCCATCCGTGGACCCGACAAACGGTGCACGTTCGCCCAAAGGAAACACAGCCTCGGCTACTTGGAAGGCCTACAAGGAGGTTCAAGGCTCGTGGAGGTCGGTTTCCCGGTCCGGACAATTTTCAAGAGCACACAAAGACTGCGAGAACGTCGGACTATGGGCTTTCACTTATGCCATCGCGAAATCTTTCGCTAGAAGGTTTATTTAACTTCCATCTTTTTACATGATGGAAATGCGGTTGTTCCTCAAAGCGTTGGTGGTATTCTGGGCATTGTATTAGATGGGCATGTCCCTGCATTTTTGAGAGGTTGCTTCGGTTGATTTGCTGTAGCTTTTGGTTGAAGATCGGCGATGGGCGGGCCGGAAGTCAGCAGTCTGAGTTGGGGTGATCCCGTCCACTCGTGAAGGTGAGGTCTTTGGAGATTTGATAGTGGCCTCATGTTGACATTTGGGTATCCATGGTAGGACGAACTTTGTCTCAATTGCGAGGGGCACCAACTTGGGTCATCTTCGCCTATAGATAGAGGGCCACATGCAGGTCATATCATGGCACGACGAACCCCCCCCCCCCCACCAATTTTCCCTTTCTGCCCCGCCACGAATGTCATGATGATCATGACAGACCCTTGAACAAGTAATCAGATTCATGAGGAAAGGGATCAAGTTCATTGTAGCAGATCCGTCGGCCAGACTTACTCTGAACGATAGCGGACCGCCGAGATCAACGTATAGGGAATGAGAAGAGGGGCAAGACACGTGGGGGGGTTGTTCGACGCATTCGGCAAGCAAGGCAAACCTTATTTACATTGTTGCAGGAGACTTTTTCGGGAATAGGCACGCATGCGGCGGAGGACGCGCGCTTCATAGTTAATCACCGCGCGGGCGTTCACGAGGGTGACTGACAGTGTCTTCGCAGAGACGATAGTGTACATAGTAGAGCCATAGCTTGTATGTAAGCTTAAAGGAGACTCCAAATAGTTAAACGTAAAACCATTCGAAAGGTTTCGGATCATCAGAAGCGTACGCGTCGAATTGACTCAAGTCAACTATCGGTATGCTTTTGCTTCCTGTGAATAGCGATGGCCCCCCCCCCCAGCGAATAGCACCCAACCATGTGACGCAAAGTCCCCGGGCGGGCCACCTTTTTTTCTTTGTGGAGAATATATTTTCGGTCATGATTCAGTTGCCTCTCATTAAGTCCGAAGGAGAGACGCCATGGCACGTGAGGGGGCCGATTGCTCGGCCTCGGCATCATGCTGACCGCCGACGCCGAGAGAGCTTGGCCATCGACATAGTCTCAGTCCGCTCACACTCTTGTAGCTGGGTGACAGTCGTCCCCCCCCCCCAGTCAGATTCTGAATTTGTGAGAAGCCAAGAACTTTTTTTGAACCCTGTGTTATGTCACAGCGAGGGAGGCTGTTGTCTGATATGCCACTGACACACTCCACCTCAGTCGATACCGGCTCCATGGGCTCGGAAGCGTCACCCACCCCGCCAGACCTGCGGCCCTTGCCATCAGAACGCCGCCCTGAGACGAGGCCATCTCCAGACCAATCACAGCCGCAGCATGCCAACGCTGCGAGCGGAAGTGGGATAGGAACAGGTAGTGGCCGTAAAGTCGAACGATCATGTACCCTTTGTCACCGCCGCAAGATCCGCTGCGACAAGAAATCGCCCTGCTCGTCATGTGCCCGCGGCGGATTTCCCTGCTTCTACCCGCAGGCGGGGCAGCCGGTCCGCCGGGTCCGTAAAACCACCATTGCCGATGTAGCTAGTCGGATCTCGGACCTGGAAAAGACACTTGTCGCCGGTGTGGGCCAGCAACATTTTCGGGGCCGTGGCTCGCCCGCGGATGGGCCGGCACCGTCGGCGGCTACTGCTGCTACGTCGAGCTGGGATTCTGGTCGGTCAATTGCTGGATCGGCAGGATTTCAGGGACCAACGACCACCTCGTCTTCCGGAGTACCTGAGAAGGGCACCAGTGATGAGATTTTGGTGAGGAAGGGGACGTCTAGTCAGTATTTTGATGAAGTTCTCATCTCTCGGGTGATTGAAGAGGTAGGTGAATTATGCTTGTCAGCCAACATGTCCATGTGATGTTGCCAGACTAACCATGCATGCGAAAAAGGAACATGACATACAGTCAGTGTTGACGACGCCGACTAGCGAGCCTTCTCCAAAGGCAGCCCCCTCGCCGTTCAACCCCATGGGCATACTCTCAAGTCCAGATCTCAGGTTGAATCTTGCTGACCTCATTCCTCCGAAATGGGGTGCGATAGAGCTGTGGCGGAACTACACCGATAACATTGAACTGTGTAACAAGATCTTACACAAACCGACGGCTGAGGTAGTCATCTACACGGTGATAGACGACCCAGACAATGCCCAGCTTGAGGCAATGGCTCTCATGTTTGCCGTCTTCTTCGTATCTGCCATTGTCCTCGATCCAAGTACGGTCCAAAGGATCACGGGCGAAGACAAAGTTACCGCCTTACATCGCTTCAAGGTTGGCTTGGAGCAATCATTTGCCAAAGCCGACTTTCTTGAACATCCTTCGGTCAGACTACTAGAAGCACTAGCTGTTTACCTGGTGAGTTTTATCTTGCGGCTCACTCGTCTCGGTCTCAGTCTGTTAACCCTTCTCCCAGGCAGCTCTTCGGATACATAACCCCGGCCGTGGCCTCTGGACATTAAACGGCCTAGCTATCCGAGCCGCCCAGTCTATCGGCCTACACCGCGACGGAACGAGGCTCGGCCTTTCTCCCTTCGAATCAGAGATCCGTCGCCGGTTGTGGTGGCATCTGGTCGCACGGGACGGAAGAGCGTCCGAAGACTACGGCATCCAGAACCCGATTTCCTTCAACCTCCAAGCCGGGGTCAGCTTCCCCTCCAACCTCGATGACAACGACATCTACCCGGAGATGAAGGAGCTGCCATCCCCGAGGCCAGGCTGGACGCAACTCACGCTCCCGCTCATCAACATTCAAATAGCACGCACATGGCATCGACTGGCACAACTAGCGACAGAGTGGAAGGAAAAGCCAGCAACGGAGGCTCTAAGGGTACAGATAGTGAACGAGCTGCGCGACTACGCCGAAGGCTTCCTAAAGCACTGCAATCCCGTCATTCCGCACCAGCGGCAGACGCTGCTGATTTCGCGCTTCATCATACAGAAGATCGATCTCGTCTCACAGCAGCAGTGGCTTAACCTTGAACGCCCAGAGGCCCGCGAGTCGTTCGCTACGGAAGAGAATCTCAACAGGGCGCTGGAGATCCTCGAGGCCGGCATGAGTCTCGCGTCCGACGAGTTACTGCGGCCGTACCGCTGGTCTATGCGCGCGTACCCGCAGTACCACATGATTCTTTACACCCTGTGGCATCTCTGCGTGAGGCCGGAAGGGCCCAACGTGGACCGAGCGTGGAGGGCAGTAGATGCCTCCATGGAAAATGTGAGGCATGTCGGTGTCGCGTCCGGCCCAGCGGCGAAAATGACGGTGCTGGAGGCGTTGAGGGCGAAGGCTTTAGCCATGCGCCAAGGGGTTGTACAGCAAGGTGCTAATAGCGGCGGCGACAAGGAAAAGGAGGCGTATCCGACTCCGGGAACAACCGAGGAGAGGCCAGAGGCGGAAGGGGTGGAAAGTGTTCTGGATGGGATGGCAGGTGTTGATGGGATGGAATGGAATGCGAGTATGCAGGACTTCCCTGATTGGAGCACATTGATGACGGAGTTCCAAGTGGATGGGTTGGCATTCCCGAGTTACCTTGACTAGAAGATACCCCTCCTAAGAAAAGTCTTTTGAATATCCATCAGGGGCACTTGTGAAACACTCGCGAGAAGACCAAGTAAGTGAGCCAATGTCGCAGATGAGGCTTCTCAGATGTTGGGGATATCAGTATGGGTGGTGTCGAATGAGTGTGTTACTTCCATGATGCAGAAACAGCCTGAATGTAATCATTTGCTCGTCCCCCCGCGGTAAGAGCGAGGTTAGATGCTTGGGCAGAAACCAGATTTAACATTGGATGAGCCGCCGCTCCCCGGTTCCATAGTCGAAAGTGCGGCAAAAGTGCGAAAGTTGGGGGACCCCAAAGTTTGATCCCGAAGTTTCGGAAGCGAGCATTTTACTCGCCCCAATTTCGTATTCCCTGCTTACCAACTCGGCTTGCAGTCGGGACAGTAGTTCTTGATTCTAGTGTCGGGAGTTGCCCGACATCAACTCACCAAAAGGGCGCAAACATGCCACGTCCGTGTTTTCATTGTGGACTTTGATGATGCGAGATTAAACAGGACTTCGGGATTGGCTGCAGAGTAATCCTCCATCTGCAAGTCCCAAACTCGATACAATAATCAACAGCCACAGAGGTACGGCGTTGGCTACTAAAGAGTGCGGTGCGGGGTGACTGGTATGGTATCACCATCCAAGGTAGATATTGCGTCAGGCCGGGTTCGGCCCCGACCCACCGAAACCAATGCCATCTCCAGCCCGGCGCCGGTACGTCTTGGGACATTGATAAATGCGTTGGGGGTCTGCAAAAGTGTCTTGCATTTTGTTAGTGCATGTTCTGCAGCGGGAAGGTTTATTACGGTTTTGCATCATGGGTTCCAACGGTCAACAACTTCAAGTCGCCATCGTCGGTGCCGGGATTGCTGGCCTGACGTCGGCTATCGCGCTGAAGAACCACCCTGGCATTAATGTACAGATCTATGACAAGGCCAAGGAACTGCGGGAGGTCGGCGCATCGATTGCGCTGGGTCCGAATGGATTGAGGACGTTGGAAAAGCTGGGCATTCACAATGCGCTCGACGATGAGATTGCTTTCCGCAACAAGTCGGGCTATCCCATGATCTACCGGTAAGCACGATTCTGACCGTCGACTTTTCACAACAGAAACTTATTCTTTCTAGTCACTACAAGACTGGCGAGATCGTCTCAGTCGACGAGCACCACGGCGATGTTGAGCCACGTCACAAGACAGCTCGTTTCCACCGGCCGCACTTGCAGCAAGCCCTATTGAAGCATATTGAACCTTCGCGGATTCATCTCAACAAAGCCTTCCAGAGCATCTCCAACGGTGATTCAACAGGTCAGCTGAAAATCACATTTACCGACGGCACGACCATCACAGCCGACATCCTCCTTGGTGCCGACGGCATCCACTCCGGGGTACGGAGCTTTTACGTCCCATCGTCCCGATCGAAGTGGACCGGCTGGACGGCCTTCCGCGCAGTCTATCCCATCTCACACGTCGCGCACATTCCCGACATCCCAGAGGAGGCAGAGCACTGGTGGGGCGTCGATAGGACGTGGTTCATGTCCAAGCTGGGTAAGGGGCAGTTCTGTATCGTTGCCTCGCACCAGAGCGATCCCGACGCCAATGATGCGTTGTACAAGGACACGGTGTGGAACACGGATAGCGATGTGAATCTGCTCAAGGAGCACTACAAGGACTGGCATCGGCTGGTGAGGGAGATCATTGACGCGACGCCGACAGATTCGTTAAAGGTATACCCTAACGCCTCGGCGCACGGGTTAGAGAGCTGGGTTCTCGGGGATGGAAGGGTAACGTTCGCTGGCGACGCCGCGCATGCGCATGGAGGTGCTTTTGCTGCTGGTGGAAGTCTGGCGATTGATGATGCGTGGGCGTTTTCGTCGTCGATTCAACATGTTTTTTCGCCGACAGCCACGGAACTCCCGTCGGCGGCGGATATAGCGAGGGCACTGAAGTTGTATGAGAAGACGAGGAAAGCTCATACGGATCGGGTGCTTGATACAGTGCATTCTACGAACAAGAAGAAGGTGGAGAGGGTAGGTGTGATTGAGACGGACGAGGGACTGCGGGCGAGGATGAAGAACCGGGTAGAGCCTGTATGGATTCATGAGCATGATGTTGAGGCGGTGTTCCGACAGGTATTGGCTGATGAGGCGAAAGCGAATGAGGTGAGAAGAGAGCAAGGTGCACCGGCTGTGCAAATAGAAAGCCGTCTCTAGATGTAGCATATGAAACTGTTTTTATTACCACTATGTAGCATCTCAGCCAGTTTGTAAGTACAATTTTATCAATGGAAGATTCTCAATCACTAATGAGAGCTCATTAGTGCGTAGTACTTTAAATGAATGGCCTTTTTCGTTGATGAGTTGATGAATGGGACTTGGATGGGGAGGTGTGTACTAGTCGGTAAGTGACCAAGTTTCTGGCACTATAACTTAAGCTTAATGGTAATGACTGAAGAGAAGACGAAAATGTTTGTAGCCTGTTCCGGACAGTGAGATGTGATGACGATGAGTGAGATCCATGCTCCATTTAATCTTGGTGAGTGAGGGACATTAAGTCAATGTCGACCCTGCTTTAGCTGCCGTTGTGGGCTGAACTGAAGGGTCTCATTAGCTGCAGTAAGAACATCTGATTGGCCACAAACACCATTGGCAGGCGGCCCCTCGCATGTTGGTCGTTCCTTCTGTCCCTTACCTTAGTTTTCAGGGCAGGTCCCACATCTTGGAGTGGGTGGTGGTGAATACCTTCCTTACCTGCTTCTCCTTCCGTCAGCTGTTCAACTCTTCCACCTCACAATCTTGATTTCTTGCAAGATATCGGAAGGCTGCATTGCATCCCAACCACAATTTCAGCAATCATCTGTCTGTTTGCACTTCAAATTTCTTGGTCTCTTTGCTACCTCCTTCTCCGCTTGTTGATGTAACTCTTCCTCTTTCAGCTGGCAGTTGCTACCCCACTACATATATGTGGGTGGCAGGCCTCGCCGGCCCGTCACGTGGGCTGACGGCCGCCACCACTGGTCTTAGCCAGCCTCCACAGCCCTCTAGCCAGTTAGTTAGTTCTTCCAACCAACAACACCACTTTTCCCATTCTGAGCGTTCTGTGCTGGTTTCGCCCACAATATACATAGCATTTCAGCAACTGAACCTCACCTTTCCGCGCTTGATCTGCATCTTTTGATTTTTCTGATCCCTACATCATTAATATCTTGCTCCAATGGAATACTACGTGCTTTAGTACACTCCAAGTTACTACTAATTCATTTCGAGCGAATCAGCCATTCGATAACAACTTGAACCTTGGATCACTGGCCCCAGGCCCCCAATCCAAAAATGGCACCACCACCAAAACTTGTGTACACGCAATCAGCACCGACCACGCCTACGAAATCAACCCAGGGCAAGCCGCACCACGATGTCATTGAGAAACTAAACAACGAATACAATCTCGGCATTGAACTACCGGATGAAACTTCCACCCCCCGGTCTCGATCGACCCGTGCCAAATTTGATATTGCATTCGCACGTAACAAGAAGATTGTTGAGAATATTCAGCATCACTACTATATGGAAACCGGCAGTCTCGACAAGATACTACACTCCTTTCGATTTGAAGCTCGTGCTGCCAGTCAGAAATGGTTGCGCTCAACCAGCTGCTACGATTCAACTTCAGCAACACCAGAGTCACCAAAGGCTACTTCACCGGGTGAGGTCCTGGAACTTCAAACACTTCTAATCAATGTCCTCGACAAGGTCGGCCCTCAGGTAAAGGCCAGAATCTTTGAGCGCACTCAGAGTGGACCCGCATCGCACGGCTCCTTTGGAGGACTTACACCAAGGCTGAGGTCTACTGAGGGCAATCCGTCAAACACACCCTTTTCGGCCTCTGCCAATACGAGTCGAAGTTCGCTCTTCTCTGAGGCAAGCGACCCTCCGAGAAGCACTCAAGAGACGGTCCCAACGCCAACTTTCGAGAATCAACTGCAAGATCTATCACTGCTTGATCTGGACGAACCAGATTCAGATGACACATCGGCAAGCCAGCCTGTATCAAGTCTTGATGGGTTTGAGCTCGTGGATCTCTACTCACGGCTCGATGATATATGGCGTAAGTGTATTCTTTTCTGAAAAACCCAAGACACGGTCTCTGGTACCTTGATCATCCTCTTACTCCCATATTGACCAGCCACCAGCTAGTTTCCCGCCTTGGTTAGATGGAGCCCCGTTAACCGTCGCATGGGAGATCACTCGAATTGCCCTACACTGCGATGTCGATCTCAGCAAAGTAGTCATGTCTTATGACGACACCTGGATGGACTACAACCATCTTTGGAGGTCTCTTCAGGCCCATCCTTCTTTCGTGGGCAAGGCTTTCCCAGAGAGACCCAGTACGGCCGCGTGGACTGCAGGGCTGTGCGACTTCAAGTCTCCTCAAGGACAGCACGTTATATTCTCCGCCACCCTCCACCAAACCAATACCCAAAACTCTGGCCCAGTCTTTTCCCTGATGATGCGACCTATAGCTTTGGACCAGGGCTGCCGTTTGCATCGCCGATTTGGCTCCGATCGCTTCCTAGATCTCCTCATTCCATCTCCGGATTCTTGGCAAAAGCCTATCAGCAATCCTAGCCAGTCACAAGAGATTATTCATTGGCTATCCTGTCACGCTCATGAATTTGTTGGCAGGCAGTGGCAGTCTTTCTATGCAAAGGATGCTGGGCACAAGATGCCGCAGAAGAACGTGGGCTTTGGCCCTGATCCCAAGCCTGTCTACCAAGACAGGATCATCATGTTTGCGGAGAGCGACAGGGGCGATGATGCCGTCATTTCAAAGGGACTAAGAGCATTGGACAGCCATCATAAACCATGGCCTAAAATATCGACTCAGGACATGCTTGATTGGCTCTTACAGTTTGACAGAAACGAGGGACAGTCGTACTTGAAACTGTTTACTCGCATTCAGCTTGGTATGACATAGGAAAACCCTAATATCTGCCCGGTCAACTAACATCTTGTAGGCCTTAGCAAAACAACTCCAATACTCGAACTGAATCATGAACAAATTCGTCATTGCAGTCAAGACATGCTGTCGCCCATTGGTAAGGTGATGAACGATGGTATTGGACGAATGTCACGATCCCTTGCACGAATGGTCAGAGACGTGTTGGGACTGGAGGATACACCGTCTGCTATCCAAGGACGTCTTGGATCAGCCAAAGGCATGTGGATCATAGACATTAAAGATACCGAAGATGATTTGTGGATAGAGACTTGGCCGTCTCAGCGAAAGTGGGACTGCGATTTTCATGACCCAGAACATCGGACACTGGAAATTAAAAGCCATGCCACCCAGCCTCGATCTGCCAGTCTCAATATCCAATTTCTGCCTGTATTGGAAGATCGCGCAAGAAACAAAGAGGCGATGCGAGAGGCGGTTGGAAACAGCCTTATTGATGAACTGAAACATGAGCTGGATGAGCAACGTTATGCCATGGACTATCCTGTGCAGTTTCGACAGTGGGTCAACGAAAACTCATCCAGCAAATTCCAACGTCTAGCGCAAAACGGCGTTAGCTTTCTGGCTGGCCTGCCAGACTCAAAAGAAGAGGTGATGAACTTTTTGATTGACGGTGGTTTCCAGCCGCAGGAGCAAAAGTATCTGCAAGACGTTGCTTGGCAACTCAGGGAGGCCAGATGCGAGAAGCTCAAGAAGAAATTGAACATCAAGATCCCCAACTCGGCTAACCTCTATATGGTTGTGGATTTCTGGGGGGTCCTGGAAGAAAACGAAGTCCACATATGCTTTTCTTCTAAATTCCAGACTCAGTCCTTCTCAGATTCTATGCTACACGGATGCGATGTTCTTGTCGCCCGATCTCCAGCACACCTCGTGAGCGATATACAGAGAGTCAAAGCAGTATTCAAGCCTGAATTACACTCACTCAAAGATGTTATTGTGTTTTCTGCAAAGGGCAAAGCACCCTTGGCTGATAAGCTCTCAGGTGGCGACTACGATGGGGATAAAGCCTGGGTATGCTGGGAACCTGCCATTGTATCCAACTTTGTCAACGCCAACATCCAGCCTGGTCCAGATTTGTCGAAATACCTCAAACGAAAAAAGGCAACGTATGGTGACCTTGTGCGACTACACGGCAAAGCAAATGCTATTTCCAATTTTATCGAAAAGAGCATCTGCTTTAGCTTGCTCCCTGGCTTCTTGGGAAGGGTTACAAATTACAAGGAACGACTGTGTTATCGCATCAACAGTGTCAACAATGAGTATGCGCTAAGGCTGAGCACTCTTCTTGGACATCTCGTCGATCAAGCCAAGCAAGGATACATGTTTACGGCAAAGGACTGGGAAAAATTCCAAAGAGAGCTTCTCGATAGCAAAGATTTCAAAATGCTAGACGAGCCTGCATACAAGCGCGATATTTGGTCTTGCAAACGCTGTCCCGAACACATTATTGACTACCTCAAGTTTACGGTAGCAATTCCAACAATTAATGAAGAGTTGACAAAATTCAAAGATGCGATGAACTCGAAAGCAGACATTTCTGGATATGACCTCAAGTCTCTCCAGCCGAACGAAAATGAGGACAAGAAGCAGACGGCAGAGTACTGGGACCCAACTCTTGCAAGGTATTATAAATACTTCAAGCAACTCGCCTTACAAACACCTGCACTGGAGAAGGTTTTGCAAAACCTGTACAATGACTTGGACGAGATCAAAGAACAGTGGAGCATAAGATTTGCGTCCAAACTAGAAAAGAAAGATTCACCACGCATCATCCTCGAAGTCTATGAATTGTGGCGTGCGATCCAGCCTCGGGAAGACGAAGAGCTAAGTACGCATCTCACTGCCTTATTAGAGCAACCGTTTGTAAACGAGAACTATAACACTTGGGCGTTGTTGCGAGCTAGTACTGCGTTCGTGCGCTGGCACAAGCACAGTAGTAAGTTGCTGTGGCGAATGGCTGGTATTCAGCTGCAGTACTTGAAATCGATGGAGCCAAGTACGTCAGACAAAATCCCCGTGACAGTAGTCCCAAGTGTGTATGCGGCTCTGAAGCCAGACGCAAAGTTTATCAGGCAGACCATCTCCAGGATGAACAACGGTCCGGAATACCGGTTTGAATCGGATACCCAAGATAGTTTTACGGACGAAGAGTAATATTGCCATCCTGGATGTACTAAAAGGCGGATTGGGTAGCAAAATGTAATTTACTGACAGCCTTTGTTGTATGTTATTCTTACTTCAGGGACACGGGATTAGTGACGGCATTTCATTCTCTTTTACAAACGACTTTTCAGGGGCCGAAGTGAATCATTTCTTATTCTAATCTGCTAAGAAAGGATTAAAAGTCCTCTAGTTTCAACTGCTGTGACTTGAATGTCTCGAAATTCAAAGTAACTCTAGACATTATTTGAAACCGTACCGATTCGAAAAGAAGGTCAGAGTACATGTGAATGGTGTACACCCGACACTTCCCACCAACACTCGGCCAATTTCCGCGCCGCCTCATGGGAGAAACACATCAAAGTGGCTCGTAGGCGCTCCGCCAGCTGTGGTTCCACCGCCGGGAATGTAAATCTTGCCACCAACAGCGATGCCTGGAGCACTGTGCCTGGGCAATGGCATCGGCTTCAGCCGCTCCCACGTATCAGAAGCAAAGTCATAAGCTTCCGTCTCGTTGTAAACGCCGCTCTCAACGTCAGGGTTACCCTCTCCGCCAAATGTGTACAACTTCCCGCCCGCGACCCCAAACGCGAAACCACCCCGCGGCCTCGGCATCAGCGCCTTGCTTGTTTCCCAGCCTTTTTCGAGGTTCGACAAGTCGAGAATGAAGACGGTACCTCTCGGGTTCGGCGCGCCGTGATCGAAGCCACCGACGACGTACATCTTCCCGTCGACAACGGCGTACCCGGCGTGGTCGCGCGGACCCGGAATCAGCTTCGCTTTGTCAGGGACAGGAAGCCACTTAGAGGAGACTGTATCAAAGATGGACACGTTGGCGACAGAGGCATGCGGACCTTGCCCGCGCATGCCCAACGCCGTGAACCCGCCCGCGAGGAATATCTTGCCCTCATGCACGCCCATGGCCGCCATGCCCCTCGGCTCGTCGGGTAGTGGTGGCAACGGCTTCCAGAAGTTGGTTCCGACATCGTAGACGTAAGAATCCGGGACGGCTCTCAGAACCATCTGGTCCGCACCGCCATCGTCAAGCCCGCCAAAGGCGTAGATTTTGCCGCCGACGGTGGCGACGTTGACGTGGTTCATTGCCCGCGGGAGCGGGGCTACGGTGCGCCAGGTGTCGGACTTGATGGAGTAGAATTGGACAATGTCAACCGTGGTGAAGGGGATGGGCGCCGCGCTGCTGTTTGCGATGATGCCGCCAAAGATTGCGACCGTGTCGGGCTCGAGGAAGAGACCGGTGTGTTCCTGTCGAGGGAATGTAGCGATGTCTGACATGTTTCGCCATTGAGAATGAGGCTGGAAGGGCTTGGAGAGTGTGAAGTTGAGCAGGGAAGAGAGAAAGGTGAAGTTGACGAGTAGTTTGGACGCCATGGTTGCTTGTGGTTGGAGGTGAGTAGAGGCTGATGAAGATGTAAAGTAGATTGTTGGTTTCGCAGTTACCTCGTCGCATTTTTATATCTTGTCGATTCCATGATTTGCAGTCTATGTATGGCCGTTAATGTCGGATGCCCCGGAGCTAACAGATGGACGGAGTTCCATGGCAGTCTGAAGATCGCGAAATTGACGTTCAGGAGCTGAAGTGGCTCGCGATATATCCCAAGCCAAGATGTCATAAGATGAACGTGAGTAGAGTTTCTCATCTCCGCAAAGGCAGTGCGCAGGCAATATTGAAATGGCATACTTTGCTCATCTCCGCTGCGGATCTGATTGCGCAGTTGCTGCGGACGTACTGTACCTTTCTCCGCAACCGTCTCCGGCAGTGCTTGGGTTGCCCTGACCACCCGAGATACTTTCGCTGTAAAGGGTTTTTGACTGTTTCTTTCCTGCAGTACTTAGATATAGCTTGGAAAATACAATCAAGGAGGTAGCTTCTTTGCTGGAGTGGACAGCGACTGAGATGCTTGAGGATTATTAGCATTCAATTATGGCAACATCAAAGTTTTTAAGATTAGATGTATTTAGAGCTACTTTAGTTACCTATTCCGCGTTAGATGTTAATGGTCATACTACGCTTTCAAGGTGTCGTCTTGTTCGGATTAGATAGCATGACTGCGCGCGTGTGTAATCTTCAAAACATACACACTTCTACTTCAGAACAGGATTGCGCAGCTGTGGCGAGCACATGCAGTATGATACTACATATTACATTGATGATAAATATGAATGTATCGCACCATCAGTTACTCCTATTTATGAAGGATGGCTGGAAAGAACATGTGCCGCTGTAGTGCATTTCAGTCGAATAGCGGCGGTCTTCACAGCCGCACCAGTCTTGACTGTTATGATTCAGCAGTATACAGCGCAAAAGATACTTTAGCTATATATCAGAACCTCTAGTAGTTGGAAAGTATATAAGCTATTAACATCATCAATATGAACAATATCTACGTAACTAATTACGTCTTTAGCATGAGCAGTTTGATAGTGTATCTAGCGGCAAGTGGGTATTCTGTATGACATCTGACCATGATACGAAAGTAAAGGAATGGAAAAGGTTTGACCTATCGTTGGCATACCTTTCTGGTCAGGACATTACTTTGACTTCGTCATGCCCACGGTTCTCCCACTTTGGGGCGAATCAACGCCTCGATCACTCGATAAGATCCGGTAGAATACGAAAAATGGACTGTCGGTCGCAAGTTTCCATAGACGACGAAAAGGTAGTTCCAAGTTCAACCAATCTCCGAAGACACAGATCTGAAAGTTCGAAAATATAAGTAGCTTGAGGGCTCTGAGTCACTTACTCTTCCGCTCTAACCTACTACACACTTGATTTGTTACAACAGAGCAGCCTTTTCCGCTCTCCGGCTTCCAAGAAACATACAAAAAAGAGCAACGTAGCATCTTAATCCTAAATTAGGGGAACGTTGTTCCAGCCACGACAAGATGTCGACGAACCTGAGATACTTTGGCTCCAGTTACGCCTCCGATTCTTCCACGCAGAGACTAAAACAGCAGTTCGAACAGAAGCGTCACCTAGACTGTAACGAAATTGAGAAGATTGTTCGCCAAGAGATGGCAATCAGGTTCCCCTGTTTGTCATTCCAGACCAAACGGACAGCCAATATAGACTACGCGATACTCAAATGGTACCTTGAGGAGGCGAAAAAGGCTTTTTGGCCAAAAACGAGCGATTCTGAACAATGGAGACAGAGAGTCCGCATAGCAACGATTAGAGATATTCTTGCCAATGCAGGTATATGGCCCTCTTCGAACTCGACGAAGGGTGGTGATGCGGTTCTGAACAAAGATGTGAAGCCCGATGGTGCTGGTGTCTCTGCTGACAAGGTTGAGAACAAGGAAAGTGACGACCGGACTACAGCTGCTAGCATCGGAAGCACCCAATCGATAGATGACAGGAATATTCCTGTCCAGAAGCCTATGGCACTCCTTGAAATCGTCAAAGAGCAAAGGAATGACCGCGGCATACCGTCCACGCTATGGTTATCCATGACCGAACTGGACTCTGCCATGAAAACCAGAAAGGAGCAAGAAAAGAGATACGAGGTCGCGACTTCAACTCGGGCTCAGAAAGATTATTTCGAGATTTCACCTAGGCAGTTTACAGATGCATCTTACGCGACCAGTTGCTGGCAGAAGGAGCTTGACATGCAAAGAAACCAGGCGAGCGGCGCCTTGGAGAAAGCTACATCGCAGTTGGACGAGCAGCGCAAGATTACGATCTCCAATTATCGAAGATATGGCGGCGTGCATCCTGAGGCGTTGATTTCAAAGAGTCGGGACTCGAGACCACCAAATCCATCCTCCACGACTCAATTCGGAACAACTATCGACACCAAGTTGGAACGTTCGACACGTTTCCCTGATCTTCCTAAACGACCAGCGAGCCAGCTCAGCCTGCAAGAGGAAGCCGTGGCACGAAAACCAGAACGCCAACGACCCGTCTCCACCGAGACGCATCCTCTTGGAGAAGGACATCTTAAAGTTCCTGATGTCAATGTGAAAGGCCGTGGGTCTGGCTTCTCGGTCGGCAACAAAAACATTCTCGACATTGCTCAGTCGAGCCAAGGCCTCCCGAATAGAGTGGCATCGCTTGAGAGGTGCACTGAGGCTCAGACACCCACAAAAGAATATCTCAAAACCATCGCCAAGCAAGCTTTCAGCCATCAGCGGCTGCCCATTCGACGGCGTCCTGTACCGCAGTCCAATCACCATCCTGCAGCAGAGCCATCACAGAATCAGCGTAATCCGGCCCCGTCAGAGTTTGACTCGAATTCCGCATACGAAAACCTGAGTACACGGCTACGCAACTGGCACTTTTCGACGGCGGCAGGCCTGAAATGTGTTCAAGAGGATTTGGACAACGCGGCGGGTCACCAGAGCAATTTGGACACGAAAGGGTGCGCGGGACCTTTTGAGCTAGATGCTGTTGATACTGCTGTTAACCCTGAGAAAAGCGACGAGGTAGTACCAGCGGATAGGGATGAGCTTGATTTTCGAGGACAGGAAGAGAAGCTCTCTGTCCCTATCGAGGTTATTATGCGCACCAGTCCTGAAAAGGATGGTAAGCAGCTTGTGGTAGATAGAGATGACGATGAAGCCTTTTGCTTCGAGGATGTTTCCAAAGAAATCGCAGATGATGAGGCGCGAGGTGAGCAGGTAGAAGACATTTGGCAGGAGGCCACGTTGGAGGGTTGGGAGGGTGAGTATGTCTGGCTTTGACAGGCCAAACAGGTTAACGAATGGGTCTGTATATAGATAAGCCGTCAGTGATGGGATGTTTATCATAATTGTATCTGTTAATTGACATAGATTCTAGTACTGATAGTAAAAATGTGAAGGTGGCTTTGCATCCCGAATCATACGTGCAGGTTACGGATAATTCAGTGCTTCGTTACTTTAAGAAAGTATATATGTCACTGGCTAGGCTGATTTGATGAGAGCAAAAGGATAAGAAAACATGTTTGGCAACTTGTAGCTTCAGCTTTTGTGACTCAGGCCGGTAACCATCGGGCTTTGACGAGCAAAATGCATAAAAAAACATCACGGTCCGATGAGGTGACCATTTGCCATGAACGTTGTTTATTGTATTGTTTTTCTACTTTTCTGTTTTCTGTGTGTTTTTTTGGCCTTGCGAATCAATGTTTTTGATGCTTGAAGCATCGTTAGACCTCGTCGGTCAATAGCCATGGCAGCTAGCATGTAAATAAAACGCCCAAGAACCTGTAACGCCGGAATCTGTTCCGTACTCAGCGGGAACGTGACAAAAAAAAAAAAAAAATGAATCAGTGGGACTTGGCCGGATCATCGAAGAAGATGACCTGGACGGTGACATCGTCCCTCACGTTCCTCGCCAAAGGGGGGTACGCCAGCGTCGCGCCGGTGAACAAGGCCCGCCGTCTGCCCCCGAGGGCGTTCTTGATCAGATGCACAGCGGCGTTATCCAGGTCTTCAACGACAAAATTCTCGGGCTTGGCGCTCCAATTGGGCCATCCGTTCTCCATGTCGAACGAGCTCTTCTGGGAGGGAGTAGCAGCAAGCTTATCCTTGGGCGTCTGCTTTCCAGCCTTTTTGGCAGATATCCACTGCGACACACACTCGACTGCGTGTTCCGACGAGATGTGGTCCCACAGGCCGTCAGAGGCGAGGATCACGAAACCGGGACTCTCGATCTTGGTGGTTGTCACGACGGGCGCGGCGGTCATGTACGGTGCGGTTTTCGTCTTTGGACGCGGAGACGTGCCCCAGAAGTTATCGTGGATGTGCTTGATGAAGTCATTATCCCACTTCCAGCGGTGGTCGCCAAAGGCGCGTGTAACAGCGATGCCAAACAATCTGCCCGACTTGGGATCGATCATGTCGGCCTCCTCGCCGGGGTGTTCCTTGGCGAGCCTCTCGGCTTCGTCTTTGTTGCGGCCGTTTTGGTCTTTGGAGAGCTCGGTGGTGGAGTAAGATGAGGCATCTGCGGAGAGGGAACCGAGGACGGCGCGAGAGTCGCCGGTGCAAGCGACGCGGAGGGTCGATGTCGCAGGATCGAAGATGGAGAGAAGGGCGCAGGAACCGGCGATGACGGGAGCGATGGCAGCGGTCACACGAGAGTCGGCGGGCTCACAGGTACCGGCTTTGAGGCCTTCAACTGCCTTTTGCGCGTTTGAAAAGATGAGATCATCGAGATTGGTGAATGCTTTGATGATTGTACCGTCAATGGTGCTCTCTGGGGCGTCTTTCGGAAGCTGGGTGATGGAGGCGGAGACCGCAGGGATGAGGGCACTTTTCAAGAGGACTGATGTCGCCCATCCGCTATTCTTCAAGTTAGTAAAATAACCCTGCTCAAAATTGAGGCAAAACTCACGCATGGCCGTCATAGACGCCGTTGAACAAGGTCTCGGATTTGCCCACGCCCGGAGCCAGGGAGAATGCCATCATGTCCTCGACGGGGTGGTTGCTCGCGACTCTAGCAGCATGGACGTGAGTGTCCTTACCCTCGGCCGTAAAAGAACCGACAAAGACATCTTCACGGATTTTGGCGTCGGCCTTCTCGAAGCTGCCACTGTCGACAGGAGATTTGACCAAGGCGTCTATATCGATGGCGCCGGATCCAAGCTTAGGGATGCTACCAGGGGCAGCATTGCCGGCGTCGCGACGCCACGTGGCAATACCATAGCCGCCTGCCGCGGACAGCAGCGCTAGGCCGATCAGTTGGGGCGTGCGGGAGGGCTTCGACGGGCCTCCGGCTGAGTAGGGACGAGACCAGCGCGGCGCGGCGTTGATGGTGTTGCCCCGAGCAGCGCATCGGCCGAGTCCGAGGCCGGTGCCGATACTGGGGCGGCATGCAGCACGATGCAGCATTATGGTTGCAACGCAGTTCGGCTTCTCTTTGGGGAAATGGGTGCAAGGATTTTATAAAGGATTTAACCTTGGCGATCACTTGTTTAGGCAAAAGATGGATATGTATGAAAATGCAGTTGGTTGATGAATCCACGAAAACGAATGAAAATTGATGAGTTTGGACTTGTCTCTGGAAAATCGATGAGAAAGCGAAGGATTTTCACGTTGGGTGGTCAGCCCTTTTTTTTTTCTCTCTCTCGAGAAATTTAGAAAAAGGAAAACGAAAAGAGAAAAAAAGAGAAGAGACAAGAAAAATTCCCCCTTGTTGAAAAAGCCAAAACAAAAACAAGACCCTTTTTCTGTGCTTGTCTGAGGTAAGAAACCAGGTCAGATTCGGTAGCAGGTGGTCGCGTGCTTATTCCTTCCCCAGCCACGAATTTATTTTACGGCACGGACCGTGGGGCACCTGTCAGCAGCTTCCACATGACACACTCGGTAGATTCGGGAATGGTGAATGAGGGAAATGAGATGAGGGGATGTCAGATGAGGGGATATGAGCTGCACGCGTCTTCTTTTCATTCGTGTAGCTCTTAGTTGTTGCTGTCATTTCGTTTATAACCTGTGTTACTAGGAATCGCTGATTTGTGCTGTTTCAAGGCCGGCTGTGAGACAGTCCGAACTGAGTGTGTGTAACTACTTGTGATGAGAGCATTTGGTGTATATATCAACCACTAGTTTATTTCCAGCGACATAAATAGTTGATATACTTGCATCATATGATTCCTCACCGATCATGTAATATTTTCTGAGTTCACTCACCCGGCAGACATCAAAGCTAAGTAGATGTTCAATGGGCTACTCCATACCGCGTAAAATCATTCATGACATGAGAATGCTCAAATCACACATGCCGGGAACTGAAAGAATGAGAATGAGTTAAGCACCACGCAGTTATATCTCCCATATGTGACATAGACTTGGCCTTCAATTTGGTTGGTTCAAGATTGTAACCCCCTCGCTCCAATTGGTCAATCTCACAGCCTCACTACTCGCATCTATGGAGGCCTTGGTTTTGGGATCACCTGATATTGATGACAGTCACTGCCAAACTAGGGAGCTGAATTTCCATGCAAATATTGAGAAACTAGAATTAGTCGCGACCATCGTCGAGAGACAATGCTCTGCTACTTGACCCTTGTACAGGAAACAAAGAGCCAGTAAAGTTCCAAGTTGTCATCAGCGATGTGTTGAAAGTCGGTTGCAGATCTTAAAATGGAAGAATGATATTATCTGTGATCAAGATTTCTCTGCTCCCAAGAGTTTCACAGCTATCATCGGATTTTCCTCGCTCCCTCGCTCATCATTCTTGGAGATAACAGGACACAGTGGCTTATCGCAAGCGGACAGTAAAAAAAAGGAAATCACCAAGATACCCGACTACGAACTCATCATAACCAAACCCTTTCTACTAAATCCTTCAGAAAGATGTCAGACCAACAAGAATCCAAAGTGGAGAACTATATCGGCGACACCGTTGAAGGGAGCACTATTCCCGTGTCCGTTTATCAAGCCTGCATGGCGTGTTTGGCGTAAATATTTATAGATGTAAGCCTAGCACTACTACAACCAAGAGCCCGTGTATCTGTGATCGCTTCGTAACCGAAGTGGCTATGGTATGTCACCCACAGGGCGTAACGCTCCTAACCAAAACTACGAAGCTAAGAGACTAACCACATGGGGTAGTTATCGGAAGAGTAAATCTAGTGACCAATCATGGCTTTCGAGTTCCGCTATTGCGGAGTCTATCCGCGAGTAGCATGAGACAAAATCATGAGGCAATCGCAAGCTTATCAAGGACTTTTGCACACCGGTTCGTGCCTCACGACGCAGCCCATTGGAATTGACATACATAAGATACCTTACTCACGTTACCTATTAAATTACTTAACTCGTATCGTACTCTTCATTGAGTCCACTATCCTCCTCCGCACTCAATCTCTTCTGTCGTTCATCATGCCTGAGTCACTTCTTTCGGCCCCAGTCGACTCTGTTCTCGATGTCATTGGCAACACACCATGCGTCCGCCTCCGCAAGGTCGTCCCAGAGGGCTGCGCTGACGTCTACGTCAAACTCGAATTCATGAATCCGACTGGATCCTACAAAGACCGCATGGCGAAAGCCATTATTGAAGAGGCGGAACGCAGAGGCGACCTCAAGCCAGGCATGACGGTCATCGAGGCCACCGGAGGCAGCACAGGATCGTCGCTCGCCTTCGTCTGCACCCTCAAGGGCTACGGATTCCGCGCGGTCTGCTCCAATGCATTTGCTGCCGAGAAGCTGCGCACCATGGCCGCCTTTGGCGCCGATGTCGACATCGTCCACAGCCCTACCGGGAAAATCACCCCGGACCTGTTCCCTAGAATTGTGGAACGCGCAAAGACGTTGGCTGAGGGTGACAAGAACTTTTATCCCGCCAACCAGTTCAAGAACAAGGACAACGCCATGGGCTACAGGAAGCTTGGCGAGGAGCTAATTGCCCAGTTCCCCCAGGGGATTGACGGGTTCTGCGGTGCCGCTGGCGGAGCGGGAATGGTTATGGGTACAGCAAAGATTCTTAAGGCGTCGCGGCCTGAGACCCGCGTGCTGGTTCTGGAGCCGGAATCGTCACCTGTCATCACCAAGGGAACAGGGGGCACGCACGGCGTAGAGGGTATTTCTCCTGGGTTTGTGCCCCCTTTGTTGGACGAGGCGTTGTATGATGAAGCACGCGCCATCTCCGAAGATGAGGCCAGGAAGATGTGCCGCAGGCTTGCGAAGGAGGAGGGTCTGCTCACCGGCACCTCGACGGGACTGAATGTTGTTGCCGCTATTCAGTTGGCGAAGGAACTTGGTCCTGGAAAGGTTGTTGTCACAGTTGCTTGTGATACGGGTCTCAAGTACACAAACGGAACTCTCTATGAGTGAAAGGATACACTCTTTAATAAAATAAATTGATCTTGCACAATTTCTTTAAATATTCATCACTTGGTTCACTAAGACAAAGCAACTTTCACACCTAGTTAAACCGTTGAGTTACGCTCAAAATCAGGCTTGACTCTATTCATACTAATTATTTATTTTCAGCATCGCCTACCTAAAATTGAAATATTTTGCCGGCTTCGGTTCTATAGATGCCAAAGCGGGATAGTGAGATGCAAGTAAAACGCAAGCGACATGCATGGCTCGATTAAGCAATTGTGATGGCACACTTAGTAACACTGTAAGCTCCGTCTGCCCTGCAAGCTAAACCTAAGCTTGGATAGGCGCCTCGCTAAAGTCATGAGTTTTGGATGCAAAGGGTAGCTTAGGATTCCAGATATGACTAACGTCCAATTACAGTCTATGATTTATAAGTATAGGCACGACTACAGAACGACTATTCTCTCATAATGGACTAAATGCATCGGCTTCAGTCTCGTACAATCACATAATGTCAATATGCAGTTGTCACGACCGCTGCGCTGTGATCAAGTCAGAAGTTGACTCATAAATGGAGAACTTGCTGAGCGACAAAGCCATGAGCAAGAGAACGAATCACTTTGTTTTAATTACAATCCACTCAGTTTAACACGTCCAACTGCTATACGTCTGTGCTGCCGGTAATCCCAGGATGACGATCAGCTCACGCAGGGTTACGGCTTCACTTACGTAGTGGCCTGTTTACGTTGAGAGCCCGACCCATTTATTAAAAGGGACGACTATGATGGGTTCATCATCCGCGCCGACCCGAAAAGAAATCCCCACGGGCATAATGATTGAAAAGACGACTATAGTCAAGGGCTTGAGAGCAGCTCACAGAGTAGGTACTCAACAGGGTCTTCCCACCGTTCGTATCGTTTAATTACCCAATGGACAGGGATTTAGCTTCTGGCAGTCCCCATAATTACATGTGATTGAACAGAACAAATGTACACTTCGTAGTTCATTATGACCTCGGTATTTCCGCTGCCGACTAATTGAGGAGCGCCCTAGGTTTATTTTTCAATCAGGAAGTTCTTGACGGCCAACATGAAGACCTTGCCTTTGTTAAGATGGATACAAGAGTGAAGGCATTACATTGCGGGATCCGCGGTGGTTTTTGTTGGGAGTTTTGGGGCAGCGACCAAGTCAACAGTAACAGCTCAGCGAGTCAAAGTCCCACTCGCTGTATCAACAGCCGAACGGTTTACGGCACATGGTAGAGCTTGTCCAGGGCGGAGTTACCCTATTATATCGTTGCTTTTCGGGATGACCTGCATTTCCCTCCCTGTCAATCCCTCAACCTCCCCACTGCTTTCCACCAATCCCTGGAGCCACATCCGCTTGGCCGAACTTACAACATAGCATCTTTTCGAATTGACTCAGACATGCGTGTATATGCGACCCTAACCGAGGGGGCTGGCCTTTTCCAACGCCGGTCTGGCTTGTTGGCCGGGCGGTTAATCGGGCACTTTCAGTAATTGGTGAAGCCTGATACTGATCAGCCAGACTATGAGACATGAACCCTGGAGCTACAAAACCCCTCACCCCTCATTTCCAGTACCTAGTCGGAGGGAGCTCTTGACATCTGATCCTTTAACACCGGGTTTCCTCCCGATTTTCCGTTATTATTAATTTTGACAGACGCTGACGAGGTCGAGAAAGCTGAGAGTCTATTCTTCTTTGAAAGACATTCGCAATTGCAAAATCTCGAAGTGGTCCTTCACTCTTGTGATTGTGATAACCGTACATCTTACTATCGGTTCATCAAGGTGTTCATCTTCGCATCAAGATGAAGGCTAACGCAATGGCGGTGGCCAGGAACGCCGCTACCCGCGGCCTTCGGCGGGCAGCCGTCGACCGAGGCATGTTTTGCTCACAGATCACTCAAAAATCGGTCCCTTTCATCTCACGAGCGTCCATGTCATCAGTCGCGGATGCTGTAGCCGTCGCCCCCGCTCCGCCGCCACCACCGGCTGAGGACCCGAACCTCCGTGCTGTCCAACGGGCCATTGAGGCCAAGCAGATCTTACTGCGAGCAGTCAACGCAACAGAAGTCAGGCACGACTGGACTAGGGAGGAAATCTCGGCCATCTATTATCAGCCGCTGATGGAGCTGGCCTTCCAAGCTGTAAGTCCCATTTTCTGAAAGAATGTAGAACCTTTTTTTTTTTACTGATATATCAACACTCAGGGCTCCGTCCACCGCCGATTCCATAACCCCGCCGAGGTCCAGCTTTGCACTCTCATGAACATCAAAACAGGCGGTTGCACCGAGGACTGTTCCTACTGCGCGCAGTCGACCCGATACCAGGATGGCACCGGTCTGAAAGCGAAGAAGGTCGAGAGCGTAGAATCGGTGTTGGCAGCGGCCCGCAAGGCCAAGGACAACGGCAGCACGCGGTTCTGCATGGGCGCCGCCTGGCGCGACATGCGCGGCCGGAAAAACAGTCTCAAGAACATCAAGGCCATGGTCAGCGGCGTCCGGGAGATGGGAATGGAGGTGTGCGTCACCCTCGGCATGATCGACTCCCAGCAGGCCAAGGAGCTCAAGGAGGCCGGCCTGACGGCTTACAACCACAACGTTGACACCAGTCGCGAGTTTTACCCCTCCATCATCTCGACGAGAAGCTACGACGAACGTCTCAAGACACTGAGCCACGTGCGGGATGCTGGTCTCAACGTCTGCTCTGGTGGCATTCTCGGCCTCGGAGAGTCGTCCGACGACCGGATTGGTCTGCTGCACACCGTATCTACGCTGCCTTCGCACCCTGAGAGTTTCCCTGTCAACGCTCTCGTGCCGATCAAGGGTACGCCGCTTGGTGACCGCGCGCCCATTCAGTTCACCAGCATGCTCCGGACCATCGCCACAGCGCGTATCATCATGCCGTCGACCATCATCCGTATCGCTGCGGGAAGGAAGACCATGTCGGAGGAGAAGCAGGCCATGTGTTTCATGGCCGGTGCCAATGCCATCTTCACGGGTGAGAAGATGTTGACTACCGACTGCAACAGCTGGGATGAGGATGATGCCATGTTCGGCCGCTGGGGCCTGGAACCGATGAAGAGCTTTGAGAAGTCGGAGAAGCCCGTGGCTGAAGTCACAGTATAGTCTTAGATTGTATGAAAGATACAAATAAATGACAAAAAAGGCCTGTAAGCTACTTGTGGATAAGGTGTTGACATGAGCTGAGCACTGATGCTCCGTTGGGCTTGGCATACATTGCGGTCAATCCCGTTCATTTTTGTGCCGTTAGGGCCGTTATCTGTCTGGTATGGCAGTGTTCTAATGGAGACGTTAGAACCAGAAGCTTTGAAATGTTTCAACTCTTCGTATGTTTCGTCTGACGAATGGTACCTTAGAATTCCTCTGTGCTATCACCGAGTCATGCATGGAATCAAACGGTTCCGGGCAAGTTCGCCCTACGCAACTATCAGACGGTTCAGAAGAGATTATCAATGAGTCCGGGTTCCGGGGTCATTCAATTCTCCGAGCCTAAGGTTATTGCGAGATTCAATCTCACATTCGGCGCCATGATCGCCCTGGTTCTCTCTTAAAGACTTCTATACTCAACAAAGTTGTGTGCTGCAAGCTAACCCCTGGCCGTCGGTTAGACGAAGGGTTATACAGAAGATGAAGAGGATATTATAGCTTCAAGGAATTTTAGGATGGTTATGGTAAAGAGACCTCTCAACCATTCGGGAATTAAGCCAAATTCATAGATTGTGTCCTGGCGAGTATCCAATCGCGAAGTATTCTAGTGGCTCAAAGAGCCGAGGGAGGAAGGATGGGGTCCGGGAGCGTTGATCATACGCCCTATAAGGATACATTAATTTGCGGGGTCTGATACAATCTAACGCCGCAGATGAGACGACAAGCCAGATGGAACCGGTAGCATAAAGTCGAGATGAACTGTTGTCCTGGATCTGGCCTCTTATAGTCCCCTCTGCTAGCTCATTGCTCTAGCTTAAAATCATTAGCAATAGCAACGTCGCATTCTACCGCGAATAGTTACAGTGCAACAAAGAGGCAGTTGACCAACATGGGTTCCCTAGCAGATTACTCCGTGCCACAAGAGGCGAAGGCCGCTTTTGTCACCGGAATTCTGGAAAATCCTCTCATGAAAGATTTACCAGCTGACCTCAGATCCCTTGCGCAACATGTCAAATTCGAGGGCTCTAGCAAGCCCAGCGTCCCCATGAATTGGAAGTTCGCCGAGAGCACAGCAGCTTTGAAGGCTCTAGAGGCAACGTTGCTCAACCGACTACTCATGAAGAAGTACAATGCCGAACCAGCAGATGTTGTCATTAATACGTAAGAGTTTGGAACAGGCACCTAGGATGAAATGAATACTTACACCATCTGTGAGCATAGAGATCACGCAACCTTGTTCTTCATGTCGCCTCTCGTTGCTTCACTGGTTGGAAATGACGGCAAAACTACGCCAATGGCCATGGCAAACTTTCTCCCCGAGGCCATGAGAATGTTCCCCAATACGGATCTCCATAGGTGCTCGGCGGGTCTCCATAGACAGCTCCCAACGAATATTTACAAGACCAAAGAAGGGCGATGCTACCAGATGCATGGTAATTGACGTCTACCGAAATACCATGAAAAAGCTAACTTGTCACTAGGCGGTATCAATCCTGACCCTGTTCTCAAAGCTCTGGGCATGCCCGCCGACGGCGAGCCAATCGACACCTACGACGCGGTAGTCGAGCGGTTTGCCAAAGTGGTTGCGCAGCACACCCTGGAGGATTTAGACGAGCTCCTCAATGACAAACACAAACAATCTGGAGTGATCGCGTGGTCATCTGACGAGTACTTTGCAAGCGAGCAGGGCAAAGCATGCGCAAAGTCTGGGCTCTACGAGATCACCAAAGCCGGTAGTTCATCGCAGCCAGTATCTTGGTGGCCAAGCAACCAAAGTCTGCCGTCATCTCCAAAGCGCCCCCTCGCAGGTCTCAAAGTCGTTGATCTGTCCAGAATCATCGCCGGACCCGCCATCTCGCGCAGTCTCGCCGAGCTGGGCGCCAGTGTGATGCGCGTGACGTCCGCCAACGTCACCGACATGTCCCTCTTGCACCACGATCTCAACTGGGGCAAGTGGAACTGCAATCTTGACCTCAAAAACGAGGGTGACAGGGAGAAACTGCGGGCTCTGATTCGGGAAGCGGATGTTGTCGTCGACGCGTACAGACCTGGGGTCATGCAGAAACACGGCTTCAGTCGGCAAGACATCTTTGACTTGGTCAAAGCCCGTGAGCGGGGTATTATTCACGTCCGGGAGAATTGCTACGGGTGGCACGGGCCTTGGCAGAACCGAGGGGGGTGGCAGCAGATTAGCGATGCGGTAAGTTGAGATGACGTTGTTTCTGTAGGAGGATTTTTTTTATTTTTTTTTTTGCTGATGTTTGATCTCCAGTGCTGCGGTGTTTCACTCGCTTACGGCCAGGCTATGGGACACGACGAGGCTGTGACGCCCCCGTTCCCTGTGGCGGATTACTGGTGAGGAATGATCCTAGGTTTGAGGCGCTAGAACTATGTATAGGCTAATTGTTGAATAGTGCCGGTGTATGTGGCAGTGCAGGCGTTCTCGACGCCTTGATGAGACGAGCTGAGCAGGGGGGCACTTATGGTGTTGATGTAAGGGCTTTTCTCAAAGCATGCGCTTTTCATGTTAACTAACCACCATAGGTCGCGCTCAACTACTACACACAGTGGCTCGTTCGCTCATGTGGCACATATCCGGACGCAGTGTGGAAGGAATTGTGGGAACGCCATGGCTCGCCGGTTTTCAGGCACTACCACGCCATGCCCTACACTGTTCCAGCTATTTCAAAGCTCCTAACTCAACACGACGCGGATATCCTCTTTCAACAGCAGTTCTTCGAGAAACGCGAATCTAGCGCCGTGAATGGCACATTCGTCGTGGTTAAGCCCATTGCCCAGTTCAGCAATGAGGTTGAGCTGAAGTATAATGTGGGCACACGAGGAAATGGCGTCGACCAGCCAGTTTGGCCCGCTGACTTGTCTGTGGAGGTGGTGAAAGAGTAGGAAGCCGGTGCTTATTTCAATATTAGTAATGTTTGAGTTCAAGGCGTTGTGTGAGCACAAGGTACAGGCCTCTTAGAGGCAAGAAAAGGAATGGCAATCAGCTAAACAAATCAATAATGGAAACCAATTTGAATATACACGCTTTATTAGCGGAAACTTGCGCTTCTTCTCTAGGAGGTTGTATCAGAAAAAAAGTAACCTTTGACGTCCGAAATTCGTGCCACCCTATGCTCCTTAACTATGCATCAATAAGTTCAACCGTCAACGCCCGTACCCTAAAATCGCTACTATCAAATCACATCACTCATAACCATCATGCCGTAATCTGTTCAGCTAAGAACTTTCAGATCGAGCGGCCTCGACAACCTCGGCCAACTCAGCAGGTGTAATCCCCGCTGGATCGCGAAATTGAGTGTATGATTCTCCATCTTTAGGGCCAAGCACACCCGCATCCTTCACGAACCCACGGTGGGAATCAAAGTAGAACAAGGTCGCGTGTAAAGCATCTGGCGCGACTTCCGTAGCATGAAACGCAGCCGCGGGGATGGAATAAGAATCATTCCTGGCATGCCGCTCCGTGGACGTTTCAGTTGCTTTGAAGAATTTCCCTGTATTCTGGACAATGGAATACGACTGATGTGTCTTGTAATTCCTATTCTGACCCTTGCCGTCGTTCCACGCGAGTGCGTACCCGGCATGCGTTGCTTCAGCAATGTCATCAACTGGGTCGACTTGGTATGCGTGATCGCGGGCCTCGCCGGCAAGGATCCAGCTTTGTGCAAAGGGCTGGTGTGAGTGAAGTGCGAAGTCGGGGTTTGCGCGCTTGCCGTCTGGCATCCAAACGTGAAGACGGAATAGCTCGTCGATGCTGCCATCTTTAAGAAGACTGCATAATGGGACGGCTAGTAAACCCTGTGCACTGCGGTTTGCTGTGAAGAGATTGCGAGATAGGTTCTTGCTGGTCAGAGCATCGTGAATAATGCCCCAGATTTGATCTAGGTCTTTTGGCGATGCGGGTTGGTTCTGGCGGCACGTTTCACGAAGGAGGGAAATCGCAAGTGCTAACCTGGCGATATGAAGCGCGGTGTCGTCTAAGTTGAGTGTGTTATTCTTTACAAGTGTATTCCAGTCGTCGAAAGAACGCTCATCAGTTGCATCTCCGTTTGTGTGTGTTGTGCTATTGCTGTCGACATGTTGTGTATAATGTGATGCGAACAACTGTTTAATTTGGTCTGTGTTTTCTTCCGGGGTTTTAGTTGCTTGTGCAACGCCCTGTAGAGCACTTAAAATCGACTTCTTGGGAATCTGCATACTGGTTGGGTTACAGAATAAGTATGTAGATAGACACGTCGTGTAGTTAACTGAGTAGATAGAATAAGTTTGCAAGGCTACAGTGGTGGACCTAAAGATGGCATTTATGTACCAAGAAAACGTCGCCTTCTCTGCATGGCTCATCCATAAAAGCAAAAGGCAGTGAACAAGGCTTTCACTAGGGCTGCAGGGCGGCTTGTTAGGCGAACCATGGAGGACTAACCAACAGGCACATGGCGTACACAGCCTCAATTTCATCTAGGCAACAGTCGCCTCCACCCATACTAATATACGGGTCGGCGCTACGCCATTTTGAAAGTAGAATATGTAGTCATATTAGTTGGCGCTTTCAAAGTCCCAAGACAGCCTCAACTCGTTATTTACCATTCGTTACCTGCCTGCTGTGCGATGGCCTGGCGTATTCCCCTACTCCTGTAAGGTGCCGAGCGCCTAGGCGTACTTTTTTTGTTGGTTCACGGCTATTTCCCGTGTCTGAAAGAGAAGAAGAAAAAAATAGTAAAATCGATGACTCCAAATCGATGCAAATAAAAAAAAGTTTAGAGCACATGATTTGTTGAAATTAATAACTGTGATCGACTCATATATTCCATTTGGTCAACGTCACACTTAGCTCGCTACTTTGCCAGCATGCTTAAACACGTCAACATATCATGTATTTGCTGTCCCCATCTAAAAATACAACCAAGTCGATATGACGATTTTGGTCTCTGTAAAATATACAAGTTAAATCTCGCCGACTTCTCTCCCGTTTCCAAAGCCCGGTTTGGCGACTGGGCAGCATAAGAATGATTGGCTTCGTGCTGCTGCAGGTGAGTGAATGTGTCGGTTTCCTGGGGCATGGCTGTCCCCGTTTTCTTGTCGGCCTTATTGCAAATTTGAAGTGACCTTCGACAAGAATAGCACACCAAAGATGTCATTTGACATCCGCACTAAAAGTTTCCCCCTCCCAAATATCTACCTCGAGTTTATTCCTGTATCTCGCTTTCTTCACTTTCTTCGTCTACTCTTGTACTGTTGGGGGGCGGGTAATGTGCTAGGAAGAGTATGCCCACTGCGACGACGGCGAGTGCCTAGGCCAAGTCAATAACATGCAGGGAGCCTGAGGCAGTGATACTCACGGCATTGCAGAAGAATGTCAAATTAGGCTTTCCAATCTCTGAAAGACTGGCAAATATGAAGCCGAAGATGCCTTGCGTCGTCAGGGTAGCAGCACTTTCGACAAGGGTGATGGCACTTAGAGCGTCTTGACGCTGATGAGGCGGGCACATCTCAGTAATAACACCCTTGGCGGCCGGGGCTGAGCCCGATGCAAATGGCAACAGGAAGGCAGCTACGAAGGGAGTGAGCAATTTGGCGCCACAAAAGATCCAAAGAGGTGTGGTGATTCTTACCAAGATAGACGTGCCAGCCTTCAGTCGCCCAGGCTGCAAGAGAAGTAACGACGCCATCAACTACTAGACTCCAACGTAAGAAGAACAGATCAAAAGTGCTGTCCTCGTCCTCCTCTTCTGGAGGAACCTTTGTCGGCTCTGCCTGATTCATCAGACCAGGCGCCGGGTCCATGTCTTCAGGGTGAGTCGGGATCAAGTTTCGTTCCTCTTCGGTGAGAGTCTTGTTGAGAGGTCCAGCGTGAGTGAACGAGGCAAACCACCTTCGTCCGCTATCGATGATCTCAGGGAAGATGAACATGAGGAATACACCACGGATCCATGCGTTTCCGGACATGAGAATACCGTTTTCAGTGGTTCCAAAGTTGAAGCGAGAAGTTGCATACATCTGGATCAGAATAGGGGCATATCCTGTAGCGAACTGAAAGCACAATCGTCAGTTCGAATGATTTGCCGTTGCCAGTTTTAGAGCCAAACTTACCACACCAAAGAAGATACCCAATGCAAGGAAAACCAAACCGTAGTTCTTAATCACTTTGCCAGACTCCAGACGGTACTTCTGAGGCAACAAAACCTTGATCGGGGCCAAGAATCCGGACGCCCCCGATGTCGTCTTTCCAGCTGCTTCGTCACTATTTTCAGGAGGCGAAGGCCAGAAGATCGCGCCATAGGTCGTGGCGACCGCGAAGCACCCGACAGCTGAAATAAAGGGACTGACGATGCCCCAGATGTCACCAATAATTCCACCAACTAGATAATCGTCAGCAACAGTTTGCTAAATTATGGACGGATAGCTTACGCAAATAGCCAATGGCAGTACCAATCATGACCGCACCCTGAAGTCTGCCAAAGACACCTGTATGCTTTCTTCTTTCAACCACCTCGGCGACAGCGGTGTTAAGGACAAGCCTATCGATCGACGCGTTAGCGCCTATCCCTGCCGGAATCTCGATCTGGCACTTACATGTAGCCCCGCGGCCCACCCAGGATACCGATCAACTGGGTGTACTGCATGAGATCAATTCCCCTCTTTCCGCCGGCCGATACGGCGAGAATCTGGCACGAGACGCGGATGCCGAGCAGGCCAGTCTGACTGATGAGCGCCCAGCGGGTGCCCCATCGCTTAATAAGATCGCCGCAGATGAAGAGGTTGAGAATGCCGCACACAGAGGTGGTCATGCCGAGAATCGATACCTGTGTTGCCGTGTTGGCGTCGATCTCACGGCGTTGACATTGCTCCGATGCGGGGCCGTCAAAGGGGGGATGGGTGCTATAGAAATGCTCGCATGCCATCACACGGAAGACATAGATAATTCTGAGTCCAATGTCAGACGTCAATCAAGCTTCGTTGAGCAGTCACATTACGTACGGGACTTGGGTGAGACCGAGAGTGAGCGATACAAGGAATCCGGCAAACAGGATCCGGTTGGCGGGAGACCACAGGCCGCGACCGACCCGCTTCACGGCCCCAGCACCGGATTTGAGAAGGGGCGTCCGTTCATCTGCGGCCATTGAGTGGTGGTTCTGCGTCTCGGGATAACGGTACGTTTGCTCGATCTACAGGACCTCCAATAAACGCGAGAGGCTCAAGCAAAGTTTGGCTGAACTGGGAAGGTAACCAACGGGCGGAGTGGAGTGAGGGGGGAACGGGGGAAAGGGGGGGAATGGCAAACGGTGAACGTGTTTGCTTTGGGGGGAACAAGCGGTTAAAGGATGAGAAATAGTATTGTTCTCTGATTTTTTTCCCCGGAAAACAAATGATAGGCACCGTTGCGGAAGACGTGCGGAATCCCCGCTGTTGCGTCAGAAAATGGTGGACCTTCCGCCTTTGGACTTCTTGGGTCTTGGAAAAATGGCAGTGGAGCGCCACTAGGTGACCTACTAAATCGAACCGGTGGGGGATTTATCAAAGAGGAATGGATGGATATGTGGAAGATGGCCGAGACATCGGAGGACTGCACACTTTTGCTGTGTTTTTCTGTGTGATTCTGTTGGTGGCGGGGTTCGTGTGGGACAAGAGCCGATGCAAAGCAAATCTGGAGCCGAGCGCGGCGTTCGTGTTGCCGATATATGTGGGGCGATAAGCTAAATAGAAGACCTCATTGGTGGGAGATAAGACTATCGGGCACTGGACCGGCGCTGGACCGGAGCTTGCCCGGGAACTTGTTTCTTATTGCCGGCTTGCTTCCCCCCGAAACGCCCGGCATGATTTCGCCCCGCCGCGGGAGTACCCGATTCCGGACGAGTTTTATATAAGAGAGATCGGCATCTCAAGTGCTGCTAGCTGGAATTTGCACGGGAACCATAGTAGGGCAGGGTCAGTATCCGATTTCATGGAGTGGTGCTAACCTTGTGCCATACTTAACCTGTATTACATCTAGGTAAGGCTTTACTTTATAACCATCGGCTATCTATACTTGGTAGTATGGTCATTTCTGATGCATATAATGTGATTTCTTCCCAATTAGATTTATATAAGCCTCATCTTATTACTTCCACGACAGCGGCTGCTTTAGCACCAACTTGCCAAACTTGCCCAGTTCCCCTACCTTCTTGACCTCCTCAAGTGCCTTCTCCGCCTCACCACTGAAAACATCTACTACAGGCAGCGAAAAATCAACGCGATAGTTCTCTACAGCCCACGTCAGTGCCTTCCACATCCGTCCAAAGTCCTCCCGCCGAGCTGGGAACTCCACTGGAGGGCCGCCCATAAACGCGAACTTGACTGAGGCATTGGCGACAGCGAGCGGCATCTTCCACCTCTCATCAGGGCCTCCAATGACGGAGAGCAGCTCCGTATCCTCGCCAACACATTTGAACATCTGTCCAGCCGAGCTAGCCTCCCCTCTCGTACCGGCGCAGTCTGCAGCGTACGCAATTTGTTCTGCCTTTGTCTCTGCTACAGCAGCCTGGACCTGAGACACAATGTTGGGAGAGGCGTAATCAAAGCATCGGGTCGCGCCCATTTTCTGCAGCAACTCGTGCCGCTTCGGCGATGCTGTGACGAATATGGGAAACGCACCGCTTGCCCTGGCCAATTGGACCATACAAAAGCCCACACTCGTCGAAGCCCCCCAGATAAGTAGCGGGCCAGGTTTGAACTCCTCAATAACTTCCTCACCAGGAAGAGGGTATCCAAAAATGTTATACAGTCCATCGGCAGCCGTCGTTACTACAGTCGCGAGACATGCGGCATGCTCCAATGGCAGGTTGTCCGGGACTCGGAATACAAGCTCTTCGGGGCAGGCGAGGTACTCTTGATGCGCGCCGTACTTCAACGGCTTCCCCATACCCGTAGGTGTATGCCCGGCAACAGCGTCACCGACTTTGAAGCCCGAGTTGGGGTTGGCTTGCACGACGTGTCCGCTAAAGTCGTAGCCGATCACGACCGACCGGACGCCCATGCGTGGTGCATGCATGACGTCGCCGGGGTTGACACCAGAGAAGCAGACTTTTATTACCAATTCGGATTCTTCAGGCTCGGGAATTGGCACCGACTGAATGACTTTGAAGACGCAGTCTTCATCGACGAAGAGGGCTGGCGCTGTTGAGGACATGGCGTCGGTGTGCATCGTGATACAATCGCTAAAACATGTGCAATTGTGACAGGAAACAAATGGCGGAGGCACTGTTAAGTAGGCAAATGACCTTGAGCTAATATGCTTAAGGAACCCTGACAGACTGCACGAAGGCTGGAGGGCTGTGTAAAAGCTGACAGCTCAACTGGGAAACGATTCCCTCGTCGCCTAGCGTCCATTTCCTGGCAGCGTACACTACAGTCAGGGTTCCATCCCCAGGAGAAGTTGTTAAGCTCGACTGAGCCCCGCGCCCTTGTTCTGTGTGAAGCGCTGATCAACAGTGGATAATCTAATGACGAGCTTCCCCGTGCGATCTGGCATTGGGTGGTTTGCATATGCTGACAAACTAAGCTGATATCAGCAAGAATTGATTTGTCCCTATTATTAACTCGGAAAGGTAATCATGAAGAATAGGAAACTGGTTTACTCGCAAGAACATCGCCGTGTGGACGTGTCTTGCAGGTTAGAGCCAGCTGTGTTCCTGTTTCGTTTTTGGCCCTGTTTTGTGCATGCCAAAGAGCAGATTAGCCAGTGAAAGGGCCTAGAGTAAGAGATCTGGCACTCTGTTTGAGGTTATAACTGTCGGACGTCCTTTATGTTGAAGCAGCCTCGGTGCATTCTCTCGGAATGGCTTACTTCTTCATCAGCTCTGTGGGGGTGCCCTAGTGCCCCACGATGGGAACATGCCAAGACGGCTTCCCGTGCGGAGCTACCCGCAAAAAACAAAAACAGCCCGGGAATAATTACATGTCATCCATGTTTTGCGATCCATTATCTTCATTGGAAGTCGCAAGTGGTTTTCGCATCCGAGTTGTGACAGCTTTCGGCCGGGGACAGAGTAGATTCTATGTGCTGACAGACAGGCTCTGGGATGAGCGGTTTAGGTATGGGGCCAGCCAATTCGCTACTCGGAGGGAAACCATCTCTTTAAAACGCCTTTGCTGCTGAAAAGGCTCTATTACAATTTGATATCCATGTGAGGGTGCTTTCAGGGTATGAATCCTCGAATCTTGGCTACGTTCACAGACTCAACGATAGCTGAACTGTTTTTCAGGAGGATGCAAAATAAGAAACCAGCACGGAATACCATCAAAACAACGCACGCCCCTTGCCTGTACTACTGTCAAAGGGGTAGTCGATTCCGAATGTGACGAAAGAGTTTAGAACGCTTTTGGTGATACACCCTGGGTAAGCGACACCCTGTCAACTAGGTAGTACGGCGTCACTCGCATCCTTTTTCATGCCTTTCTCAGGCGAGAGTTATGAAATAGCGAACAATTCCTCAGGGGTTCGTCTCGGGGAGGCCTTTCCGCCTGCAGGTCTGCTAGGCTCTGTGCAGGCATCGGATCATGCTGGTTTGTTGTTTAGCCTATCAGCAGTCTACGTTGGATCGACCAGCACCAACTGCATACAATATGGCCACTCAGCAGTTGGCATCAAGCGACTACTTCCAAAAAATCTATAGCCAGATGCCTTTTTGGACAGATGCCCCCTCAGTCTTCACGGCTTGGCGAGGCCGTTGCCCCACCGCCTGGTAAGCGATGACCTATAACCCTGCGCCAACGGTCATATTTAGAAAGGAGATCGCCCCATTCGGAGACGAGGATGACTTTTCTTGTCTTTACAATTGTTGAAGATTTATCTCTCCTTGCGACTGAAAGGTGTGTAAGATCTGCTTGTCCTTGCTAACCTATGGTTTTGAGCTACTTGTGCTTCCCTTGTTATCATATGTGCGACCATGAAGCAGTCATCAAAAACCATTTGATCCAATCGCATCAAGCTGACATTACGATAGCCCGTAGATCCCACCCGCGCCATCCAAAGCAGCTATACGCCATGCAAGAAACACAACCTGCACCTGCACCGGCTGTAGAAGAAGACAGCTCCTCAGAGCTCGGAAGCGTGAGTGATTTTACAGATAGATGATGCCATCGCTATACAAACCTAGCTAAATCTTACGATCCGATAGCTTTTTGAAGATTCCTCTGTTGCTTCGTTGAGATCGAGCATCCTCGAGAACCAGATTGAGAATGGACGTACATACCACTCCATGAGCGCTGGAAGTACGTTGGGCAAATGTTGTTGTTCGTATCTGCTTGTGTTAACGACTTGACAGAGTATGCATTTCCGAACGATGAGGTAAGCAGTACCTGGTTGACAACACACGAACGGCCCAGAGAAATAAAAATTTTGGCCATTACTGATCTTGAATGTCTGCTTACTGGTACATTTAGAGAGAGAACGACCGCTTGGGTGCGTTTGCAAAGTAGCCATAGCTTTCCAAAGCATTGGCTAATTCTTTGGAACATCATTGCTAACATCAGGTACACAGACTTCCAACATCGTATTTGGCAGATGGCTCTTGATGAAGAATTGGCGCTTTCCCCCGGTCACAAGACAGCAAAGCGTGTTCTCGACATGGGAACAGGAACGGGCATCTGGGCAATCGATTATGGTACATTGAGGATGCCACGCTAGACATTGACATTTGCTAACCACGGTTGTAGCGGACGCGTACCCTTCCGCTGAGGTTTGAACTACGACATCTGTTATTTAATACAAAGGCTGATGCCATTAGGTTATTGGTGTCGACCTGAGTCCTATCCAACCTGAGTGGTAAAACTTTATACAAATTTGTGCATTTGCAAAGTTGCTGCTGGCTAACCAGGCGCATAGGGCACCCCCCAATTGCCGATTCGAAATCGACGATCTCGAAAAGGACTGGACGTGGACTGAGCCTTTTGATTTCATCAATTGCCGTAGTATGGCAAGCTGTTTTGCCAACCCAGCAAAAGTTGTGGAAAAGTGTTACAAGTAAGAGGACAAGAAAAAAAGCAAAATGATACTAGCCATACTTGTCACTAACTTATCTAGTGCCTTGACACCAGGCGGGTGGTTAGAGGTTGCTGACCTTATCCTGCCATTGAGTTGCGATGATGGCAGTGTTCCTAAGGACTCTCACCTCTACCGCTGGCATAATCTGCTTGAAGAGGCTGCAGAGAAGATGGGCCGACCAATGGTAGGTTTGGTCCAAGAGACGGCGAAAATGAAGGAAGTGGGCTTTACCAATATTACAACGACGAAGTGCATCTTCCCGCTCAACTCGTGGCCCAAGGACGAAAAGCTGCGGGAAATTGGCAAGTGGCACTTCGTTAACCTTAATCTTGGCCTTGAAGGACTTTCAATGGCATTGCTCACCCGCGCTCTGGACTGGACCAAGGAAGAGGTTCTCGCTTTATGTGCTCTTGTGCGGAATGATCTGAAGAACAAGAATATGCACGCCTATTGGACATGGTAAGTTTTCCCTCCTATTGCTTGTTTCTATTTTCTCCACATTGTTACTGACCAATTCGCCAACTTTTGTAGTCATATCATTTGTGCCCAGAAGCCTCTTGAGGAGGCCGAAGAAGATGCTGCGGCTCAAGCAAACTAAAGCTTCGTATGCCAGTCTAGACAAGGCTTTCTTGCGCAGAGGGTAATCAGGAAGTAAAACGGGATAGTAACAAGCGGACCGTAATGAGAACTTCCATATTTATTTAAAAACAAAAAAGTCCTAAACGCTTATTTAGTCGAACTTTCAAGAGGTCATATGCTTGTAAACAAGACACGTTGGTTATTGAACAAGACGAAGTCTCCCAGATCTGAGCAAAGTAACACGAATTAAATTAAAGATGTTTTATATATGCATAATTTCAAACTCAGTACTTGAAGTTTGGTAGAGGATTCATTAGCCAGACCTCCAGGCCACGGAAGCCGACATGTGCGGGAGAGATTCTGGAGCCTTACGTCCAAATCCGCACCCAAATAGAAGGCCTGAGAATCAATTGAAGCCTTGCGGGGTAGCCATAGTACTCTGTTCGTCTAAAGGAACAGAAATGTGTAGGCGCTTTGTAGGTTCATCATGCGTCAGTGTCATGTAATCCTAGAAGTTTGAGGGTACTTGTGGGTGTTAGCCTCGTGGTGTAATCATGTCAGACGGAATCTATGCACTGGTAATGCAACAGTTGACTTTGGCCGTGTTCCTTGCTACCTCCTACCGCTAAGGAGGACCGCTCAAGAACTGACTGTCTGTTAAGACAGAATCAATATGCTTTTAAAGCCAAGCTGGAAGGCTGTTTTATCTTGCACGAAGAACCGGATTCTCCTTTTTGTACTGCTATGATGCGAACTGGTAGTTCAGGTATCTGTTGGCTATACCGACTGTGCTGTTAGAGGCTGTCTAGTTCGAAACCACGAATCTCTTAGGTCTGAGGCTGTGATACGACTACAACCAAAGACTCCAGATTAGGCTCCTAGACGATTCCAGAAGGTTCCCCAAAAAAACTCGCCGTTCTTGCCAAGTTGTGAATCAACAGCAACCTTGGGACGGGCTTTGAGAATACATAATCCGTACGTTCTAGAGCGATAAAGAGTGTAACACGAGATGGTCACCTGCTGGACGACAGCTATGGAGCAGTTGCGAGGCAAATTCCTGAGCAATTTGATAATCCTTACCTGGATTTGCAAGAGCAAAACTATTCAATAGACTTGCACCAATACCCCGAGTTCATTACGATTTAACTTCTCCTTATTTTTTGTTCACATTGATCGGTCAAGAAAGACAGAATCGTGCTCCCAACTATGGTGTTAATCTAATCTGAACGTTGCGGTCATCTACCAAATAACACCGATTGTAAGAGCCACAGTAAAGTTCGTCCCTTGCAAGCCCACCCCCCGGTGCAACTCAAGCTTTGAATGCGGAGCACATCAGTGGCTTTTTTGGAAGTTTGGCACTGATCATGGCGGACAGTTCCGATGTCCAGGGTCCCTTGGCTGGTTCGCCAAAACATCCGCCAGAGCTCGTATCCAAGAAATCGGGCGAAGGCCGAACCCAGTAAAGTACGGAGCCGCCGGGGGCCACCTGTAGGGTTTTTGGCCCAAACTCACCCTTAATCATTGGAGGAACATCGGCGCATTGAGTCAATTTCGGTATCGACTGCCACTAGAAGAACCATCAACATCCACCACTGACCTCACTGCTTCCTCATCCATGCAGTCTTCACAAGGACTATCATAATCTTAATACGAAAAGAGGTGATTTTTCGTCTACAAGTTGAACAATAACGTAAGGTACCGAGGTCCAAAGAATCCCTGCTCTGAATAGGGCGATATGAATCCTAGTAAAACGTAGCAAGTCATGAGAACTTCGCTTCTCCGGATTCTTCCAAAGTGGGCTCAAGCCGCTATGGAGACAGGACCTCAATAAAGTAGCAATTTCTCGGCTCCGCAAGAAACGATCGCCCACGGCTATTTGAAAATAGATTTAACTTGGTCTTACTTACGCATCCTTGTTGGGGCCGTCATTTAGTACAAGAGCAACGGGATTCTCGCACACTGGGGTTGTCCTTCTGTTTCTTTCCACGCTTCAGTCTTGTCATTCGTTCAGTTTCGCCTCTTCTAGCAGACAAGATGCGCTCTCAGTCTCTTGTAATGGCAGCCTTGGCCAACGGCGCCGTCGCCGCGATTCCCACGGTCAGCATCCCGCTGCACTACTACTATGGCGGCGGTCACAAGATCGCCACCAATCTGGTCAACCCCAACTCCAACAAGTCGGTCGAGGTCGTCTTTGACCAAGGATCTGAGAACTTCTGGGTTTTTGGGCCTAACGCCATCAACAACTGGGGATGCACGGGTTTCTTCTGCCCTGGCCAGTGCAACGCCACTGCTGAGCCGTTTTACGATTACCCCAATAGCCCTACAGCCAAGAAACCCGAACCGTTCCTCTCACAGTTCGCCTACGGCGCCTACACCAAGATCGTGCAAGGCAAGGAGAGCGTCAATGATACGTTCCACTTTGCATCGGATTCTGGGTTGACCTCCAGCGTTGAGGGACGTGTTGCAATCGCAGAGTACATGCAGCAACGCCTGATGGACGGGGGTAGCTGCATCCCGGCGCCGTATGATCTCGGCATCCTTGGTGTTGCGCCGTTCTACCGCACCGCTGAGTGGAACACTACCGGACCTCACCTCCGTCAGGATCTCCTTGAGAGAGGCGAGATCAGCGCTCCCGTCCAGAGCATCTGGTTTGATGAGGCTCCCGCTAACTGGGACGGTACTTTTACTGGTAACGCCGTCTTCGGTGCCATTGACACGTCTAAGTACACTGGCGAACTTGTCAAGGTCCCTCCCGTCAAGAACGACCGTCTTGGGGCTTCAGTCGGCTACTTTGTCGCTCCACCCACTGTCAAGGTGAAGAATGTCACCCTCGATAACTCGGATTTGAGCTCGCGCAGCTGTATGATAGATTCTGGTACACAAATCGACGACCTCCCCATTAGCAACGACGCCCTCGATGCGTTTTTCAGTGCTGCCGGTCTCACCCGGGATCCCATCGGTCATGTTTCTTGGAACGGCAGCTGTGACTCGATCCCTAAGGATGTCACAATTGACCTCGAGTTCGCTGGTGTCGACGGCAAGACGGTTACTATCAAGATTCCTCTGCGCAACTACGCCCGTAACGCCGCAGACCTGAGGCCCGAATACTGCGTCCTTAACATCGACACCGGTGGCTGCATGCTCGGTGCACCTTTCGCCACTGCTGCGTTCTTCGCGGCAAATGATGCTGAGAACGAGATTGCTTTGGCGCAGGGCGGTGTTTCTAAGAGGGGCAGCAAGCCCGATGATGCTGCGCTGTCTGTCACCATCCCTTGAAGCTACAGAAGACAAGACCAAACAAAATAGGTATTCTTGACTTTAATGTCCAAATTAAGAAATTTTTCATGACAAATTAAGAAGGTTTTCATGAATGACAAGAATCATCACATCAATTGAGAGATCATAACATATCATAGTTGCAGCCGTGATCCACAGCCTGCCTACAGTGTCCAATTCTTGGTGTTCTGTCTCGGCTTGATCTTCACCTGGAATCCGACCGGCCGCAAGTTGAACCAACCATCTTGATGCAACTTGTATGAAGGGTCGACCCAGTCAAAGTCAACCTCCTTGATGAGCTTGGCCATGACAACCATGTTCCATAGCCAGGCGTAGTGCTTTCCGATACACTCTCTCTTTCCGTTACCGTAGTACCTCCTTGCCCCCAGCGGCAGCTGCTCATACTTCTCGCCCACCATCCGTTCAGGCTTGAATGCCAACGGGTCTTCGAAGACGGTTGGGTCCCGGTTCGCGCCAGCGAGGATGATGATCATCGGCTGGTTGTAAGCAACCTGGTACTTGCCTCCCGCAAGCAATACAGGACCGGTGTCTTCACCTTTTGTGTGGATCGGTTCGATGTTGAAGCCTGGCGCTGCAAAAGACAAGCGCATGGATTCTCGGACGATTCCCTCGATGTACTTGAGCTGAGCAAGGTGCGCATAGGTCAACTCGCCCTCGCCCACGACGGAGTCGAGCTCCTCGCGTGCCTTGGTGACGGCATCGGGGTTGTTGAGAAGGAAATAGATTCCGGTGCTGATAACGCACGGCGCAGTGCTGCTGCCGATTGGCATAGACACTATTTCGTCAATGACTTGGGAGTTGGATAGTGACTTGCCCGTCTCAGGGTCCTCAGCACTCAGCATGGCCGCGAGAAGATCCTTGCGGTCTGAGGGGTTGGTCCGTCGGTGTTCGACCATCTCCGCCGCATACGTTCTCATGACGTTCGTGGCATTGGGAAGCTTCTTTTTATAGAAAAGGGCATTCATGCCAGGAAGTCTGGTGGGCCGCTTCACCGCCTCCGAGGTCGAATCTTCCATACCGCCTAACATAGGGTGTTCCGGCCCGGTCAAGCAGTTGAGCTTCTTGCCATATAATGAAAGCGTTGTCGCCTCGAGGTTGAGTCTGTTCAGCTCTCCGATAGCAGAAATTTGGGCGCCTGGCCCGAGCCCTTTCCATTTCTCGAGCAACTCATTGGTCGTGGTGATGAAATCATCGAAGCGCTCTGCAATCGCCTGCGGCGCAAGCTTGGGAGCGATGATGCGATGGGCGATACCCCAACTGTCTTCATAATGATAAGCCGTGAATAGCGCGTCGTTCACAGAGTACCGGATCTCTTTGATGGGGCCGGAGACTAGTTTACGGAAGCGTTTCTCGTCACACAGTTCCTCTGCGAGGGCGGCGCCTGCGACGAAGACAATAGTTTTGTTCAGGATCTTGACCTGGAAGATCTCGCCATGCTTCTCGGCCAGTGTCTTGAGGCAGGGCCAAAGGTTGTTCGAGTCCAAGGTGAATATGTTACCGAGGATCGGCAGACCAGGAGGTTGAGGAATTGGAGTAGCCATCTTGGTCGTATGTATTACAACGAAGCGAATATTGTTGGAGCAGTTGGGAAAGACTGCAGAGAAGGGAAGAAACTCATTTCTCGAGTTAAAAAGCAGAGGCAGGCGCCGTGAAAAGGGAGTCTTGAGACCACAGGCCTTTTTTCTTTTCCTTCTTTTTTTCATTCCTCGGTCATATGCTATCGCGTCAGTTGTCTTGGACTAAGTGTTACTTGTCTCACCATCTCACAGCGTCTTGCAGGCGCGACGGCCCGTAATTCGATACACGGCCGTTGTCATTGGACCTTGGCTTGCATATCCCAGCTCGTTTTCATGCTTACAGGAAAGCCATGTCTCATAAAGTGAGACAAAAGCTGAACAAGGTGATGTTTACTACGACAATGGAGCCACCATAACAAATGGGTTCTCTATGGGAAGTGTGTGTGATACGAAATGGTTTTTGCCTTGGATGCCAAACATACCTAGGTAATGAATGGACCTCGACGTGCTCTACGAACGTGCTTATACGTACCAATACGCACTCGTCATAGTAGCCAGTCCTTTATCCCCTTGTTAATGATCAAGAAGAGAGAAAAACAACAGGATCCGCGTAGATCTGCAGATTAGCACCCTCTAGTGTGTCGTTGGGTGAGACAGGTGTTCGCAGCGGCGCTTGGCGAAAGCAAATACGGGTTCTGTGTATCTCGGCAGTACACAAGTCATCGAATAGATGAACTTAAAATGAATCAATCCGCTGGTTAGTAATTCCATATATTAGAGAAGTAGCAGCTGCATTTTGAATGATTCCCGGGGTATCCAAAGACGAGTTCAGTTCTAACCTAAGGTAGTCAACCGCCGTCCTTTTGCTCGCTTTGGCAGATTTGTAAAAGCCGAACAGCCATTCGCAGATATGCTAGCGTTTTGCATGTTTCTTCTTCGTGGTCCCTTTTTATTTCCCCACACCTAATCAATGCTGGTACACAAATTAGCTCCCGTTTCTGCTAGCGGCCGATCAGCCATTGACGTGTGTGCGTGGCTGGTCCCCGCAAGAAGCTGTGTTTACTGCTACGTTGTCAAGTTGTGTATCTGGATAGAGTAAGATCAGTGAGATAGGCAGTTCGGCAGGTGACAAAAGGCCATCGCCGTTTACTGGATGTCTTGGGTTGTGGTAGCCACCTTGGACAAGTAGCTTTAGGTAGTTAGTACTGAATCCGTACATCAAAAACGAATTCCAAGCCTAGGTAGGCTATTCTCACCATCTAGCATGTGCTTCTTCATTAGTAGGTAGTAATCAGCAAATACAATAAGAGAAAAATGTGTTACTTACCTGCTAGCACACTGAGAAACCCAATTTATCAAACTACACAAAAAGGAGGATGCGGCCAGTGTGGATTGAACACACGACCTTCAGATTAAGTGATTGAAGTTTTCAATGGATCCAGGACCCATACTTCAGTCTGACGCTCTCCCAACTGAGCTATGTCCGCCGGCTATCCTCGACAGTCGACCGGCCTGTGGAGGTCAAATGTACGAACCCGATGCAGCGTATCCGAAAGATACCAGAAGACCAGAAGCAACGCGGTTGCAATGTACAGTAGTTTTGTTTCTATGTACAACGCAATAAGAAAACATTGATTTACAAGCAATGCGGGTCACATTTGTATGGCAAGCCTGATTTTCTGCTTTGGAAGAGGTCAACAATTCAAAGCAGACTGTTGATGGCAAGGGAGCTGGTCTGGCAATAGTACTCCAACGACACGCTGTGCGCTCACTCTCTTCAAGGAGTCGCTTTCTGCCGCCACCAATGAAGTCAAATTTGTAAAATCATCTTCGTCATCCAAAGTTTCAATTCAAGTAGATTCTCTGCCTTCTTAATGGGATATTCAAGCCCAATTCATAGCGCCCATGGTAATTTAAATGTTAACTTGAGTTATTCGTGCTGAACCTTTTGCCCTCTAATATGATCTAAGGATCTGGCCTACAATAAGAAAACATCTGAAATGAATCGGCAGTTCCTATTATTGGGGTATTTTGCAAACCCAAACGGTGAAAAATGCCGCTGTGACCGTGGTTCTACAAGCTCAACCCAGGCTGGTTGCGAATTCTCACCACTTCCGCGAATGCTCAACAAATAGCACAACCACAACCTAAAGCGTAGCAAGTTGTATGTTCTTCGAGTTAGGGTAGTCTTCAGATGTCTCATGAAGCACTGCCGATGGCTCTAGCTTGGGTCGCCATTTATCCGAGTCCCCGATTCTGTCGGCTGTTATGCCAGCCCTGCCAGTGGGGGTCAGACCAGCCTCTAGTTGCCTCTTGTAAGATACGTTGCGGAGTCTCTCGGTCTCAGCAGGTGTAAGTCTCAACTGTCGTAGAACACGTTAGCATCCGAGTGGCTAGACAGCAGACCTCGTTCGATGGCTTACATAAAGCTCAACCCCAATTGCATGCAGAGCCAACGCCAGCCACAGGGCCATGCCAAAGGGTAGCGCGATAGCAACTCCTGCTTCGGCGGCGGATGTTGAGTCGAGGATATCGGCATGGACCACAGCTTGTTGAGCTGGGTTCTCACCAGAGAAGTAGGAGGCGCAGGCAGGATACAACTCCAGTGTCCGGTTTGTGTCTTCCACCATGAATGCAATTTGGTCGCAGGGGCGTGCTGCATAGTACGTGCCTATGGCGCTGATGCACATGGCGGCAATGATTTGAATCAGTCGGAGGGTAACAATAGAGCCAGCCTGCATGCCTCGTGTTAGCATATGAGTCCACCTCGAGTTAAGAGCCGCTCGACCCACATAGAACCATGCTCGAAGCATCCAAGCCCGATGCTGCTCAATCTGAAGCCTCTTGATGTTGATGTACGCCATGGTGATGGAGGCGATGAACATGATGGACATCAAACCAACGCCGGCTTGGGTTTCTATCCCACCCCCAAACGCATTCCTCAGGAACATGAATATACCCGCCGTACCGACAAAGGATAGTATGATAACGGCATAGCCGCTGACGCGGTGAAACAGTAGTGCTTTGTGGCGAATCACCGGCACAAACTGGAAGCAAGCCAGAAAGCTGGCGGGTAGGATCCCAGCAAGGTGAAGCTTTATACCAATCTTTTCGATATGTTTTCTGTAGTAGAAGCATTCGCCTGGGGCTGCACCATCCTCACCGCAAAAAGTACTGAAGCTGAGATATTGAAAGCGGGCAAGCGTAAACCCCATGAGAGCGCCAAAGAAGATAAAGTGCAGCACAAAGTTGTAGCCTTTGGCGAATCCGAGCGGGTTGTAGAGTTTCCGTGCTATAGCAACAAAGGCGTTGGCGGGTGGGCGGGTTGGTTGAACCATGTTGATGTTTGTTCAGGTTTCGAAAGATGGTGCGGAGGGATCAAACAATTAGAGTCAGCAGTATATGGGTTTCAACTCCTGATATCTAAAGAGCCTCTTTTCTGATCAGTGACTAAAATGAGTGAAAAGACTCCTCCCTTATATACTGTTCACCGTCCGTCTTCATTATGATCTGGTCCGAACATGAGATGGCCTTGTAAGTTCATGTGGTTGCTTGTGAGGACCAAGACATTCTGACGCGTCTCTAGGGCTGTAAGACACCTCGACGGATCTGGAAAGAAAACGCGCAACAACCAAACACATTTGGCAAATGTCGCTGCGGAAAGACAACGAGTCCCTCAAAATGAGCCTATCCCCAGACCCCTCCTTGGCGTGCAGATTCCTCTAGTCTGCCCCGTCTCTAAGAATACAGAGCGGACGGTGCTTTACTCGCGGAGCGCAGAATGATGCCCAAAAGGGACTACGTAGCAATTGAAGTGGCTTCAATTCCAGCCAATGAGTGAATTGACTAGGGGTTTTGAAGAATCCTTCCGGCACTTCTCAATGCTGGCTTTGACTAATCAGTTCGTCTCCAGATCGTAAGCGCGTTTTGTTGCCTTGTCAAATGTCATCGTCATCGATCTTATCTGTATCCCTGGATGCATAGCCCTTGTCTAACGGTCCTAGATAGCACTTCCTCGCTTACTCCCCAGCCCCAACGAGGGACATATTGTATACTACCGTAGTCACGTGTAGAGTCCGAGATACTACGTCGACAACTCTGCGCCACGGGAGAAGACACGCAATCCCCGCTATTATCGTCCACCGACCCTCCGACCCTCCGACCCTGCGTTGCTGCAAGTTAAAACCGCACTAATATCCATAGATACTCACCATCCCTAAATCAGAAGCATCTTGCGCCGTGCATTCTAAATTGCTCTTAACGGTGCCCCGTTTCTCATCATTTTCAGAACATGGTTGGAGTTCCAGGACGATCCAAAGGTTGCAACACGTGTCGCAAACGTAAAAAGGGAGTAAGTACACCAGACCTTTCCGGTTTGTCCTTTTCTCTCCCCTTGGTAAATAGTCATTAATTGAGTGCAACGTAGTGTGACGTTCAACGTCCAGAATGCGGACAGTGTCTGAAGGCAGGACTGAAATGTGAAGGATATGAGCGGAAGCGCATATTCGTCAACGTAACGAACCCTGCCGCCAGCAAAAGCTCCAAAACGGCGGCCCTGATCCCCGTCATACCTAGCATTGTACAAGTGGCCTCCTTGTCCCGGTCCGCATATGAGGAAAAGATTCTGGACATGTTTTGGGAAGGCTTCATGCCCAATTTCCCAATATGTTCCCTCGAAAATCCAATTATGAGGTATTCCCATGCAGAGTGGGCTGTGGCGGTTAAAGATCTATACACCACCGACGCTGTCTTGCGCCAGAGTTTATTATCGATCAGCCTGGGAACCATAGGTCGCCGCGACGAGCAGAAATGGATGATTGACGAGGGACTAAAGTTCTATTGCCAAGCTTTGAGTCAGATGAACAGCGCACTACGACATCCTGCGCGGTGGAAGTCGGATGCTATCATGATGGCTTCGAGATTGCTTGGCTTCTACGAGGTGCGCAAGAGACCCCAGGCATAACAGCGGTTCTTGAATGGCTAATCTGAAACGGTTGCTAGCTTCTATATGGAGCAGATGATAGGGAGAGACGAGGCATTTCTCAAGCCCAGAGTTGGGAAGGCCATGTGATGGGGGAGCTGGCTCTTGTGGTGCAACGAACGCCCGAAAGTCACATTGATGGCCATGCACATCTGCTCTTCTCTTCCGGCCGAATGCCATTAGTACGTTGACTATTCCAATCAACATTCACGCTTTGTCCGTAGATCCATGCTAATTGTGTTGATTTGCAGGCTATATCACACATTAAACAGAGGCGCAGATGTCCCCTAAGTCAACCTGTTTGGAAAACAGTTCCGTGGCAGTACCACCCGAAATCTGCCAAAGATTCTCTAGTAGACATATTCGTCGACATCCCTGGCATATTGGAAGATCTAGATCTGTTTCGCAGTTGCGATGAAGGACCTGAAAAGGAAGAAAGACAGAAGAAGCTGATCAGAGAATGTTGGCGCATTGATGCAGAGTTGATGTCATGGCTGGATAGTTTAAGCCCACAAGAGGAATTCAAAGCCCTTGAAGCGCGAGGGTTAGAGAACCCAACAACCTGCGATGTTGTTGTGGCATCGGCCATGTGCCTTTTCTGGACAACTTGCATCTTGGCATACAGCACGCTCCGAATGGCCTTTGGCCCAAACCCAGGCGTTGAGCTGCCAGAACGAACCAATCCCCGGATTTACTGCACAAAGATCGCGAACATGGTCGATGTACTTTTCCACCCAGCTGCAGGGACTTATGGAATTCAGTCCGCGCCGTTGCCGATTGGTATGTCTCTGGTATACCTGAACTCGACAGAAGAGGGCTTCAACTCTCAAGAGAAAAAGAAGCTCGTTAGCTTCTTCGGGAAACGGGCCAACAATGGGATTGCAATTGGCAAATTCCTAGTTAGCACCCAAAGAGATGGCATAGTGCCAAGGGGCGCGGCCCAATCTCCAACTCCTGAGGCTATTAAGGCCAAGGCCATCAAGTGGATAGGTGCTGTGGAATGAGGCTCACGCTAGCATGTAATTTTGTCAAGGCATGGTCAGAGGACTATCAGGCCACTTATGCAAGGCATAATAGAGTGGGAAAACTGCCGTTAAAGATCCAACTCTAGTTATACTTGCATTGTTGTTGATTGATTTATGGAAATTGGTGGTTGTGATGACAAGGATCTGAATCCGCGTAGGGTGAGGGCCTAAGTTTGAAAACTCCACAACTCGGCCCACGCCCACATATCCATCATGTTTCAATTTTGCACAGCTGCTCACATCAACCAGGCGCGTTCTCATCGCCTCAATCAGCCCTGATGGTCTAGCGGTATGATTCTCCCTTAGGGTTATCTTCACGATATCTCAGTTCTGGGAGAGGTCCCAGGTTCGATCCCTGGTTAGGGCCCAAATCTTTTGCAGGATGTTGTACTGTCTCACCGGTACACTTTTCTTTTGGTTCAGAGAGACGGCCCCTCCCCATCTTCTGTTCCGTATGTCTTCCGTGGAAGGAGACTAATCTTTTATTACATGATATGCCTGTTTTAATGTTATGTTGTAGTCAAGATGTGTTTTCGGCGCACTAACTATCCATCATTAGTATTTAGAAGACAGCTGAGCAAGGTTTGATAATCCTCATAAATCCCGACCTAACACGTACTGGTTCAAGCTAGGGCGTAGTACCACGAGTTTGTCCAAATATGTGTTTGCGGTTCAAGGTAAGTAAATCTGCTGATGCTTGATAAACACAGCCTTTGCATTCGAGCATTTTTTTCATTGATGGTCAAGTCTTTTCCGTACTACTCGCCCTGACCGCGGCCCTGGGACTTAGAACACTGAGATTGAGCAATACAGGTCACTGAAGCCTGTCTACTCTTCTTCAAGTTTGACTTACTGAGGCTTAACGAGGCAAATTTTATCCCACAGCTCTGGATACGTAGCAAATGAGGTCTTTCCAAAAGCCTCGTGATACTGATAGGCTCGTAATTTGACTGGCTTTTTAACAGGCTTTTTAGCGAGTACTAGGTTTGGCATGGCTTTAAAGCCTACGACACGATATCATTTCCTTCCAACTTTTATCATAATGCACCCATCCAGACGAAGCGTCCAACCATAAGTTCTTCGTTACCATCTAAAGGAATTTCCTGTTTCGTAAACATTACTGTCTCCAGGGCTTAGATCGAATCACAGTGCCTGAATTCAATTACGGCTAAACTAAGTCGTTTTGCTAACCATACTCGGTCTGAGCACTAGCCGATCTCACCTACTATGGGATTCTCCTACTCGTGCACTTCTTACCATCATGATGCCCAGCATTAATTTGCCCAATGTAAACATTGAGAATGATATACATTTTTTTCTCTGTAGCCCTAAAGCCTACGATACTGTTAATGTCATGGATATTTGTATGATTCTTGTTGTCGGCTCTCATTTCTAATTAGGCATGGGCATTACCCGGCCCGCGGGTCCCACGGGTACCCGCGAAATGGGTCGGGTAGTTATGGGTAGTGCCCGAAAGTTTTACTATTACCCACGGGTACCCATGGGTAAAGTGGGTTTGGGTAAAAAAGCCCACGGGTAGTAAACTGAAGGGGGGCCCACGGGTTTGGGTACCCACGGGTGTATACCCGTGGGTAGATTTCAGTAAGTATGCATCACGAATTTTAGACATCTTTTGTAGTAGCCAGCCTCAAGAGTGGATATATTGCGCAACGAATAGACCTGCTACCTTGTTACTCCTAACTTCCGAACGCCCTGAATGCCTTCAATTAATCGCCCGCATTTCCCAGACTCGGGGTCGAACCACTTGTCTCCGTGGACTCTGCCGGCCTTCAAGATAGCCTGGACGAGATGCAGATCCTTCGGCTTAATGGTGACGCGATTGGTGTGGATCGCAGCAAAGTTAATCACTAGATAGTTCGTTCAACTCGATAAGAGTTTGCAAGTAAAGCTTACTGTCGAAAACACCAAAGAGAAGAGACTCCGAAGACTCTTGAAGAGCGCTAATAGCAGTCGCCTGCCAGCGCAGGCGCTTGGAGGGGTCGATGTCATCGCAGATTTCCTTCCAGAGTCGCTGGAATGGGGGCTTCGGAATCAGGAAGTCAAATGTCTTCTAGTAGTTCCTGACCTCCCGGAGAGCTTTTGCTAGGTATTAGGGTTAGTGTGTAGCCATCTTTTGTAGCAATCTAGACTTACTGCCAGGGCGCCAACGGCGTTTCTGCTGCTCCTTAGCACCAGGCATAGTCTTTCGGGCTATGCCAGGCATCATATTATAAAGTTAACCATGAATCAGGTAGGACTCCTAGAAACACAAGTCCAGGTCTAATCAATAGAATCTTTTACAGATAACTACTGAACAGAGGTTTTCAAAGAGATTCTTTTTAAGAAAAAAAACAAGAAGCCGCGGCTGCGTACAGACCACTTTTTGGCGTATTTTGTTTTTTTTTTGTGAGGTTCTGAAGCTTCAGAAAACTTCTCCCCAGACAACACTACAACCTACCTCCACTACTAACACCCAGCCGCACCGACAAGCCTCTCAATTAAGGTAATTTAATACTTTGATCTCATAATTATTGGTTTTGACTTATTAAATCAATTAGGGAACAGTAGTAAAATATGTCCTCAGGACAGGATCGCGGTACGTTTACACCAGCTTTGTAGCAATCATTTGTACTAATCTCTTCTAGGCCGACCGCTTGGATCTGGTGCTGGAGCTAAGCGTAAAGCTGAAGAGGATTATTCCGACAACGCGCACACCAAGAAGTCTCGTCAGCGCATCGATAAGATGACTGAGAAGCAGAAGGCACTTGATCGCTCGAAGAAGTCGATCAACCAGCAGAAATCCCGCAAGCTTAAAGCCTTGAGGGCTAAAAGCTCCTACATCAGTGCGTCTGCTGATGAGCGCGCGGCCCTTGAGGCTAGGGAAATCCAGCAAGTTGATGCACGATAGTGAGTTCTTTTTTATTTCTTTTGGTGTTCCAAATCAGTGCTTAAGTGCTTTTAGCTTCCTCAAAGGCAACCATCCAGACCAGCTGCTAGCTTAGATGACTGGCCTAGTCTCGTCTAGCTCCTATAATATCGTCGATGACGATGAAGACGAGGCTTGGGAGGATATCCCTTTGAATGAGATTGATGAGGCTACCCAGGAAAACCTGGATGGAGTTGAGGGCATGCTCAACTTTGACGTTGACCTTGATAACCAGTTGCCGACCATTAATGTTGCTAAGCAGTCGAATGCGATTATCGACAAGATGATCCAGGTAACTGGATGACTATAATTAATTACTATAGCAATAGCTAACAAACAGACAGGAAAACCAGATCCGAGAATACCAGTTCTTCCGTGATACCTGGGAGATGACTCTTGAGATACTTTACATCAAGGTCAAGCGGCTGAACAGCAATCCTGCCTTTACCCTAGCTGCGATGGAGGATTATGGCTTCATTCGACCTGGCTTTAAATTTCCAGTAGCTGGCGACATCTTTACCAAAGAGGAAGTGCTTCTTTGGTTTGCACTCGCTAAGTACTGGCACCTGAACCGCTTGTCTAAGAAGAAGAAGATACGCCTGGTTCTTAATTCTTCTGTCAAGAAGAAGAAGACGTAAGTGCTTAATTGTAGCAATCCTTTGTAGTAATACTAATATTCTCAGCCAATTCGCACTCGCGCACCGCCCAGCCATCAAGATTCAAGGATCTCTCTTCACTACAGCTCAGCGCCGATATGCCTCCACTCCAAAGCCTTCAGTGAAGGCTATGTTCTCTGAGATCAGTGACTCGATGATCAAGAAAGGTGTTTGGGAGCTTCTGGGCCCTGCTAAAGTTTGGGAAGAGTTTACTACTCTCGATAAAACAGCCAACATCTTATCTGCGATGGATAAGAAGTTCTCAGCTATACTAAAGCTGATACTATTCTTCCTGAAGCTTGACCTTGCTCGGGATAAAGCGCTATACAACTGGCGTCAGGTCCATGAGTTGGCTTAGAAGCTAACTCGTTTGCTTGACTTTTCTCTATAATTGCAGATGAGCATAGCGAGAGGGTTTGTTTGACAGATTAAGAATTAAGAATTAGCAATAAGGCTAGCATGAATAAGGACATGAATTCTCTCTAGTCTGATTCTCGTATTGTAGCAATCGTTTGTAGTAATCTACAGCTGCTAAAACAATCTAGCACTCCATGCTCCCATCTTCTTCATTAACTGTTTAACTAAGTCAAGATCTTTCTTCTGCAAAGTTACTCTTTTAGCGTGAATAGCACAGAGATTTGCATCTATTAATATTCATGTTAATATAATAGTTTGAAGATCAGGATAGGATATCTTACTCTCGAACATGTTGATTAGAAACTGTTCGCTCATCTCATGGAGAGCCTCTATAGCCATTGACTGGTAGCGGATCTTATGGCGGTTTCTTAGTGGAAGATCAAGTGTTATTTCTCGAACTACTCTTGCGAAACTGCTCTGCGGAATTAAAAGATTGGTGGTCTTTTGATATTTTCGAATCTCACGAAGTGCATTTGCTTCACATTTCAGTAATTAAACAATAAAGAGTTACTTCTTACTTACTACCAGGCCTCTATCTACGAACTTTCTGGCGTTTAGTGATCTGGACGGGCTTTTTTCGAGCAGCTTTTAGCTGCTTCTTTGGCGCGAAGTTCAGCTGATCTTTCCGTGCAATGGTTGGTGGTTGGCCAGTATCTGTTCGTCTCGCCAACTTCGTCGCAAAGTTCCGCTTCAGCGGTGGTAATTCTGGTTGACTCAGGTCTGGGCTAGCCTGGCTATAGTAGGTTGCATGACTTGAACTTCTTGGCGGAGTCTCCCGAATCTCTGTAATTGGCTGTTTCAGGGGATTACCCCTCGCTGATGATGAGGGGTAACTATTTGGCGGTGAAGAGCCCTCCACTGTTAGCAGAGAGCTCTGATCTGACACAGGGCTAGTTGATAAGCAAGGCATTGAAGGATGAATGTAAGTAGGAGAAAAAACAAGTCGAAGGAGAATTCAGAGCTTTTAGATTTGTGTACGAAACGTATTAGTCAGAAACCCTAAAATAGAAATTTACGTAAGGCTACATAATCAAATGTTTGTATTCATCTTGTAGTAATCCTGCAAACTACTTCCTGTTCACACCAAAGGTAATTCTTACTACGTATGATGTCGAACTCAATTGCGTCTGACCCTTTTGGGCCAGACCCTTTTGCATCCGATTGTTCTGCTGCTTTCGAGCTCGTAAATTCTACGCAGACTCCAACAATCAATACTCTACCTTCTGGTTTACAGATACAGTCGGAAATCATTTTATTTGTTATTGAGACTTTCCAGACTTTTCTCTCGTTTTTCAAAACCCTGCCATGGTATCTCCAATGGGTAATCCTTGGCAAACACACACCGTTGTCCAAATCCCCTCAACCTGAACGAAAACGCTTCGCCAAATCCTTGTGGACTTTACAACGCCGAGTATCATTCTGGGATCACTTTCACCAAGGCTACCATATGACATCAGGGGAGCCAAAATTAGTCTGCAAGCACTGTCACCAAGTTTTCAATCATCCAACAATCAAAAACTCTGGTACAAGTGCTATGTAACAACACCTCGCTGCAAAGTCTTGTAAGACTCGACGTTTAGGCGCAAACCAGGTGCCTGTAAGTTTTACAGGTCATTATAGCAATCATTTGTAGTAATCGCAATCTAGGGTACCTAATTGAAAGCAGTCTCGGAGCATCAAGCATTAGTTTACTGTATTGTTAGATCTAACTTAGCGCTTAATACTGTTGACAACTTAAGTTTCCGGCAATTCTGTTCACACCTGAATCCTCTCTACCACCTCCCATCTCGAAAGACGCTCCGAAGCTGGATATCCGAGGAGGCCTTACGCATTCAACACCACACTCTTCAGCTAATTCCGCCTGGTAGCTATGTCTCTCTGATGATTGATATCTGGAGTACACCTGGGTTAAAATATTCACTGCTTGGTGTTTTATGCCATTTTATCGACAAGCACTGGAGGTTACAACAGGTTCTTCTTGGTGCTATTGATATGACAGATGGTCATACAGCCTCTAAGCAAGCAACGGCTTTATCGACTCTGTTAGAAAATATTCGCCAGAGGACGAAGAAGACAATTCGATTTCAGACAGTCTCTGCAGACAACGCAAGTTCTTTTAAGCCAAAAGTCCTAGCACAAGAACTTGCAAAAGGGTCGACATCCACAGTACAGCCGATATATCATATTCGCTGTTTAGCCCATATTTTCAACCTTGTTGTTCGAGCGATTTTTGAGGCTCTTCGAATTTCGATGGTAGAAGCCTCTACAGAGTTTGAGCCTTCTACTACTCGAGCTAAAGATCAAGAGGACTCTGACGATGATTTTGATACTGAAGATTCTACTGCTGGGGAAAATCCTTTTGGAGCTGTTATTCAAAAGGTTAGATACTTCACCTAGTTATAAGATTTTATATTAACATATATACCTCCAGATTCGTGACCTCGCAGTTTCCCTTAAGCTTTCTAGTAAGAAGACGCAAGAGTTTCTCGACCTCCAGAAATCGACTCGCATTGGCCAGCGACCACTACGCCTCCTCCGCGATGTTAAGACAAGGTGGAACTCTACTACACTTATGTGTCTCCGCGCAAGAGAGCTTAAAACAACGATTTCAGCTTGGGTTGAAAAGCACTCTCTACAGGAACAATTCTCTCTTGTGGAGACCGATTGGGAGGCTCTTGATATTCTGCTTGATATCACCAGCCCGTTTTTACTCTTTACAAACATCCTCAGCCGGTTAAATGACCTTACCCCTGGTCATACCTTTACTTTATTACAAGTTGCAACAGTTCACTTGTACTTTTGCGCCTCTGCACTTAAAGATAAAGTTACTAGCAAAGACTTTACTTGGATATCAATCCTTCAGGCTGCTACGAAAAAGGGCCAAGAGAAGCTGGAAAAATACGTTCAAAAGCTAATTGAAGAGGATTCCTTCAAGGTATATGGTATTGCAACTCTCCTTACCCCTGAAGCTGGGACATCAGTTTCGAGTACTTTTGACACGCGATTCCAATTCGCAAATTACTTCGAATACCTTCCTTCTTCAGCCTCACTTCGAACTCGAGTACAGCAAGAATTTATCGAGGTATATACAAAGCAGTACCATCAAGATTCGGAACGCCATACCAATACTCAAAAAGCTGCAACTGAAGGACTCCGATACACTCTGCATAGTTTACTATCACGCAGTCCAAAGAAAAGGGTATTTGTAGCAATCTATTGTAGCAACTCACTGTACTAACCTATTATAAGGGCAAAATGTCATCATCCCAAGACGCACGAAATATCTGTAATGACTTTTTTAATATTGGTAAGATAAAGACTCATATCTTACTAGGCTTAACAGCTAATAACTATATTTAGTTATGTTCCCTGATGAAACTGTTCAGCAATTTTGGGTCCGCCTAGACAATAGCTATCCCAGATTCCATGGTATTTGTCGCATGGCTCGAGACTTCTTATCTATTCAACCGACGTCAATACCCTTAGAGCGATCATTCAGCCTTGCTCGCCATATCTGTCACTACGCTCGGTTCAACCTTTCGGCTGATACTATTTTTAATACTTTGACTATCAAAATTAGCCAGAATAATGAGGCCTGGCTTTCCCAAACCACACTTGAGGAAGTTCCAGATGACACGAATATCACTGAAGCATCTGAAGAGCGCCAGCATATTATTAGAGAAGCTTTTAACTACTCTTCTCTATTGGATAAAGCTGATATTCAGAGATATCTGAAGGTCTCTGATGATCTTACTAAGATCTCTATTACTGCTACAGGAGATGCTCCCTCCCCGCCTCCTTACGAAGTCTCAGTAGAAGAGGAGGATATTAGCGATAGAGATGAGGAGCTGCCATCCTTATCTAGCTCTCAACAGCCAAAACTATCGAGTCAAGTTTCCCAACTTAGCAACTCACCTACGCCTTCTGTATCCCAAGAACTCCCAAACTTCTCCGAGCTTGGGGGTCGCAAAAGGAAGAGACTTACTCGGCTAGATCTTGTCGAACTCTCTCCTGACGAGGATAGCGATTAAATATACATTGTTCCTCTGATTTCACTCCGACTTTATCGTATTATTCTCTATTAGTTTCTTATATTTGTAGTAATCTATTCTAGCCATCTATGTTTTATGTAACTTACTCTTTCTCCCTATAACTAACTAGTTATATTTTCTTTCTATCTTAGTTACAGTATTTCCCGCGTTTCTTGTGGGTAGCAAAATTACCCGTGGGTAGTGTAACCCATGGGTCGTTTTACCCACGGGCCTTTCAACCCGCGGGTAAATATAGTGGGACTGCCCGTGGGTAATTCGGGTTTACCCAAACTACCCACGGGTAGTTTTGGGTACTACCCATACGGGTACCCGCGGGTATTACCCAACCCTATTTCTAATCATAACATAAAATTTACAGAGGGAGTAGAATCATCGCTATAATTACAGTAAATCTTAAATTTGGAGTACTACCAGTCGATATTAACTTACTAGATACTCTACATTTTGTTTCCTTGTCTGTGTAGAGTATGTACGCTTGCAAACGCAGATTGGAAAGCTCCTTGGAACTCACCGGCCTTACTTTCGATCAACAAGTGGGTCATCACCACATCACAAGCCCTGATGGTCTAGCGGTATGATTCTCCCTTAGGGTTGTCTACACGACATCTCAATTCTGGGAGAGGTCCCAGGTTCGATCCCTGGTTAGGGCCCAATCCACGCGTAAAGCGTTTCTTTTTGGTGTTGTTTTTATCGCAAGTCATGTTGGGACCAGTTTAGGTTACATTTTTCAGCCGAGCCTGTCTTGCGTTGTCCCCAAACTGTAACTCGTAAGGCTTCCTGAAACTGCAGCTCGTAAAGCATCCTGATTGGAAGCCCTACAGTGTACTGGGTTGCTATTAGACGGTCTTGCCCCACTATCATTCGTTATGTTAGGGACGTGCAGGAAGAGTGAGATTGAAATTGACCAACTGACCCTGTCATTGCTCGAATCGTCGACGCTGAGGGCTCTTTTCCGCATTATTATCTGACAAGAGTGACCTGCGAAGCTATTGAGCTGAGAAGAGACATGGATGTTATACATAGCTCTGACCATGCTCCGTCTAAGCGCGCTGATTCACGCTTGTTCCTGAAAGAGGCTGACCAGTTGCGACACAATTCGCAGCCTCAAAAGCTGCTCCGCCGCATTACTTTTTCCAGCCCAATGCGAGTTAAATGCACCAAGGATTTACATAGGCAGTAAAATCAAGTCCTCCCTGCAGCTAGCCGAGGAACAGGGGCTGAGTTAAGGAAATTCAACTTATGCCCATTTCTGTGTAGGAACCATGTTCGAGTTTCACGACTTCAAGTCCATTCAAGTTTACATCGTCTGTATATTCCTCTACGTCCTTGCTACCATCGCCACGGCAGTGTGGACGTACCAAGGACCAGCTGCCGACAGCAAATACATACAGGCTCGAGTATTCCGGACCTCAGACCGGGTGGCTGTCAACCAACTATACTCTGGTTTGGCCCTTTCAGCACTTCTTGCGCCAGCCGGCATGTTGGTGCAACGGATCACGCACAGATTCCGCCAACTGCGCCTTTCCGCCCTCACAGCACAAAGTGCTCTAGTTGACGTTTTTTCCGGTGTCATTGGCCCTACTACTACACACAATGTTACTTTCAGGGCCAATCCAACTTACAACGGTGTGGTGTTCTACCATTGGGGACTTCGACTGCGAGGCTGCACTCGACGACGGGCTATTTTGGAACAGCCACCGTACCCACAGTGGAGGTAGTTGCGGAGCCGGTCTACATCATACGGACACCGGTACTATGGGTTGTCTTGGCCATGTTTTCCGTTGTTTTAATCATGAGTTGTTTAGACATCTGGAGGAGTAAGTCTCGCGGTTTGCCCTTGCGACCGGCTACCTTCTTGGCGATTGCCAACGCCGTCAGGGGCCCATGGTGGGACCGCGAACTTTATGGGACCTGTGCGACAGACGAGTTGGTCCTGCAGAAGCATAGTTCATCATCTGTTGTGTTTGGAGTAGACCCCAATAACCTGCACCATCTGGGTTTGTTACCTGCGGTTCTACCGATTCAGCGAGGGAGGCATCACTTTGGTCTACGAATACGGGAAGGATCGAATGATACCGCAGCACCCGTAAACTAGAGAATGTTGTAGAGGAAGGCATTTTAGCTTTAATAGAGACCAGTTATCTTGGTTGGTTAGATGTCGGCTGTGCCTCTCCCGTTTAGCTTTGGGTGTATTGGCTTCGAAATAGGGGTCTACTTTAAGGTTAGTAGGCGTGGAATGTCGGAATGTGAACTGAATCTGGCTCCAGCTTGGTATCTTTACGCCCTAGTTCGTGCGCCTTACACATACGCCCTAATAGAGTACCGCGACGGAGAAATTTCTACCGCTATTTTACAAATTTAATGCTCAAATTGACGTCAGATTTCGGTTTTCTCTCTCAAAAACGGGTGGCATGTTTCATTTACCAAGTCGAAGAAGAGATGTAGTTCGATATTGCGCTACTTGGGTTAGTCAGATACGCCGAATGGACGAATATATAAGTTCTTTAATCATGTCACAGCTTTAAGGAAAAGGATTCGAAAGATCGATTCCCTCCTCAAATCGGGTTGTCCATCTCAATTAGGCGTTCACCATACACCACAAATATCAAAGAGAAGCATTTAACTGCACAACTACAACCAAGTTATACCCTCCTTCCGCCATAATGTCTACCGCTATAGTGACCGGCGCAACCGGTAGGTGCAGTTTGGTATTTCTCCCATAACTACAGCCATTGACATATAGCCCAGGCATCCTCGGTCGAGAAATTGTCAAGGAGCTGGGCAGCAGGCCTAACGAATGGTCGCAGATTTACGCTCTATCACGTTCAAAGAAGGAGGAGTTTCCCGGAAATGTCGTGCAGAGCCACATTGACTTATGTGCCTCCACGCAAGAGATGGCCCAAGAAATGAAGGGTATCGAAGCGGAGTATATCTTTTTCGCCGCGTACTTGGAACAAAGCAGCGAGGCCGAGAACAGCAAAGTCAACGGTATGCGCTACCGAAACACTTTGGCAGTCTTAAGACGAACTAACATCACATCAGGAGACATGTTCGAGGCCTTTCTCAGGGCTCTTGAGATCAACAACAGTGTCTCGAAAATCAAACGCGTTATTCTTGTCTGCGGTGCCAAACAATACGGCGTTCAACACGGCCGCGTAAAGATTCCGATGCAGGAGACGGATCCTTGGTGAGTTTCTCCAGCTTCACAAAGAGACTTTTTTAAAACAAGAAAATTACTTACCGCCCCGAGAAAAGGTTACCCGAGGAGGAACCATTCGCGCCAAACTTTTACTACCGGCAACAGCGGATTCTCCAGGAGTTTTGCGCCAGGCACACTCACATATCCTGGGTTGTAACCTACCCGAGCGAAGTGATCGGCATCGCCAAGGGAAACTTCATGAACTTTGGCACCGCCGTCGCCGTCTACGCCGCCACCCAGCGCGAGCTGGGGGAAAGCGAGCTCGTCTTCCCAGGCGCCGAAGACTTTTACACCAGGGTCACCATGTTCACTGACGCCCAGGTGCATGGACAGTTTTGCCGATGGGCCGCCCTGGAGCCGCGTGCCGGAAACCAGGCCTTCAACGTGGTCAACGGCGACGCAGCGTCCTGGCAGGACCTTTTCCCACGCGTCGCGAATTACTTTGGTCTTCGCGTCCCTGACGACCAGTTTATGCGTCCGGCCCCTGCGCCGTCGGAGCGTAGACTCGCGGCACAGACGCCCTTGTCACTGTCAGCCAAAGCAATGGGCCTGTCGAACCTTGCCGGCGAAACCTCGACCATCAGACAGAGAATCGACCTGGTGCAATGGAGCAAGAAGGAAGAAGTCCAGCAGGCGTGGAAGCGGCTCGCGGACCGGGATGGCCTGGACCGGGAGGCCCTTGACAGAGCATCGTGGGCTTTTGCCGGATTCGCGTGGGGTCGGGATTACGATGTCGTGCTCAGCATGACCAGGGCACGTAAACTGGGATGGACAGGGTACGCAGACTCATGGGACAGTTTTGAGACGGTATTCGGACAGCTGAAAGACGCGAGAGTCATTCCCAAATAGATGCATCTAGACTTGGGAGCGAAGTTGCAACGATCAGAATAGCTGCTTTGTGAAGAAGCGTTACCCTTTTGGCTAGGTAGGTACCGTAGCATTATAATAGTCACCGCTCGTTCTATCGCTCAATCTTATTCCACGCCGCTTACGTATTGTTTGGTGCAGCAGCACAGACATGTTCATCGAATCGAGAGATGGTCGAAGGGATGGCGGGTCACACCCCTCCCCATTAGACACACCCATCCATCCCCCTTGGTGCATCGAAGTCTGGCCCGGTAGTTGCTAGCATCACGCAACTTTTGTCGGCAAGGCAATTAACTCGAAGGAACTAGGCATGCCGTGAAGCCTCGATTGGATCGCTAGAGAGTCCCATCTTTCAAATCCCTGGCCCCGTCGTGCCGCAGGCAACGCGAACGGGGTGGGAAACTAGAAATCCGCCAAAGAAGACTATATACATGAAACCGAAATCTCCTATATTCAGCCACGGTGGCCCGGGTTGCAGTCTGGCTGTGACTGCTTGATCGTCATGCTAGTTGTGCGTGTCTCGAAAGACAACAAGACTCACAAGCATCTATACCAGGGCGCGTCTAGCTCGCTTATGAGGTTGCATTGATCCAACATGTCAGCCGCCTATGTTATGCGTTCTGACCGTTGGGTTGCCCGACAACAGGGTACACGAGTCGCGGAACCGTTATGTCTATGCTCGCTCTGCCCAACTCAAATGGTTTCGACCAGCCTAGATTTTTTTTTTTTCGGGTGGCCCACGTGGGACAGATCACAACAAACTCTCAGAAGAGATAGGCTACCGTTGGCGTGTATACTCCATAATGTCCCATGATATTGAAGCGGCGGCGGGCGTAAAATTTGGTCAGGCCAGACGCGCTGATCCGGAGTTCGGGACACATCTCCTTTCAGGCAAAGATATTCCCATTTCGGACCGGCGAGTCCACAATGTGCTCCCGTCTGCATATTGTGCTTTTTGGTGCTCCGTCGAAATATGTGCGTGCGTGTTTAAATCGCTCATTGCTAGCATTAGTGATGACTGGTTGCCCGAACCGATACGATGAGTTGTGCCAACAAGAGAGGTGACTCGCGTGCCTATACGCGATTTCACCCATGATAATATAGTATCACAACAGTTTTATACTGGCAGGGAGTTAACAAAGGTAAAAGTCGCTGAGCCGGGCCTAGGCCCTGCCCAATGCAGACTGAGAACGGTAGATCGGGTCCGGCAGAGGAAACCTATATTGATGGCGAGGATACTTAAGTAAAGCTTAAAAGAGTACAGTTGGTGTAAGGGCTTCCTCGCAGAAGACGAAAATATCTTTGAGCGGAAGGGCGTCGTGGGAATGGAGTCAACTCCACAAGGCACAAGCTTATACGAGGAAACGGGATGGGGGGCACGCATGTACTTTGTTTTTGGCACCGGTCAAAGTAGCTGTCAGTAGAAATGATGGACGGTGATCGTCGAGTAGTTCGTATCGGGGGACCGAGGCAATCCTGAAAATGGCGCTGAAAAGCCGGCCGTCCAATCGGCGTAGAGGCGTTGTTATGACTGTATTTTTACTTTAATTTTTTTTATTCATTTTTTGTTTTTATTTTTTATTGTTTATTCGCCTATTCCTCCTCGCCCTTGAGCTTACAATCTCACATTTAGACTCCCTACCTCTAGAGACGCCGCGTCTTATCCTGAGAAGCGCCATCGGTCACGTCACAGTCGCACCTAATGGAGGCGAAACCTCGCGGCAAACCTCACCATTGATTGAGCCCAGATGGCGCCAAAGAGGGCCAAGCGCCGATGGGTTAGACACGATGGAAGGGGGAAACTTGGGGGCTTTTTCTGCCCAAATCCCCCGTTCAATCGGCACTTCAATAATGAAACCAAATATTGCGCAAACGCCGCGCTGGGGAAGCCGTCAAGTTAACTCACAAGTTGCTATAATGGACCCCATAAGGCAAAATTGCGGCAATTGAGCAAATACTGATGGCGATGGCAGCAAGTAAATTTCGTACGAGAATAGAGTAGGGTCGTGTTTCTGAAACACAGTCAATTTGTTCTAGAATCCTATTAATAGCGGCGGCATCCTTGAGGCCCTTTATAGCTTTGGGGCAGAATTTAAGGGTGGCCCTGGGCAGCCCTGTCTAACGGGAAATGGGAGAGGGAGAACCCAATGCATTGTGTGTGCAAACTTTCAAAGAAAAAACGATGCTGAATCATTTAGATGCATAGTACACAGTAGTCCAGCCATCACCCAGCGGATGGCCAGACAGAGAGAGATAGATGCCTGGTCCCTCTGCCTCCCCGTTCTTGTCCTGCTTTTCTGCTACTCATTTCTGCAGTCCTCTTCAACCAGTAGAAAGTCTGATAAACTGACGGGTTGGGAAAAGCCAAGGGCAGGCCTTGCGGAGACGACGAACAGATCCCCTCCCCAATTAAGGTCTCTCTTAGTAATTATGCGAATCTGCTGCGCAAATGTATGCAGTATATGCAGTCAAAGTCTAGGCAGAGGGATCTTCCGGGCTGTCCAGGCTGGACTCACCAGGGGCTTCCAGGCTCTCCCATAGGAACACAAGAAGAGATGCGTAGCACAAAAAAAAAAAAAAGGGACCCAGAACCTAGAACCCAGAACCTAGAGCCACAGAGGCCTCGGGCAAGGATAGGTCCGGCTTCTTCTGGCGCACTGGGCAGTCTCTGGTACACTGGTCGCCCCCTTGAGGGCGCTGGGCCTCCTTTGTTCCTTGCCCATCTTACTCCACACTGACTGGCAAGCAAGCAACAGAAAGGAAAGGAAAAAAAGACCTGACCCAGAAGCACACCAGAAGCACACTGGCACAAGTGAGAGAGAGAGAGCGAGTAGTGAGGAGCCACAGTTTTGGCCGAACCCACAGGCCAGGGACTCTGACTGGAGATACCCACAGTCCATGGTCCAGCCAGACGCCCGCCCAGGGCGAGCCAGACGCCGTGGATCCCCTCTCCAAATCTCTCGCAGCCATGGGAAGCCGTGGAAACAGGACAGGAGAGGAGAAAAGTACATTGTGGTGGTGTAAGGTAAGGGTAAGGTACTGTGGTAAAGACAAGGTATGGCGAGGTAGCACACACACACGCTTTGGGCGAGTACATACGGATACCGCATAGTATGGAGCACATAGCACTATGTATGGGATGGTAAATGAATGGGATGGATGCTGTGTAACTCGTTTGTTGTCCCGTGGATGCCGTGCCGCAATGTGATAAAGACCCTTTGAATCCCCTCCAATCCCCCTCCCGTTAAACTTTTTGTGCATTCTGCCTCGTCTGGGACATTACTAAAGCATTTTCCCTCTATTTTTCCTTTTTCTAGTTTCCCTCCCCCCTTCCGGAACCTAGCTGTCTTACCGGTTTGCTTCCTAGACTATTTCATCACTGTCACCTCACTTGTCTACCGGTGATTCGTCTAGGCACTACATTCGTCGAGACTACAGCCAACATTTTCAACACCATAAAAACGACCCAGTACTGGTTTATCTGCTAGTCAGAGCAAGCCAGAATAGAAGTCGCTAGAAGACTTCCATAAATCGTCGAGTACACGGTTAACAGAATATCAACTACGCCGAACAAACTCTACTACTACTGCTACAACTTTCGAGAAACATCGGTTACGGTAAACAAGTTTTGGGAAGAAAGCCAAAGACCCCCACCATCGACGACTGTACCAAGCAACCCCCCCCCCCTTATACAGATATCGACGACAAACCTCTTCATCGTCGATATCACCACCTATATCTGTCTCTGCTTTCCAGCTTAACCCCCTCAACACCGTCACCACGGCTTCTCCAGCGATCGCCACCATGGGTTCCCCGAGTGGAACCCTACGCCCCCGAGCGTCTTCAAACTTCATGGGCATCCGCGCTTCGGGATTTCCGCCGTCCATGACTCCCCAAGAAAAGCACCTCTTCTCCGACCGCGTCAACACGGCGACAACGCGGCTCTCCAGCACAATGGCCGCCAGCGACAGTGGCGATGGTTACCTCTTCGTCATCTACTTTCACAAGAACACGGCCGCCGACGCCCTGGCACTGCTCAATGCCGCAGACATCCGAGTCAGGGGACACGAGATCCAGTTTTCCTGGCACTGAATTACTGCCGCTCGCCGGTGGCCAGAGTCACATTATGTGCGCGTGCGTTGTGTGTGGTCTGGTCCAGTCTATTCTGCCAGTTCTGCATCTGGCTGGAACAGTCTGAGGGTTGATCCTTTCTTCTTCCATTTTCTTCTACCATATTTCCTTTCACCTTTTTTTTCTTTTTTTTCTCTCCTTTCTCTTCTATTCTACCGATACCCCAATTTTTTTTTTTTCCTTTTCCTTTTCCTTGTTAGTACAATAGCACCTAAAGCACAAGAAGATCAAAAGCGAAGCGAGAGAGAGAAAGGAGAGGCGGAGGAGGAGGAGGAGAAGAAGAAGACAGAGAACTTGTGGTCCAATTTTCTCCCCATCAATTCCCAAATTCTCCATCCTGTTACAGCCATGATCCATCAAATTGCCATCCATCGCCACGCGCATCCTCCCTCCTCACCCCCTCCCCATCCCTCGTCCTCCAATTCCCGCCCGAACGCCCCGGCAGCGCATCCTTTAGCGATCCATCGTTCAACCACCCCTCCCTTACCCTCCCCCCCCCCCCCTCGGCGATCTACAAGTCTAGACCCTCTCTAGACTCCGATGGTAAAAGGGCAAATCACACATTGCCCCCTTCCACCCATTTCGCCTTATCAGATGACGAATCACGCCAAAATTATACAAGCACCGCATCCGCGCAGGCATTATTAGTCTCTATTCCCGTCTCATTCTCAATCGACCCCCCCGGGCTAGTTGTGCCTACGGGAACTCCGCGACCAGGTTTGATGACGGAACAATCGGAACAGCCTGTTTTTGCATTGATTCTTGCACATCGATATCATCACATACGGCTTTCCCGAGCTTGATTTTCCCCAGGTGCACAGTCACCGGCAGTCAAACGGACGGCAATATGTGTCGGTGGTACCTTGTCTGCCGGCCCGGTTATTATGCCCCTATACTCGGAACATCGGCAGGGTAGATCGGGACCCATCCAGCAGACGAGCATAACGGGATAGAGAACAGAGAGAGAAAAAAAACACCATATGCGAGGCATTATGACTAGGTGACACGGAAAAAAGATGGCGTTACGCGGCCAGCTCGTCATCATGAGGTTTCTCATTCAGGACTGACCGTCCATCCACCGTTTGCTCATTGCAACCCGTACAAGGGTGTGTGTTGTGCAGCGTGGGTGTGGGTTCATGCGGAATGGCGAACGGCTTTTTCATTATTATTTTATTTGATCAAGGGTCGCATTCGGTCGGTTATCGGACCCAGCGGGCATCGTCAAATTCCCATGGCAGAGAGATATAGAGAGGGAGGGAGGGAGGAGACAGGCAGAGACAGAGACACAGAGAGAGTGAGAGAGCATGGGCTACCTTAGATGAGACGCGCCAACGCAATCATCACCGATTTCGCGAAATCAACTGCAACCGAAACCAGATGGGGCGGCCCCCGTCGGATTCGGGGTGCGGGTACGCGGACGGGGAAGTCGGGAAGGCAAAGCATTTTGACATACATAATGGAGAGTCAAAAGGTTAGTACCAAATAACAACGCTATTCTACATTACACACATATACATACATGCCCATTACACATGCACAAATACGCGCACACACTTTCTTGTCTATCCCTCTCCCCTCCAACGGCTGCAACGGCTCCAACGGGCGGCCAATGTCACACTCCCCTCGCTCCCCTTTCGGTACCGCAGGGACACCGTCCAAGCGGAGAAAAGAGTGACACGCATCCCAAGCACCCCCAAGCACACACTACCTACATTGCGGTTTGTCCTTGCATACAAACATCGGCTGACAGGAGTTCCAGACCAAGTTCGATTTTGATTACCGGCCCGACGTGGGGGAGCCTGACGAGGAGCCGGGGGTCCCAGCTTGGAGGGATGATGGTTGGAAGGGTCATACACCAAAAGAAATGCCCTCCCACCCACCCTTCTCTCTACCCCAAGCCATGCAAGAGACGGACGGAAGATCTCAAGGCAAGGAGGTATGGTATTACAGCGTATACCATACTTACCTTTGCAACCACCTCTTCCTTTTCACTGCCTCCTTTTTTTGCTTTGCTATTCCCTACCAAAAACTAAGGTTTATCGGAACATTGTTGTCTTGGAGGAAACCTAGCACCTCTTGGCTCTCCCTCACCCCCGCTAAACCACCCCCCCCGGCTCATCTCCCCTCTCTCATCATTAATGCCAATCCATCTTTTTTCCATCTCGTCTTCGCATCGGGACACCGAAGCAAAGCGTCGTACTCGGGGCCTTCAGTGCTCCACATTCGCTTCGGTTTTCCACCACGGAGCATTTCTTGTCCCGGACGCGGACGGACGGATGGAAGGGAGCAAAAAGGCCTTTGTTCTATTACAAATGGTCCAAGGTTGTAAAGGGACAGGTGACCAGTCACAACGACCGCCGTTGGTCACATTTGCTTGGCCTTTGTCATCAGATCATGTCCTAGTCCAGTCCAGCACTGCTTGAGGCAGATGCAAACCAAACAGGCAGACAAGTCAGAAATCAAAAAAAAAAAAAAAAAAAAACACATAGAAATTAGAATTAGAATTACAAAGAAAAAAAAACAAAATGAAAAAAAAATAAAATAAAAATAAAAATTTAATCACGTCACCCGACCATTACCTTTTTTTCCCTCACCCGTTGTAATCCCGTTGTTTCCGACTCCCACCGTGCGAATGCCTTCAAAAATTGTACCTATTCCATGTGGGTGTATGTGTCCAGACCAGTACAAAAAAACGTGAAGCCATCACCATCCAAAACCACACTCTCAAAACAGCAGTAAAACCATCGTCCTATCCTGTCTAATCTCCGTTTCGTGCGCTAGAATCTAGGCGCGTCGATTTTGCCCGCGAATCGTCCAGGGCGAACCGTTGCTCAACGTGAAACAGGGGAAAAATTTTGTGTCCTGCGCCGTTCCCGAGGGCACGGGGTCCCGGGTTTGCCCTTCCTCTTCGACAAACGGAACCAGAAGCTGCGTGTGCCCTGGGGAAAGGTAAGGGGCACGGAGACAAGCTAGAACGGCGAACAGATGGTGAACAGACCTTGTCCGAGTTGGAATACATGTACCTCCCGCCCCCCTCTCAAATCAGACGGATCCACGGACGACGGGGGGAGGAACCCGCTCCGCATCCCGGATTCCCCGCGGTGGAAATTCATAAATGCTGCGACCGGGGTTTCGCAAAACTAAACTGAACTAGAGAGAGCGCCCGGCGTCGGAGTTTGAACGATTTACGCCGTCCTCGGTGCGGGCCTCCGCGGAATTCTCTCTCGGTCGAGACCCATCCTAGTCCGAGAATCAGACGAGGCGGTGCGGACGAGGGTGGGGGGGGGGGGGGGGAGTGTTCACCTTGGATGACCTAGAAACATTGCCCAGGTCATCTACTCATGGTACTCAAGGTAGTCTGGGCGGCACGGGGGTGGGTAACGATGAGGAGTTACTCAATTTGATGCCTAGCAAGAAGGTAGTTTTTCCCACAACCGGCTAGGTAAACATGCATATACTTTGGCCCAGAGTAACCAACCACCACCCACCCCCTTTCGTAGTAAGCCATGCGAACTGGAGTTCATTTGATTAAAACCAAAGTCGAACAAATGACAAATGCCTCAGAAGAAGACAGCCAACAAAAAAAGTTTACTCATCCTCAAGTGCCTAAATCGACGTCGGCATCGGGGTCCCCCAATGGGTCCTGTCCCACATCGTTACCCCCCCCCACTCGAAACAATGACAGTACCATCAACCATCAGATCAACTATGCCATGCCATGCCATGCAGCAGGCTTACATCTGCGCTCTCCAAAAACGGCAATGGCTGTCTCACTCAAAACATGTCCACAGCTTACATCCCCCATCGCCAAATGCAGCCTAGCTAGACGGTCTTGGCCTCTTGGGCCACAACGCCGTGCCTTATTCCTCAAGGGAGCCCTACCTTTGGCGCACACTTTAGCTTGAGGAGGAGGAGGAGGAGAAGGGGGAGGAGGGGGAAACGACCCCAACAGCGACGCTAGGTATGCGCCAGGCTTACAATTTCCCACCCGTAAGAGGTTTAGCCAGGACCCCTAATCGATCAGGCAAGGCGAAGCTGCTGCAGACGGCTTACATCCGCGATAGCTTCATTCGTCGACGAGTGTCGACGGGCGAGCCAACCAGACACAACCATGTGACGAGGTCAATCGACGCTCGCGAGGTAGATGCGCGTGGTGAACCGGGACAATAGCGTCGCCGGCGGGCGCAATTTCCATAGCTTTTGACGCCCAAGCTGGGCCAAGTCGGTATGGAACGTGACGGACATCCCTTGAACCACGCAAGACACGGAGCAGATAAAATAGTGATATAAAAGAGGTCAGCCAAGGTCGCTCAGGTATCGCGCCTCTCCAGCAAGGGAGGATAAGAAAGTTACCAGCGCATCGCATCGTTGCATTGCAATCATTCTTGAGGACGCACCGAGTCTCCAGCCTTGTACGTGATCACCAGCCCACCTCAGCCAACTCAGCAGCACAACATGCCGATCATGTTCGTCTACGAGAAGGATCTCATAGATCCGACACCATCCATTCCTCCTCTCGAGGGGAAGGTCATCTTCATCACAGGCGGTAAGTCATATTGTCAGTTTCCTTTTGTGGTCTGTTAGTACCTCCAAGGTGCTCTCCGATATCTGAGAATGTGCTTCGACTGAAAATGCGTCCTGCCGACGCGATAATCTGTATGAGTGGCATCTTGCATGGCTCGTCCGCTTTTCAAAGCCAGCTCCAAGGAGTTTGCACAAGAAGAACCGTCAGGAGAAGTTGAAACAGGATGAGAAGGCCCCATTCTACCCCGGCCTTCGACTCAAATCTTGAGACATCCACCTCGATGCCCCGTTCCGAGTCGGCCCGGAGCAACTGGATCCTCTTTCCATCCCGTTCGGCCCTGGCATCCGGTGCCCAGACTCTGACACAAAAACCCCGGAGCTCAAGCCGGTGATGAGCCGAAGAGGAGGAGGAGATAGAAGGCCTCAATGGATCGCCTCTAAGCATCTAGGCCTAGATTCCTTTCCATTTCCAAATCCTCTTCCCACTCCTTCCTAGCCGTATATCATCGTCCGTCTTGCTCCGTACCAGCTTCAGCCCTCACACCGAGTCTGCTTCACTCCTCCTCCATCTTCTCTCTTCCATGATCACCCTCCGACGAGCAAAGACGTCCAGCTGACACTCACCAGGAACAGCAGGCCTAGGCAAAGCCACCCTTCTGTCATTGCTTGCCCGCAAGCCATTACACATCTACTTCTCAGGCCGCTCCCGCGTCGCCGCAGACGACCTCATCGCCTCCGTCACGGCCGCTCAGCTCCAACCGCGACCTCTACCGATCAAGAAACCCGCCAATGTCGCCCCATCATCACCGTCGTCCCCGGACTACCCGCCCCTGACCTTCGTCCAAATGGACCTCGCATCACTCTCCACCGTGAAGAGGGCGATAGAAACGACCTTCACCCACGACCGTCTCGACGTCCTCATAAACAACGCCGGTATCATGGCCCACCCGCCCGGCCTCAGCGCGGACGGCTTCGAGATCCAGTTCGCGACGAACCACATCGGCCACGCCATGGTCGTCCGCGCGCTGCTCCCCGTGCTGGAACGCACCGCGGCGCTCCCCGACTCCGACGTGCGCATAGTCAACCTCACATCCGTTGGATATCAGGGCCACCCGAGAGGTGGTATCTCCTTTTCCACTCTCAAGACGACACAGGCCGGCATACCGGTGTTGGGTAACTGGACTCGATACGGGTACGTTGTGAAAACCTCTCTCTCTCTCTCTCCTTGGCTGTTTCCCCTGAACACCCCCCGCAAAGTGAAAAAAACTGACAACCAGCCATCGCTTCAAGCCAAAGCAAACTCGCAAATATCCTCTTCACAACCGAACTCGCCCGCCGGTACCCAGCCATCACCACCGTCGCAGTCCACCCTGGCGTTGTCGAGACAGGTCTAGTCACAAGCCAAGGCTACATTAACCGTATCCTCGTCTACATCCCCAACAAGCTTATGGGAGCGCCGGTGCTCACGGTGGAAAAAGGGTGCTGGAATCAGGTTTGGGCTGCGGTCGTGGCGAAGAAGGCTGATCTTGTCAACGGGGCGTTCTACATGCCTGTCGGACACCTGGCGAACGACAAGCTAGACAGCTGCGCGACAGATGACAAGCTTGCGGGTGAGCTGTGGCGGTGGACGGAGGAGGTTTTGGCGGGTTTTGACTGAGTGTCTTTTGATCGGCATGTTTGTATAAAGGGTCCAGGCGTTCATGTTCCAGTTCGGGTAGTGTAATGTAATACAGGTTCCAGTCAAAAAGGAAGGAAAAAAAAAAAGACACTTGCATAACGACTTGTTTTTTGGGCTTTAGCCACGTTCATCAGAGACTCCTCCGATTCACCGCAGGTGTCATCACTCGTGGCTTGACGCCCAACCCGCAAAAAGGACCCTGAGGCGCGCGCTTCACATAACTATTCGACCGGCCCATCACCCATCGCACCCGGGCTCAAGCCGGGACGACGCCGAGCGTTAATGGACTGCGGGCGGACATGTACCCCGTTTCTCGCCGTTTCTTGTTGTGCCATCGCAAGCGTCGCACCGGACACCGAAGCGGAAGACGATGGCACTCGACCATTCAGCCCGAACCCTGACGTCTCACTGGCGCCCACCGTTAATGTCACCAAGGCGCCAGAGTGTAACCTCGCATTCGTTCCCCCCCATGGCATCACCCCCTATCAGACTTGGAGCCGCGCGCTCAACGGGCTGACAGCTCTGTGGTGGTCTCCCGCCATCACCTGCATCTAATTTCCCATCTCCTTTTTGACATTCGGCCCGCAGAAGTGCCATCTAGGCTACCCCTCCAGACGGGCCTTATTGTCCGCCCTCCCAAGTGGTACAGTTTTTCCGACGTTACGTCAAAGGCAGACCACACTTGTGCCCCCCAAATAACACTCTCATAAAGAGAACCAGGGTCGGCCTGCAGTGGTTTTTTGGCTTACCCCGCCAGAAGCATCTTGGGTGCCCACGCCATTACCGGTGTTGGACGCGGACCGCGCCTTGGACCGCGTCGGCTTCACACATTCCAGGAAATTGGTAAACAAAACGAAACAAAACATAACCTTACCAGACCATGACATGGAATCGTGCGCTATGTGTGAGAGCTGGTTGATCATATTCTGTCGTAATTGATCATTCATGTATAACCGCGTGGTGGATGGCGCAGATGGCACCGAGCTACTGCGATGCACTTGCATGAGTCTGCAGTAACTTCCTACTATCAAAGTGGTTCAGGAAAGTGACATCAGTACGAAGGGATCGAGACAGGTGACTCCAAGACAAGGCCGCAGCCATGCGACCTGCTTTCTCGGCCGGTAGTAATCAGCAGGTCCTCCGACAAGGGGGGAATAGGAAGCCAAATTCCAGTCTCAACCCGCCGCCTCGGTTTGCGTTCCTTGAGCCAGGGGATAATAAGGTCAGCCGGTAACACGTGGAGAAACAAGATTCTCGGTCGCCCTGCTCAGCGACCCTTTTTTCTTTTTTTTCTCCTTTCCCCTTCCAAGGTTTCGTCGTAGGCAGCTGAGGTCCAGACTTGGAGCCTAAGGAAAAATCTCTGCAACATCAGTGTCCCCGTTGTCATCATAGTTTCTGAGAGGCCCCGGTCTTGGTCCGCCCTGTTGGGAATCGAGGACAGTGCAACCGGGGGTAGAATTGCACATCGCGGAGATTGCGGGCGGCCCAGCATGGGACGGAAGCGAAATAACGACCTAGTGTTAGCGGCGACAGGGGGCGGAGTGAGTTGTCGACCCAGCTGCAGAGACAGAGGCTATCTTTTTGAGACCGACGTCTAGTTGGTCATCGATCGAGAGACTTGTCGCGACTTGCAAGGGATTGCAGCGAGCGCCATGATGTAGACTACCCAGCCTGTGGGGGAGAAATTCCGCCTTGGGTGTTTGGTCCAGATTGAGTGACGTCGTTAGTGTCGACACATTTGGAGCACCTAATACATGTCTGTTGAGCGTACTGTCTCTGTGTAACTCGCAACTCAATACGTGTAACGGGAGTCACTTCGATTTCGCTGACCATGAATGAGAATTGTGGGAGAGGATTCGGCAGATTGCGCGTCGTGAGGCATTTCCAAACTCCTCGGTTGCGTTGTAAAGTCGAGTAAGTTACCGGCAGCATGATCTTCGCGACTCTCATCGAATCAGGACAGCCCTCGGACTCTCGGCACATGATACATGGTGTATTAAGTATCGCAAGATCATCAATTTGCCTTTCTCTCCACCGGCTGGTTATCGTTGATTGATTGTTCCTCTCTTCCCCGAGGGATCAGCCCTGGGACAGCCTTGCCATCAAACGTGCCGTCCTGTGGACCGTGGAGACACGTTCTAGCGCGGGAAAAAGCTTTGAATTGGCAAAATAACTGGGAAATTCTTAAAGACTGGGAACGCCCGGCCAGCACAGATGTAACCGCCATCATCAGATGAACTGGCGAACAACAAATACACTTGTTTTTGTTGGCCCCATACTTCTTCCCCGGTCAATCAAGCTGCGACACTTTCAATCTGCGGCTCTCCCGGCCATCTAGACCCCATGCCGAATCACCGATGCCGCCCCCGAAACTGGGAATGACCTAGACTCGGGCGGGGAAGTTGTTCGCCGTTTCATCGAGCGGGAATTTTCGTGCTCTTTTGACAGATTGGAAAACTACCATGACTGTGTCAGTAGTGTAATGTGCTTGAATCCACTTCCTCCATCTACATTGATTAACAAAGATTGCTTTCGATCGTGCATGTGTTTTCCTCCTCCTTGGCTGACGTACTGTTAATTCAGCAGGGCCCATCATTTTGTTTGATTATTATCCATTTCGTGAAACTCATTACTGATCGGCCTCGAGAAACGTCTCTCCTGTTATTGGTCGCCAAGAGAGTGTGGGCTCTGACCCCGACGCTGAGTTTGGTCTTGAATCAGAATGTTGCTCCCAAAGGTCAATTGCACTGGGCGTTCTCGATGGAATAGCCGACAAGGAAGAACCAACGAGCTGGAGTCAGGATTACACTGTCTGCAACCGAACAGCCCTAACTCTGCCCATCTTCATATCGGAAGCGTTATTTGGCCATCCCCGTTCGCTGGGCTGAGGCCACCAACAGCTACCTACCGACTGTTTTTTTTTCGCCGTCCCACTGATCGAATATTCGTGCAGACAGCGGATGCCGGGGTCTATGATTGAGATCTGATGCCTGCCTGTATTTTGCACATGGATGTTGCAGTGGTGCGGCATCCTTTACGTCGTAGGTCAGCGTCTCAGGACTTGTGCAGAACGCATATGCTTTCTTTTGAAATCTCAAATTGTGCGTCAGAATTCGGTGCCCTTCGGCGCCGACCAGCTGAAGCAAAGTCGCAACTCCTCTTCAGAAAACCATGCCCACGACGTGCCCCCCCTCAGATCCTTTGCCGCCCAAGCTCAAGTTCCTCTTCATGGAGCTTCCTGGGAGCAGTCATGTGAGATGGCCAGTAGAAGACGCCATCCCATCCACAACTCTGTGAAATGCTACATCTAGCTGCAGCCAGGGGTACCACATCCCCCACTGGAAAGGGGAAAGCGTCAGGCACAGTACTTTGATTGGATGCGGAACCACGCGGCCGATCCGCAGGGATGTGCCGGGAGGTACTTGTTGACTGGATTGCCCCTCCTTCAATTTGAAAAGGGGGTGTGAAAGAAGAAATTGCCAATGCTTGCTTCTGACAGCGAGCGTTTGCTTGGTTGGTGGGGTCTGCGCTGACCTTGTGGAAAAATGGACATGGGACCGTTGTCCTTCTGGAAAATCGAGACACCATCGCGAAACAAAGTTGTGAACTTGCATGATGCACCAAAGACGATAATTTGCATCAAACTGGGGGTTTGCTCCGCAAGCCTCCATCAGTAAGCGTTTGCCTCTAGTATACTGGAGTGAAGCTGTCCGTCCTTCCGTAGGAGATTGGCTCTGAAGATTGCAAATAACCTTGCGCATCTCAACCTCCTCGGCATCTTAGCTGTTTTAAGTCATGACACAGTTTTTGCGGCTTCTAGACCATTAACCAGGAAGTCCTATCAGAGCGTGAACAAACTGCGGCGGAGGGCCTCGGTGCCTACGTCCACAATCCAGATATCGGAAGGGAGACTGCGTAATCTTGACCAGGGATGCTCACTGCGATGTGAAAGTTCTGTTATCGTTAACGGATTGGTTTATTTTCTTGTTTTTTTTATTCCTTGTGTCGAACACGCCAGCGCGCTCCGTCTTGGCTTGAGTATCTGGGGCGTGATCTGAGCCTACTATGTAGACGGAGGAAATCCGGAGAAAGGGGGAAGAATATGTCTAATTTCCTCTGTGAGACCTTGTCGGTCCAATAGCGATGGCAACTCATTCTGCTGGAAGACCGAGACATCAGGGCACCGAAACAAACGCCAACCCTAATTCAAACGGTTCAAATACCGACGAATCATGCAACGGGCTGGCGGCTCTCACCTAGGCGCAGCTTGAAGGAAATCTCTCGTCCAAGACGGCCTCATAAAGACGCGAAGAGCGAATTGAGTTACTGGTGTATTTGGTCGGCAAGGAATCGGAACATGATCCCACGGCCACCAGCGGAAACGCGGGGGTTGCATGGCAGCGCGGGTGATTTGCAAAGTGGGCGCGGGACAATACTGGCCCCTATAAGTCGTGTGTCGGCACTATCGTTCAAAGCTCAACGTGACACAACAGAAAATCGGTATTTGCCGGTGTTGGGCGTCCGGGGGCTGGAAACCGGCTGACATTGAAGTACGAGCCTTGGCATTGCAGGATCGTTTGTGTTCTACTATTCAGACTTCATTTCTTGTTGGACTCGGGCGATGACGGGGGGAACGAACTTCCAGCAATCGTCAAGCTGCGCACCCAGGGGCCTGGAAAGTTAGGTCGGAAAAGGGGTCGGTGGGCGGGATGGGACGAGAGTGGTGGAAGCAAGCTTTGACAGTACTTTAGTGTTGCCACTCGGGGGTACCTCAGCCATTAGATACACAAGACTCGTGAGATAATGCAAGCTGAACCATTAAGAATAGTTTGCAAAGCCAATGCCCGTTGCACCTGGGCAAATCAAAACTCGGTACATGGTGATGCTCCTGGGCAATGAATGATCCCGTTACGGGGCCACCCTGGATTGATTGGTGGCAAACGGCGGTGCTGGATGACATGACAACGAACCACAACGACAGATGACCTGAGGCTGAACCGGGAGATCGAAGGTACTGGATGCACTGATTGATGGGCAGATGTCTTGCACTGTTGACGCCCTGCAGTGATGCAGCTGATAAAAAGAGTCCAAGGCGTCCAGGTTTCGCGCGCTGCCATGTGTTTCCATGCGACTGCTGCGACGGATTGGATGACAACCGAAAGATGAATTCAATCGATTGAATCAAATCAAGATGGCAATGTTCTACAACCTCTCAATAGCTCGCAAGCGAGGTGCTCTGAAGCCAATGAGATGAGGCCGAGCTATTACAGTTACAGTTCCGGAAAGTCAGAGCTTCGGAGCCGCCAGACAAGCTTGCAACGGCTGGTGTGGTTGTTCGGCTGGGGGAGTGGTGAGACGGTCGAAAAAGGCGTTGTCTGTTAGCGAGCCCCTGAATTCTTGGTATCATTGCCGGCACGGCCCTTTGGGATTTGGTTTTCCCTCTGGTACTCGGAGCTTTCCATGGGCTTGGATTGACGCATTTCGCTATTATTCTAGTGACCAGCGTGGAAACGTCAATGCGGGTAGAATAGTCTCCGCGAACGCTTTGACAGTTGGCATCGCAAAACACTACAGGCCGGACCATCTGCTTCTTTTTAAGGTTAAAGGGAGCGATGAGGGCGACCTCTGCTGGTCATGCGGAAAGACTAAGTAGTGCGCAGGGCAGGTAGAGAAGAGCTTAGGTTCGCTGGTGATGAGACAAAAGTACCCGCAGAACAAACTGAACCGCTGAACCGTGTGCTGCCCAGTGCTGAAGCAGCAGCAGCCAGATGCTGGTCTACTACGCAGTCCGTCCGTAGTAAGATGACGAAGGCGATGTGTGAGTAAGGTAAGCAAGCAATTTGGCGCAGTGACAGGGTATGGATTATTAGCATGCAGCAACATGCGGGATGCAGTCAACTCCCGTGCATGTTATATCCACGCCCCCCTTCTCCTCTCTCCCTCTTCTCCCTCCCTTGCTCGGGGTTGCCATTTTGAACGAGAGGGGCGACGAGCAATCTGCGGAATAAAAGCATTTCAAAGCGTCTTTTAATGCAAGTAGAGGGCATGCCGGCTGAGAGCGTTTGTGGTGGCAGTGGCGGAAGATGCCTTAGCTTTTACGGCAAATCGAAACCAGGCGTGCGTGGATGGCATGTGGAGGCCTGTGACGCTTAGTGGGCGAGAGGCCAGAAGGCGCCAGAGGTAGATGACGGGGCAAATAATCCGCTGACGTTGTTTACTTGATCGCAAAGTGTTTCGTCTATTTGTTGTTCGGAGTCTAACAGCAGACGAGGAAGACCAGCGGGGAGAACAGACCGTGGCAATCTCGCAGCAGAGACGGGGAATGGCTCGATCAGGGTCTCGCCCGTGAGCGATGGCGACAGTGATCAAAGCCACCGCGTTGATGGTCGTGTCTGTAACGGGAGCGACGGATGAAGGTGAGATATGGTTCCGGACGAGGGATCCGATCTGTCATGGTTGAGATGCTTTTTTGTCGACATCAGACCAGGCCAGACGAGGTCAAACAGAGGTGGCGGCAGCGGTCGACAAAAACAACGTCGGCGCTGTCGATCTTGAGGCAACTGGCATTGGGCAATGTAATATGCGTTCTCTGACGGGCGTGTTTGTTTCTTCTGGGGCCCGCGGCAGTCGCCAATAATGTTGCTGAAGCAGGCGAAATATCTCAATATGGTAATTTCTTGTGTGAATGGAATGGAGGGGAATGGCTGATGTGGCTAGAGTGGCTGGAGGAGAGCAAAAGGTGTGTGTGATGTTGCCGCCGTCCTGTTTGAGATGCCGGCAGGAGCAGATGTGAGGGTGAGGCGGCAGGACCTGCCTTTCGTTGTATTAAAGCCGATGGGAGAAGGTACGGAGTACATTGTGGATGTGAATGGATGGATAAGCTATGTAAGTAGGTACCTAAAGATGCATGTTCCGGCAAGTGCGTACCCAGTTTCCTGTCATGAGCTCCCCTTCCCACTCTACCACGGGAGAAGGAGTACGTATTTATTCTGGCCTTCCTTCGACTTTCCTCTTTCTGCGACAGTGTGGACACCACTAGCTTACATGAATGCCTAACTATATCTTTCTTATCTGTGTATTCGTACTTGCATCATTCAACTGACGATTAAACAAAAAAAATAAGAAGAATAAGGTCGAGGAAAGGAGGTAGTGACTGCAAATGGAATAAGTGCAGGAAAATTCAAGTGGCACAGAAACCAGACTCTTAGATGCCCTTTGCTCTGTTTCTACAGGTCGCAGCCTGCAACTGCCTTGCGTAGGACGTGGGCATACATACGTATGTATTTTTCTTTTTTTGCCTCATAAAGAAGTCATGTCCCAGCAGGAGCATCCGTGGCCTGCGTGATCGTCACTGTCAATTGGGTGGAATACCCAGTATAGGCGACTGTCGCAAGGTCTGTGGACCATGGCTGGTACATCGTCTCATACCACACAGCAGGCAAGTACGTCCGAATAGGAGGAGAAGGAGCGAATGCAAAGCACGGGAGTAACTACGCTGAAAAGGTAGAAAGAGAAGTCGGCACCAGCACGGCGCTCTTGTCCCCTCCCCACCTCAAATTTTGATATTTCACACACGCCCCCCTTTTCCGCAGTGTAATCTTAGGGTCCTCATTCGTGCATCTGTTAAAGACATGCGGCCCCCTCGCACCAGCACCACTAACAGCAGCCGCAGTATGTGTACCTTGCCTTAAGTAGCCCTTGCTAGCAATTAGTATGGAAGTACCGAGTCCTCTACTATGTGCTACTTTACTATGTGCCCGACTGCCTACCAGCCTGCTTATTATCATAGTGCTTTCCTCAATGTGTCCACCTGGCTGTACCGCTTTACCAACGCTAAACGGCTTTTCCCTGGCTCCCTTCCGTCGGCCAATGGCCAGGCCCCTTGCAGCTTCCCAACCCAACCCAGACCAGACCAGACCAAAGTCAGACAAAGCCAGGCACAAGGCTTCCAGGGGCACAGGCACAGGCGCAGGCACAGAGTCACAGGGGGTCCCTTTTAAGAGGTTCCAGCCGGGGCCAATCCCACCACATAGCACAGTACTATGGTACCTGCTTGTGGTCCTTTCCCCCCGCTCCTCCTTCCCATTCCCATTTCCACTCCCACTCCCCACTCCTTCTCCACTCCCCAGGTCGTTTGCTTCCTTCCTTGTGTGCTCAAGTGTACACTACACATACGTAGTAGCAGTCCCCTTACCACTTTTTTTTTCTTTTTTTTTCCTCCCATTCTTTCCCTGCGGGTGGTGTGTGCTGTTCTTGCAGAAGTAGCGTTAGGCTCTCTCGTCGCTCGGTCCCAGTTCTCCAATTTCTTACTGCCTGTGGCCCTGTCCCTGTTTTAGTCCGGCATCTGCTTCTTTTCCCTCCCAGGTCCCTCCTTTCTCTCTAGTCACTTTCAATTCCAACCGTCTCCAGTCCTTCTTTTCCACTCGCTTGCCATTCCTTGTTCTCTCCGACCAACTGAACCCAAGTCACTCCCTTTCTTCTTTCTCGGTCGTTATTTTTGTTTGCCTGTCAAGGAAGACGGAGAGAAAAAAATAAACCAAGAGGAAATCCCACGACTCAAACCAACCCGAGTACTTTTCTCTCTCTCTCTTGTTTTTTTCATTCCTTCCTTTCTTCTCCTTCTCTTGTACGGATTCGTCTCTTCTCCAGTCGCCTCACCCGAGAGAGTGTGTGAATGAGAGAGGCAGAGAGGAGAGAGCCAGCTTTCACCCCCGGCATCCCTTTATTCACCTTGCAGTCTATCAACGACTCGCTCCACGAAACGAGAATCGAGACGGGCCGCGAACTCCAGAATCTCTGCGACATTTCCACCTAGCCTGTCTAGAAAGGACTTCTTGACCGGGATTGTCGAAAAACAGCCCCGACGGGATAAACTCCCTTTTGTTTTAGCAACGAGCTATTCGGCAGCTCTCACTTCATTTCTCCACGCGTTATCAACGCCGCACCCGCCTGCGAACCACGAGCTCAGTTCTCGATGCTACACCTCCAATAATCACAAGACTGAAATCGACGCACAGCTTGCTGCCGCCAGCCTATCGTGCAGGAAACCATTGGATTTTGTGTACGACCTGGACCACTCGAGCTATTTCTCTCTTCGACATTTCGTCTTACAACTTGCTTCAGCACCCCCGATACTTTTCGATTCTTACTGCCCTCGACTCTGCCCTCTTTTTTTGGTCAGAAGCGTGCGAATTTTTAGATCGACAGCAACACTTGTTTGGAGCTCTCAAGGAGGCAAGTTTACATGCGACGTTGACAGCCGGGTACAAGCTCCATCCTGCTGAAACACTCCCGACACAACGCAACTGTTGAGCCAGGTATGGTTTTTTTGACATATCTACCTCCCATCCTGCCCCTGCCTCTCTGCAATCCGTTCCCTCTGCCTTGCACGCCCGTTACATTCACCCCAAAAACTTGAAGCCCTTTCCTCGTCTCACTGGGGGCTGCTGCGACAGCGCTCAAGCACAGCTGCGTCTGTGACGTCCAACTGGAACTCAATCGCTGTTGCCAAACGCCAGAAGCTTGCCTGGAGCTGAGACCGGAACTTGGCTGCTTGTTCATGGGGGTTCCTGTCAAATTCATTTGCTAACCTGCTTTATTTTTGTTTGTTTCTTAGACATCCCATCATTATCAGACGCATTCTGGGCCAATCGTCTCGACCGACTTGACGAATTCCAAACAAACTTTCGAGTTTTCGTCCCAATTCTTTCATCAACCATCCCAACTACCATTAATGGAACCCGTTTAAGGAAGAGTGACCTCCCCCCGAGCTCCTCAACTCGTTCACAGAGAAAGGAAGGGCCACTTGATCAATCGAGCCCGTTCCTGTCAAGCCACTGAGGCTTCATAAATTCACAATGAACCGTTTCCGCACCAAGAAGAAGGCGAAGGATGATGCCTCTGCCACGCCCAGAGCATCTCAGGACTCCGAATCCCCGGCCCCTTTCCGATTGTTTGGCAAGGGAAAAAAGTCGCAGGAGGAAGAGCCTAAGAAAGAGATCAGCATCGAGAATGCCCTGCCTCCATCTGACGACTTCCGCACGAGTTTATTAATGACTGGACTTTCCGCTCGGTTTTCCATGCTTAGAGAGCAGGATGACCCCAACACCAAGATCGGAAAGGCCAGTGATGATAGTGTTCTATTTCCCAAGCGACAATCAAGGTTGGATTTTGGCTTCGGCGGTGTGCCAAGTGGTTTATCTGATATCGCCGAAGTTGAGTCCATCCGAAAAGAAGCTCCCTATGCCCGAATGGACTCGTACCACTCTGCAGACGGCAACTCTATTTCTGGGAGCATGATGGACCGGTCAAAACCCGGAGAAGGAAACAACTTGTTCGGTGGACGCCAGAAGATTTACAAGATTCCGGCTGGAAATGCATCGTCAAAAAATATTGAGAGCGGTGGCATGGGTGGCCGTGCCCTCTACGATGACGACGTCGCCATGTCAGCCTTCCAGAAATGGAGGCAAGCCGAGAAGGCGAAGATGTCTTTTGATGACGACCGTGACATGGTTCAGTCCTCTTCCAGTTTCGATTTTCCGCGTGCCGAATCACCCCCTCCTGCAGGCTACGACCGCAAGAGGGAGACCAACTCCACAACATCATCCACACCATCCTTGGGCCGTAACTCGACCGCTGCGACATCAGTCATGTCCCAGCCGACGTCGTCAGCGAAGGACTGGCAGTCAGTATCAACAGCACCTAACTCCGCAACAGGCACGCCTCTCCTCGACAGAAGCTTGACCCGTACAAGACGACTTTACGAGACTGGACTGAACAACGAGCTTCAGGAGCAACAGTCTTCAGCCTTGTCCCGCATAGATACTCTCTCTCGGCAGCGCACTCTGGGAAGCAGAACACCTGAGGCATCACAGAATGGGCCGTCGCCAACGACTGCCCTTTTTGCTGACCGATTTGGCGAGCGAAGAGTGCTGGCCAAGGGCAGCGCCCCCAACTTGCGATCTATTAGCCCCCCGACTGCTGGATCACCCATCGCACCCATGGACCTGGGTATTCGAAACCAGGAGCCGAAGCCTGCATTTGGAGGCGCACCGCCCCTGAGTCCGCCTATTAGCGAAGGCGAGGAGAACTCAATCCTGCCAAACGATCGAGGCAAGGCTACAGCCATGGGCATGTTTCAAAAACCACTTCACTCTTACGACGAGTCTAGGTATGCCCAGAGGCAACTGCAGCTCCAGCAAGGCCGTGAAACGCCCACAAACAGATTCCGAGCCGAGTCAAATGCCTCCCAAACAACAGGTCGCTCAAGATCTTCGTCTTCAGCCCAGGGACAGCCAATTGAGAGGTCTGAGTCAGTTATTCACATCGAGCCAACGCTCAAGGAGGAAGAGGCTGGCTCAATTTATTTCAATGACAAGGACGAGTCAAAGTCACCCAACCAGGACGCTCAACGATCTCCTCTCTCAACTAGGCGGCCCGCAGACCGTGACCACCCGGCCTTTAGGGACTCTGCTTTACCCACTCCCCTGTCCTTGAGCTCTAGGGCATCCGTAGAGCCATCGCCAGTCTCTGATCAACCTTTCCCTCCTGTAACAGTCGACCAGCTTGGTGTCCCCCAAGACTCTCCAACCTTGCCTTCATCCGCCGGCCTCAGTGGCATGGTTCGTGCTCATCTTCGTTCAGACAGTAACACGTCTTCTATCTACGGCTCAGCACCCTCTGCCCCCCAGACATCAAACTTCGCCTCCAAGTTCCCGCTTGACCCCTTCGCCCCTTCACACACGACTGACTTAGGAGTCGCTTCTAACCCTTGGGAAGTGCAATCACCTGATTGGGCTTCCCCAACAATCCCAACATTCAACGAGCAAGTCAGTAAGGAGCCCAAGGAGCCAAAGGAGCCGAGTGAGCCGTCTGCGCCAGTACCAAGGGAGAACGCCCCCAAGGAGAACGCCTCGGAGGAGCCATCGGACCGTCACACTGGCTCTACTACTGAGATGGAGAAGGAACATGACGAGTTTGCTAACCAGCTTGCGGACGCTCAACGCCGGGTCCGCGAGAGGCTCACCTCATATGTGGAATCTGACCGCGACAGCCGATCATTGTCACGATCCTTGTCTCCCCATTCTATCGACCGGAACAGGGAGCCGTCGCTGCCTCGCCCAAATCCTCTTGGGATACTCAGGTCGAAGACAAGCAGAGGTTCCTTGGCCGATCGTCCTAATCGCGAAAACAGCCAGCACTCCAAAGCAATCAAGATGCTCGGCCTAGCAACCTCCACCATCAGCAGCGCTCCTAGCCCGAACAAGTCCAACTTTGATGATAAGGAACCCCAGTCTCCGGTCAGAGAGGAGCGTGAGACGCCCGAAATCACCAAGGCTGAAGCTGCGTCATCTCAACCTCCTCCCCAGGAGCAGCCGAAGGAGGAGGAGAACATGCACGCGGGACTTCGAGCCTTCCGACAGGCCCGTAAGGAGCTCCAAAAGCTCAAGGAGATGGAGTCTCAACGCAGCCCGACATCCAGCTCAACACCTGTTATGCCAGGCCCTTTGCCCGGCGCCACGATCGGCCCGATGGTTGGACCTCCAGCGTCGCGCACGATGCCAAGCCGTGAACGCACTCCTGGTGCCCGATCTCCCTCGCACGAACGCCGACCACCACCGGTTACTTACCAGCGGACGCCTAGCGAGGAGTACCCGACCAATGCTGGCCCGGGTCGAGGCCCGTCGCAGTCCTCGTCCCGAGCAGAACGCGACCGCAGTGGCTCGGAGGCAAGTAATGGTGAAAGATCTCAACGCCCCGCAAGACTCCGTACCGGCTCGTCTCCTTACGAAGATCGGGGAATGGGTCTCAACCCCAATGTATCACCCTCTGGCCGGCCGCCTGTGACTTCTCCTGGCCTGCCTGGTACTAATATCCGTCGGTCACCCATCATGCCTCCTCAGCCGTACCCGACGACAGGCCCTTCCTCGAAGCCTCTTGATCGATCAGCATCCTCCGGCAATCTCGCAGTTCAGTACCGTCGCCGAGGTCCCGATTCAGGACAACCGTCTCCGGTTTCCCCGATGGCTCCGATTCCATCACCTTCGATTCCTGCTAGCCAGTCCACGCCCTCATTCGTTCCATCTCGCCGCCCGTCGGCTCCTCCTGTTCCCTCTCCCGCACCAGAGGCTGCTCACTCCAATCGACTTGACGAGTCAATGAAGAGGGTCGTTAGGAAGAAAGATATCTCTGAGCCTACGTTTGTCTCGTCCACCTCTCGAGTGCCAACCGTCGCTCTACCGGAGACGTCGGAGACACGGTCAAGGAGCGGATCTCGCTCGCGCTCAGGAAGCGTCCTGAGCTCTGCTGCATCGACGCCTAACCTCCATGCCCTTAACAACATGCACGCTCCGCCCGTGCCCCCCATTAACCCCAAGCGACGTAATGTTATTGGCTCAATCATCGGCCGTAGAGGCGAGGAGGATTCGCACCTCCCCCTCTCACCGCCGCCAATGACTAGCGAGCACACTGGAGACAGCAACAGTGCATTTTCCGTCAGCGACGACGACGATGGCTCAGGTAACCAGCGACGCAGGCTTCGAAAGACCATCAGCGAAGCTAACGGCATGAACGTGCGTGCCCGTCTGAACCGGGGCCCCAGCCCCCCGAATATGCCTCCCGGACCGACAGCTATCCCAGGCGGTCTTAACAACAGTTCCCTGCCCGGTGGCATGATCTAAATAATCTCAATCCGCCACAAAACTACCATTTCAATTCTAATCAACTCCCATTATCGAAAGTGTGGCTGGAAAAAAAGGGGAGAGGGAGAAACAAAATATGGTTATTACGAATCTACGAACCCCCTTTCTATACTCTTTGTTTTAGTTTCTATTTCACATTTACATACAGTGGATACACGACTGTGTGGTCTCTATTGTATATTTTCTATTCTTTTTCACTCACTAGTCGGAATACGTGTGTCCGATCTTTGTTGGATATTAGCTCCTGGGGAGATATTAATTGGATAGGATTCTGGGTTTCGCGGTGAACTGGAACATGTCTCGGTGGTGGGACTGGCGTCTACCGCGTGCGAGGATCTTGACAATGTTTGGGGATGCGGTGCATGGTGCTTTCAATTTGAAGAATACCAGAGTGTTTCTATGCTATGGGCTGGTGGGCAAGGATGCGAGTGATATACCATATACTAGGTAGAGTGCAGTGGGAGCAATCAAATCATTAGGCGTCTTACATCCATTCATGTTGATTTCAATTCCCTCGTTCTCGGCTATTTAAATGGGGTTGAATGAATACATCGTAATCATTGTAGGCTTGTCCGTGTCCGGGACAGTTCCCGGTACATCCCCCGGTCCCATCCCCAAGGAAACTGGCTGAAGACGTCATTCCCGAGCAGTAAATGGGTATAGCCCCTGCCTCCGACCCTTTAATGCCAACAGGGCCGCTACGCAACGAACTTGTTTGGGTCATGGTTCAGCTGTAATCTGGTCCAGGAGCCGGATTAGCCGCCCGGCACGATGCCGTGGACCTTAGACAGGCGGGACGAACCAGAACAAATACCAACTCGCCATAGAAGCTATCCTGAATTCTCCGCACCCCGCATTCCATAATCCCGACACCGTTTCAAAGTTTTGATGATATGGGGTTGGTCTGGGTCCTGTCAACTGCGAATTTTGGGTAGAGAGCGCGGCGGTCTCCCCGGATGCCGCTCCGGCCAATGTACCGATAGACGCGGCGGTATGAAGCCGGCCCATGCCTGTAACTTTAGACTATGCTTGAAATAAGCTTAAGACATCTGCGTCGTTTTAGAGACGACACTGGGTGTCTACTCGTAGAGTCGCATCTGGTCAAAGCTGCAGATAAGACAAGTTGCGACATACCATGGCCTCCATCATGCGCGCGTTTCTAGTGCTTTCATCGCTACTTGCCGTTCCGGCCCAAGCAGCCTGGAACCCAATCATCTCCGGCTTCAACCCTGACCCGGCTATCCTCCGCGTGGACAATGACTACTACGTCGCCACCTCGTCCTTTGAGTTCTGGCCCGGTGTGCCAATCTATCATAGTAGTTCCAACCCCCATCGAACTCCCAATGTGAGAGCCACCTGCTGACGCGCTTCATCTCTACCCAGGCAAGGACCTCTCAAACTGGACCCTAATCTCCCACGCCGCCACCCGTCCCTCTCAACTCCAACTCTACGGCACGCCAACGTCTGCGGGCGCCTGGGCGCCCAGTCTCGCTCATTTCAGGGGAAAGTTTTGGCTTTCTGGCATGACGCGCTGGACATACGACCCCGTCGCGCGCGTCTGGCCACGCGTGTTCTTCATGTCGTCTGCGGACCTGAAAGAATGGTCCGAGCCGGTGTGGGCGGAACCGTGGGGGATCGACCCTGAGCTGTTTCACGATCCGCTGACGGGGAGGACGTATTTGAATCTCATGGCGCCGAACAACAACGCGGAAAGGCTGTGGGGGCTTTCGCAGTGCGAGGTGTCGTTGTCCCGGGGCAACTGCGTGGGGCCGTACGTGAGTTTGTGGAACGGCACGTTGGAGCATAATGCGACTGCGAGGCCTGAGGGCCCCAAGATGTTTTGGAGGGACGGGTGGTATTATTTGCTCATTGCCGAAGGTGCGTTTCCGGGGGGGGGGGGAATCTTTCTTCGTGTCTTTGGGGTTTCGGCGTGGAACTGACCTGACGGGAGCTTTAGGAGGCACTGACGAACTCCATCGCTCGTCGATTGCAAGGGGAAAGTCGCCTTCCGGTCCGTTCGAGGGGTGTCCTCATAACCCGCTTCTGTACAATGGCCAATGGGGCTTTCGGAATCTCACTGTGCAGTCGACTGGTCACGCGACGTTTATGGAGGCTGCTGACGGGACGTGGTATGCTTCTTTTATTGCTCGGCGGAATATCAACGGTAGTTCGCCCTTGGGTATGTTTCTCCCGCCCCGGAAGGATGATGAGATCCTGTTAAGCTGAGTGTGTAGGGCGCGAGACATTTCTTGCAGAGGTGACATGGCATGACGGCTGGCCGGTTATCAACAACGGGAAACCTATCCTGCTCAACGAGGAGGTGGGACCGAAGACCGGACCTAAGAAAGTACCGCAGCCGTGGGTGGACGATTTCTCCGCCAAAGAGCTGGATAAGTCGTGGTATCAGCTCCGGACGCCGTACACTGAGAACTTTGACATTTTCAACGGCCGTGTTGTTTTCAGACCGAATGTTTTCGGTTTGAGCGATCGGGATACGCCTGCTGCGATTTTGAGGAAGCAGACGTCGTTGAATATGATTTTTACCGCGGACCTGCTTGGCTTCGAGGGGAGTCTCGGGCCGAGGAACAGGGTCGGTGTTTCTGCGTATCTTTCCGAGTTCCAGCATCAGGATATCGGTGTGAGGGGTTGTGTGAACGGTACTGGGATGTGTGTGTACGCTGAGACGAGGAGGAATGCGACAGTCGATGTGGGTTATTTTGTCTGACAAGTTGCATTTTTGGACAAGGCTGATGATTTTGGATGCAGTATTGGCAACTCCCGTTTAACCTGACGGATTCCCTCCCCCAGGGCATGAAGTTACATATTCGAGCCGAGCCGCTGGCGTATCATCTGGGATACAGCTTCGGCAACGACGAGCCGACGTATGTAGCAGAGATCGAGTCAAAGTGGCAGGCGTTTGCGCCATCTGGGTGGTTCGTGTTTAGCGGCATGTCGTTTGTCTTGTTTGCTACGGGAGAAGGCGAGCCGTGGCCGTTTAATGGACCCAAGGTGGGCTTTACAAAAGTTACAGAGACGTATTTTGAGGAGGACATTCCGGATTATGATCGGTGGTAAGGATGACCCGACGGGGATAGCCAAGGATAATGGCCCCATGCCATTAATAGTAGCATTTGGTGTTAAGCTTATTTAACAGCCCGTCGATATCCAATGACATAGGATCCAGTGCATTAAGATGATATGTTGATCACAGAACTTGGCGGGTAATCGTCAGACTGCAGTGCGGGGAACCACGGTCGGCCCGGAATGCCGGCCGGCGGGCCACTTAAAAACGGCGGGCATCCCCTCGGCTTGGAGCGACCGTGAGTATCGACGACCTTGCCAGTATCATCCCGGGTTGGAACCTATCTCGATTTCATTGAGTTTATCGCCGTGTCCGCTGCAAGCCCTTTGCCTGCTCTTACAACTCGATCTACACGTCTCAATCTTACTCTTGTGCCACCCCCGCACATCCCAGATAAACGTGCCATCAGTCCGGGTCACCCCAATCTCATACTAGATTACTCTTGTGAGGAAACCAGCGCCGAAGTCCAGAAAATATGGCGTTCATCCGTACATACAAGCCCTCAGACTTTGAGGACACTGCACATATCGTACGTTTCCTCATCTGTCTGTCTGCTTACCAGCTCACGTAATCTCCAGTGCCGCGCTACCCTTCCGCCATCTCTCAGCAGCTCCGAAGCCGGTCGGCGGACTGCGCCTTACATCTGGACGCATCAGTACACCCTCCTCTCCTCGTCCACATGCCACGTTCTCGACGACGGTAATGGCCGGGTGGTGGGGTACTGTATCGGGTGTCCCAACGTTGAGGACTTTGCTGCCGCGTACCCGCGGTACATCAAAGAGGTCCTAGAGACGTCCCCCGAGCTGGAAGGCAGACGACCAAAAGACCTCGAGGTGAAAGCGCCGTGGAGCTTACCCTCTGGTGAGGTGAACGAGGAGGCACTGCTGCAGCAGGCGTGGAATTCCAAGTGGCTTGTGCTTGATGACGACAAGAAGGAGCTTTGGGGCCAGTGGAAGGGGACCATGCATATTGACCTGCTGGAAGAGTGGCAGGCGAAGGGGTGGGGGAGGAAGCTGATTGCGAAGTTCGAGGAGAGTTTGAAGCAGGCAGATAGTGAGAAGGGCGGCGAGGACAAGTTGTACGGGAAGGGGTGGCATATTGGGGTTGGCGGTGAGAATGAGAAGGTTGTCAAGTTTTATGAGAAGATGGGGTTCCGGGTGTGGCCTACGGCTGAGAAGGGTTCTATTTGGATGGTGAGGGATATTGAGTAGGCAGAGAGAGCGATATCAGTATTGGGGTATACCTTTTACTCTAAAGAACATTCATAAATTTTGCTACTTGGTCACTTGTACGATCGCAGGTCCCAAGTTGTCGCTATACATCTTGTTCATTCTGTTCCAGAACCGCTGGTACAATCTATAGAATGGATGGGGGCCATCTGTCGTACGATTTCCCACAGCGCAGCGCATTCTTTGGCTCCAGTTCGTTGACAACTCGACCGCTTACCAGAAATGTAAATGTTGCTTGATCCACGTAAGCAATGGTAATTTTCTCTGGTCAGTCAGCTCTTTCCAGGGAAAGCCACATAATAAACACGAGACCAAAGAATGCAAGGAAAATCAGCTGCAAGATCTCTACCACTTTCTCTTAGGCGACAGCGCAACATTCATCAGATATCAATCAAAACATTGAGTGGCAGATGAACCTTCAATGGTGCAAATGCTACCTCCAAAAACAATCAATTCGACTCTCCTTTGCAGACGACCGTCATACTATCACTTTAAAATATGATAGATCTGACTGATATATGAAAAACTCGAGTCGGCATACTAAGATTCACCCTATGTACTAACCCTACTGCGCAGACTCTCCCAGCGATCCAACGTGTCTTAGCAGCACCCGTAGCACATAAGCTACCTCCAGCAATTTACATACCGCAGGTTCAGCATCAGGTCTGCCTGTCGTGTCCTCTACCAGTTTTAAGGAGTCTCCAAGCCCTACTTACACTCCATCAACACGCCACCCTATCGTCATCTAAGCCTGCCACTGGTTTTCTAACGACAAGCCCTAAAGAGGTAGCGTCTAGTGGGTTTCCTTCAGGATTCTCATCACCCACGGCCTTTATATTATAATTGCCACAAACTGCAACAGGCGAATTTTCCTCCACTTTCTCTAGTGATGGAAACTACCCAGCCCATGACCCCCATGGGTAATTTCCGTTCCTAAAGATTAGTATGATGAGGATTCCATTCTGTTGCGTTGCCAATATTTTGCAGGCGAAAAGTTGTATAAAAAACCGAAAGTTCAGCTTTGAGAATCAGGTGTTTGAACTTGACTCTAGTTGCAAGTACCTAGTGTAGGTCCAACTGAGGGCTTGCTACAAGTCCAACTTCTGACCTGTTCTCAAACCTAGATACGGCAGACGCTAAGCTGTTGCATAAATCGCATATAACAGGTTCAGGAGCCAAGCGTCTTTGGAACTGCTTGTCATGGCCGCTGCTGTACTCAGTTCTTCAACTGGTGATTATGGTTTTTTTCATACAATCCATCCTACCAACTTCCTCGTATGTCTTTATTCAAGTAAACAAGTAGCCACTACGAAACTACATGCATTTTTTCCATCCGGTTCCAAACGATACATACCAACTCTAGGCCTGATAAAACAGCTCCATACCGTTCACGTACTAACGGGGCTAGGGTTGTCATACCCACCCTGCCGTCCCTGCTGCGGGCCTCATTTCCTGAGCTCCATATTCAACATTGTCGCCGCTACTTTCAAGCCTTGTTGGCTCAGTGGTAAAGCGCCTCACTAGTAATGAGGAGATCGGGCGTTCGATTCGCCCACGAGGCATAACAACTCACAGGACGCTTAGTCCTTTCTTTTTGTCAATTTTGCCAACTCTCGTGAGATGGCAGCTGATAGCAAAAAGCGTCAAATCAAATTTTACGAATTTGTCTTTTGCTGATTTGGTGCTCGCTGACTCATCATTCGCCTTACATAATGACAAATGTCACAAATATGCTGCTTCTTCCCTACCAGCCTTGACCCATCTTAGGCTAGCTCATGAGCGTGCAACTTGGGCAAGGGACTCCGAAGAGGTCGGAGTCTCCTTCCGTACTTTGAATGCCGGTGGAGATGGTGGATGAATGACATCGGATCACATCATCTGGGGAATCTCGGGGTTTACGTAAGGAACCTTTATGCGGGGTTTATCACTGACACGCTTTCGGCCATTGATTTCAACGCCGTTTTCTCTTGAATTCGCTTGTTTTTGATTTTCATTCTCACCTTTGTGTTTATTTTTCCTCTGCTTCACGTTCAGCTAGAAACATGTCTGTCGCCGATGTTGACCCCGCCCAAAGGCTCAAGGATCGCAAGCCGATTCCGACCCCCGTCCCGGCTTATCTGGCAAAGGCCGGATCGCCGCTCACTGTCGATAAGGTCCTATATGAATCCGCGCAAAAGGCACCGCGAGTTCTCGTTGAAGAGTTTACCCTGCCCATTCGCTCCGGCAAGGCGTGGAAAGCTCCCGCGGGGTCCATTGTCAGGATTAGTACTCCCGAAGGACCTCAAGTTGGTAAGTCAGATAAGTTGGCGAATTCGTTTCGCTGGGTTCATATACCCAACGTCTGGCATCAGCAAAACTGAACCTTGGATGTCATTGTATCGAAACTCACATATAACAGGTGACCTCAACATTTGGAACGCCCACAACCCCCGCGAGCGCTTCTGGGCGTCTCGCACCCGGCAGCTGCACGCAAGCCACGTCTCAGTCGGCGATCGTCTCTGGTCTAATCTGCCGTACATCCGTCCTCTGGTGACCATCATCGCGGACACGCTCGCGTGGTACGGCAAGGACGAACACGGAGGTCGCGTGCACGATCTTCTTGGCACGCGGTGCGACCCTTACATCAACACGATCCTCAGCGGCGGCAGCTACGATTTCCAGTGCCATTCTAACCTGACGCGCGCCGTCGTCCCGTACGGGCTGAACGAGAGCGACGTTCATGATGTCATTAACATTTTCCAGTCGACGGGACTGGATGAGCAGGGGCGGTATTTCATGAACCCTTGCCCAGCTGGCCCTGGGGATTACATTGAGTTCTTGGCTGAGCAGGACGTTCTAATGGCTTTGAGTGAGTATACGTGTTTATGAGAAAAGTATGTGGGCTTCCAGAACGGTTTGGCTGACTTTCAACGTACAGGCACGTGTCCCGGTGGTGATTTGTCCCTCTGGGGTTTTGGTGAGGACAGCGAGGAGGAGATGATCAAGTGCTGCCGCCCGCTCAAGGTTGAGGTTTTCCGACTTGAGGACGAGGGGCTGTTGCAGCGCGGTGGATGGAAGCCTGCGGAGGTTTCGCAGTACAAGGGATGTCATGGAATGAACATTCCTCTGGGGGAAGCGCGGAAGTAAGGATGAAAGTTGACGTAGCGTGATATCAATTTGCAAATTCTCCAAACCTGAGATTTAGTCATTGATGATGCCCGGCATGTGAAAGTAATGATATGGATATATACTAATTGTAAAAATCTGTGATGCCTCAACTGGGTCAACACAGGAATATCATAGACACGATGTTGTAAAAACTACTATGCTTTTGAGCTAGCCACTGCATTTACAACTCACACAGGTTTGCCAGCGGCCTGTTTTCCCCTGTGCATCATAACCTTCTGAGCCGGCCTGAAGCCACGAACCAATCCAGTCCTAGTATCCCGACTAACACCTCCTCCAACGGCAATGCCACTTCTGCGCACTCCAATGCTCCTCAGACTGCTGACAACTCTACCATAATGTCCGAAAAAGTGATGCGCCCGCACATCCTGCCCGATAGTAAGCCCATGACCCAGCGTCACGCCCCATACGCCCGCAACTTTGATTGCGTGCGCATTAGAGTTCTGATCAGGCTGCAGGAGGACGGAGTAAATACACCCCGTGTATCTCACAGGCCGGCGCGCCACATTCGCGGGGAAAACCCACGACTTTCCTCCATCCGCCGAGATCGGATGCCAGGGAGTCACCACCAGTTCCCCGACGCGGCACATTATTTCTCTACGCACAGGAGTCTTGAGAACGGCGACGACGCGCCGCGGACCAGAAGGCGTCTGTACTGCGACACCTCTCCGGAGAGACTTGATGGGCACCTCCCGGCCGGACGCAAGACAAACGGGGGTCGAGGCGATGAAGCAGACGCCCGCGCCGTTGTTGTACGAGCTCATGCTGAAGTTTCCACGGTGGGTCGCGGTGGCCCCGTTCGACGGCTTCGGGGGAGGCAGCGTATCGAATGCGTCGTCGAGTTTGTTCCTGCAGGCGATGAACATGGCGCTGTCGACGCCGTACTGTAGCGGCCCCGCGTCCTTGAACGTATTGCAGATTTGTCTGGTGTGCGCGTTCAGGAGCGAGGGGAGGTAGTGGACGCCCCATTTCACGTAGTAGTCTGGTTTCGTCAGCGCGAGGGAGATTTGGCCCTTTGGTTCCGCGCCCGAGAGGTCTTGGAGTAGGGAGTTGTTCTTTGGTTCGTCGGGGAACATTTGCGCGGGTATGGTTGTGATGAGCGTTTCGAGTTCTTTGAGCTTTGGTGGCGGGATTTCCTCCAGAGCTTCGTGCTCGCCGTTTTCCTTGAGGGGGATGATGGAGGAGAGGAAGGAACATATCTGCGAGCGGGAGATGTGGTATGCTATTTCGGTTTCGGGGAGGGTAGTTGGGTTCTGGAGTGATTGTTCGGTTGTTTTTCTGTAAAGTGCGCTTGTCATGCGGGAGTATTCCACGGAGGCGATGATGTTGGAGCATTCGGGGGCGAGGTCCTTTGGGGCTTTTACTCGGAGGTAGATGTCTCTTGATTGGCCATACTGTAGGTTTCCTAGAGAGATTGAGAGCTGTTTTGGTTCGCCCTCCTCATCGGGGAGAGTGATGACTTCTTGTTTGACGACCGAGTCACCTGTTGTTTCCTCCAAGTCAAGGACAGCTGGGTAGGTGAGTCGTAGTGTCGCGTTGACGGCATATGTCGCTTGCAAGTTGGCCATGGCGTGAACGAAGACAGTTCCCTGATTCAGTTAGTGTAAGTCCATGCCGGCAACGATGATAATGATGCATCACTCACAATCATTCCTGCGTCAGGGATGAAGGCGTAATTGCCGCCGCCAATCTCGGCGATGGACTTTAGAAGCCCAGACCTCAACGAGTATCCAAAGCCAAACGTATGTATCGAGGCCGGCAACTGTTCCATGGCGCGGAGCTTCGGTACATATCCCTGGATGGGGCACCTAAAACCCGTTAGACGATTTTTTTCCATGTCTGTAGACGCCGCGGTCGGTTACTCACATATAATTCGGCAATCCATCCGTCAGGACCATGATAGCAGGAACCCTCCCGGTATTCACCTCGCCACCCTCGTTGAACACTTTGATGCCCTCCAAGATTCCATGCCACAAGTTAGTCGAGTCAATGGGCCTCATGCTCTTAATATTCTTTTCCGCGAGCCTCTTATTCTTCCCAGTCATCGGGGTGAGCTTCTGCAAAACCTTGGCCCTGGACGCAAAGGTCACAATGCCAAGTCTATCACCCTCGTCCATCGTCTCTATAATCGTGCGCGCGGCATGCTTCACCAGATCCAAGACGGACAGGCCGTAGTCTTCCGGTCTTTCTCCCGATTTGGCTGGGACCGGGGCGTTGCAACCCATGCTCCCCGACACGTCGATGACGAGAACGATATCGCACGGCACGTGGGCGATGAACTTGGCGGGCGCGGCTGGAGGAGTGATCTTGGCGATAAGGCCATCTTTCGTGGGCAACGGATGGATGGACAGGGCGACGTCGTCGTTAGGGGTGGACGTGACGTCTGTATCCGGTCCCGTCGTGCTAGTTGTCGTCCATACCGTAACATCTGATAGGCTGGGATCGACCTTGGGTGCTGGAGCTTCAGAGAAGCTTCCGAATAACCACTTTCTGACCTGAGACATGTCAGCGCTGGATGCTGTCGTGTAACTAGACCAAACTAACCATTATGAAGTTTGTACAAAGTACCTACGAACTGGAAGACCACTGTAATGTAGGTAATGAAGATGAGGTTTTAATTCAAAGAAAGTGCAATAACGATACACTGTGGATATATCAAAAAAACAAAAAACCGAAAAGGGTTTGACTGAATCACCGATTTGGCCTCACAATATCAATGAATCCCACAATGAGGGGTTCATTGGGCAGTGGTCGGATACAAGGGAGTCAGCCCTTCGCTGAATCCGGCCATAAAGAGGCCAAACTCGGACCCCCGCCAATGCCCTGGCGTCCTGCCATAGGTAGTCATAGTGGTAATCATCAGCCAATGAGGCTGCGCCATGCTTCCTTCATCTCGTTTCCCTCTGCCGGCTGCCTAAAGGTTAAGAGCCTAGTTATCAGCCCTGGCAGCAGATTTTAACTGTGAAGAATTTCAGCCGCGCAAGGCATTGTCTGGGGGTAGCGTGTTTCGCTGAAAGACTATGGCAAAACTATGTAAGGGTAACTCATCGCCGAGTCGGAGGCCCGGGCAGCCGGTACGGGGAACTGGGGCGGGGCGTTCTCGTAGGCATTCAGTTCAAAGTGAATGAATGCCTGGTGGGCAGAAATTCATCCGGCAGTGGGCGGCGGCTCTGTTGGGTTGAGACTGAGCACCGCCTCACTGAGTAATGCATGCGTGTGTGCTGTGCTCACGGCATCGGCGAACTCCACTGGCTGAGCTCATTCGAGTAATATTGCTGGATCGACAAACGATGAGCGTATAAGGCCTCAACATCTCTCTGCTCTCCTTCAAAGCCAGATTCCTTCATGAAAACCGCCTCTTCCTACATAATATGATTGCCTGGACTAGAGCCGCTCTGATTGACAAGTAAGCCGAGCGCTGACAGGCAAACATCCAGGCACCAGAGCTCAGAGCTCATGTGAGATGGTGGTGTAAATCACCGCCACTTACATACCTTTGGCCACGCATCATCCAAACTCACGAAATTCTGAAATCCAGTTAAAAGCTTATGACCAACGCAAATGAAGAATATGGGAATGTTGACTCCTCCCTCTCCCTCAAACTGTTCTCCTCTTTCGTGGAAGCGTCCAACTCTCACCATCGCCACTCAAAAGCTAATTACCTGGGATGGCGTGGGAATGCCAAATTATGCCTTGTAGCAGGCCTTACAAGCCGACCAACGACAGAGCAGGACACGACACTGCACCGCCCCAAAAATGTCAGCAGAAAAAATGTTGGCAGCCAGCAGAGTCATCCTAGCGTGAAGAGCCGAGCAGGGGTGGCCGCTGTATCTAGATGCTGCTTTCAAGGCCCCCACAAGGGACCCTGTCGCTCTCCTCCCATCTTCCTTTAGAGTTTCACGTGCGTTCGCCCTCTTAGCAGAAACATTTGCGTCATAGGTTGCCGTGGCCCGGGACAAAGTGAGGGCGAGAGAGACCGAGAGAGAGGGAAAATGCAGAGGCCGCTAACTTCACGAGTTCTTGGCGCATTGGCGGCCCCGGCTTTTACACAGGCATCCGCCCCGCTATACACGATACCATTTCCAGCGGCTGTTACGCCAGGGGCGCGAGGACTCGTGCCGTAGTGTATGCGTGTGTGTGTCGTTCACGCAGTGGCAGCCCGCCCTGCGTGCCCTGTCTGTCAGGGACCAGAGCATTGCCGCGTTAGTGAGCATTTCCGATTTCAGTCCGTTCACCCCCGTTGACGTAGAAGGATTCGTCTTACCACGGTGTGTGATTGTCGTCAAGATGCAGACGAACTACACTAGAATGAGGAATAGGGAAAAAGAAAGGAAAACTCGCTTAACTGCGTAATAGTAGTGTACCCAGCCTCGCAGGAGAGAAGGCTTAACATCGTCATCGGTCAGTGCCACCGCCCTTCACAGCCTGACGCCAAGAAAAGTCCCTTGACCCTCTTTGTAAATTCAAAATTTCCAAGGTTGGAAAGCGTGAATGATGCGCCGTAGTTGAGAGAGAGAGAGAGAATGAGAGAGAGGCCAAATCCAAGCCGTGCCATTCCGAGGGCGATGGCCGCCGAAAAAGACCCGGCTGGGGTGTTGCAGTCTATTGAAAACAGGGAAAATGGAGACTATAATCGTCGCTAGTAGTCGTCGTTCCGACCAGAGGGCAATAAGCGGTATGACGCCGTAGTGTCTTTTCTTTTCGACCCCTTGGCCCAGGGGCTTGTCACGAAAATACATCGGCTAGAAAAAAATAACTACTACTGCTATAGCGAACAACTGCAAAGAACGAGAATGGCCCCATCAGCATTGCTTTTTTTTTGGGGGGGAATCACCCGAGCGGGAATGCTTCAAGATTTCATGCTCGGGCTTATTGACGGATAGCGGGCCGTTTGATCGAGACGAGGAAATAGGAAGACCCCCATCTAACGGACTTCGCCGGCTTCATCGGGGGACGTGGGCCCCTCATTCAGCGTCTGGTGTCGAGTCGTGGACTCTTCAACCCAGTCATTTCACTACGGTAGTAACTCAGTTGCAAGTTTGGGGCGATGCTTGGTTTTGAGCCGACGTAGGCCGCATTAAAAAGGCCCCATTCTCTTTGTCCTTTTATTGTTGGGGTCATTCCAGCGACAAACTCGCCGTGTTTATTGGAGACTGGAGGTAAAATAGATAGATGTCTGAACTTGATTTACAGTACAGTAGGGTCTTTTTCTACCTTTTTTGTCCCTTTTGGTGTTTTCGTCCTTGTGTTTCCCCAGACTTTTATGGCCTTCTTTTTCATCCGCTCACGCCCTCGTCAAGGGGGTGGGCGGGCGGTTGCTTGAACACTAAACCCCAGCCAGGGTTCGGCAAATTCAGTGGCCGACGAGTCACAACGAAGAGCACAGTTTCCAGCGTTCCGTGGTGTGTGGCTCTGTAGCTTCATGGCGCGGACAAGACATATGCGACTTCTTGGCTTTTCTGCTCTCAGAACGTCTTTCGCTGCCTTGTCTTTTTGTTTTTCGCCCCAGGTTTCCCATCATTGGTTATACCCCTCCACTCCGCTTCGTTCCCGTTCCGTCCCTCGGATGCATCTGACCGTTGGCTGAGAGATCTCAGTTCAGTCGATCTTGCTCATCTTGCGGGGTTAGCCAAAGAGAAGACGTTGATGGGTTAAGGGGGGAGCGGTTGGGCTTTCAAAAGGGTCACAGATCATCACGGTTGTCCAGAGAGAGGGAGAGGCCACTATGATCGTCAGTGTGTCGCCCCCTTCCTGGTGAATGTGTTTGCCAAGCGGGTACACCACGACTGGGCAACAAAAGGTTCAGTCAGGGAGCGGAAGTCAAGAATACAGACAGGATGCGAGGGAAGAAGAAGAAGGCTACAGTAGAAAAATCCCCGTAGCCGGCTCCCCAAGCCGAGTAGCCCGGCCATTCGCTGCATCCGACTGTCCAACGCATCCCCGGCTCTTCCTCCACAACCCATTATCGGGGGCCTTCCATTAGTTCGGTTTCCATTTCCATTTCCCTAGCATTCGCATAATACAGAGCCTGTCCAATGAGGGGCGAGGTATTTGGGGTGGTCCCCGCGATAGTAACCCTTCCCCCCCCCCCCCCCTCCCCCTCTCCGCGTCGAGCTGCCTGCAGCATAGTACATTATACAGCTTTCGTGCAGCGCGCTTGCAGCCCGAGCGAACGTGGGGGGTATTAATCCCGGAACGCTGCGAAAGCTTGTGAGACGAACCGCAGTGGGTTGTCCTGTCTCTCATGTCTGAGTGGCTGACTGCAGAGTACCTTTACCCCCCTCCTTTTTGGTCGTGAGTAGCCACCCACACACCCAAGGCTTTTTTATTTTTTTTTTTTTTTTTTTACTTTCATGTGCTCTGTGCATAAGGTGCGGAAAAAGAGAAAGAGGAAAGAAAAATGACATGTTGCTCTAACTTCCCACTTAAAAGCCCGGAGACGTCGGGGCTTCGAGGGGAGCCACGCCAGCTGTTGGGAGCTAGCTAGGAGCTGGTTTAGGGGATAAGTCGGACGGAGGCTTGGGACTGTGACACTCGAGTGGGATAGCTGGGTTTGGAGTTGGTGCGGTGCCTCACGCCCGCATTCTGGCAAGTCGGTAACAAGCTGGTGATGATCAAGTAGGAATGGTGGTTACAAGAAGGACGAGAAGGAGGTGACGAGAGAGGGATCACCCTTGAATGACTGGCTGAAGGGAGTGTGCCATCCCACCACCTCGACAGAATATCCCATCTGCGCATCTCCAAGCGCTATGTTTCACGCGCCGGACCCCGGAGCATGCCGATATAGGAGACAGAAGAGGTTGTCTTGGCAAACCACAGGCGGTTGAAAAGTGTCCGTGAGAAATGAGAGTTTTTGTGGTATGGGTCGGGCTGTGCGTATTACTCGATGGTTAAGTGTAAGAGAAATCATGGGAATTTGACCGAATTGTAGAGTCCCATTTTTGCAGCACATCTGCTGCAGGGCCTCTTTTTTTTATTTTGTCTTTATTTCTTTATTTCCTTCGGTACTACTATTCTACTATTACAACGACTAGGCGCAGGAGCCTTGGCTTGTGCGCACGTCCACCACACCTACGTCAGGAATCGTCAGGGTCAGGGTATGTGCGGTGTCTTCGGCTTGTTATTCGCCCGCAAGAGAGATGATGAGAGACACACCTGTTCAAGAGAGACAGACAGACAGCCACCGCAATAGCGCCCGCTTCCCCTCCCCTCCCACCTCCAGAGGCAAAGAAAGAGTGGCATTTTCATCCTTTTTTGAGTTCTCGAGTTGTAATAAGGCCCTGTCAACTTTTGAACTAACCCCGCATTCGATCGGCCCCCGATTTGCTGGTCGACCTGCGCGGCCACCACCACTACACTCAGGGTCCAACCAACCATGAACCATGCCACACGCCCGTCCCCTTCGCTATGTACACCCGTCCCTATCCATACACCTATGATTTACACCTCGTGGTTGCTCGACGTCCACCACCACTACCGTTGACACTACGGACAGACCAGGGGTCCAAGGCTCCGAGAGGGCTGGCGGGCGTGTGTGCTGGGTCGAG